GTGTGAGGGTTGTGCTCACTGTGAGTCCCCTTCCGTGCTTGCTTTCTTAGCACTGTGTGTTATGGATGTTTCTGACATCTATGTCTGGGTGGCACAGCCACAGTCCTGGTTGCCTGGCTGACCTGGCAGCTGTCCCCTGTCCATTGCTGCACTCCACCCTGTTGCACACAAGTGATGGAGCAGAGCAGGAAGAAAGGCAGAACGGAGACATTCAGTGTTCTTTTTGGCATGTTTCTGGTGCTTCCAGTATGCTGAGGTGGAGTCCCAGGTGTGTGTCCCACACGTCTCTGTGCGGGAGATACAGCAGATAAGGCAAAGTTTGAACATGTGTAGATGCTGCTTATAGTGTTCCTTTTTTTTTTTCTTTCTTTCTGAAAGACCCTTCTACAAAGTCTTAGTAGAAAGGGTGAGGAGAGAGATTTCTACTGGCCCTGATCTGTTAGACAACTGTAATTAATTCTCGTACATTACAAGTTCACTGTTTTGGCCAAGGGCTGTTCTTTTCTTCATCCCAGTTTCTTGTTGTGAGTGTGTGTTGATCCCATTTGGAAGGTGGGCTCAGGAGGGGACTCCCTTTTGCTAGCCCTGTCATGGCTAATGGCGTGGTGTGAGCTGTCTTTGTAGGCTGGAGCAGAGATGATCTGATGTTGTGGGGTCACAGGTGAGTGGTTCGTTTCTGCAGTTCAGTGTGAACGTGGTTTAGGCTCCAGGTTACAGTAGCTTTTTTGTTTTCTTTAGAAGGAGGTGAAGAGCTCTAAGCCCCACACCGAGGTTAGCACCTTCCTCATGATGTCTTTTCACTCACGTAATACACAGTTTCTGCTTTCTTAGACCAGTGATTTATTGGTGAAAAGACATTTCAGTCTAGCCATCAGTGAAGGATGGTAGCTAGTGAAGATAAGTACAAATCATGGCAATGTAGGTGGATAAATTCCACGAGGGAGTTGCTGAACATGTGAGATAGAGGGAGAATTTCTCTGCAAACCCATCCTTCTCCCTTGTCTTCACATCCGGGTTCATGAGTGCTCCTGATTCACGTTGGCTTGATGAGCTGGAAGAACCCGCTGAGCCTGTGATAGCTGCAGCCTGAGGACTGGCAGCTCCCTGCCCTCATCAATTCTGTTTTTAGTCTGAGATACATCTTTACTGAAGATTAGCAGCCTGGTGGGTTGAGGAAATTAAATTTCGCAAGGGCTGCAAACTGGAAAGCACATATTGAGAGGTGTGAAAATGAAATGGGGAGGTTTTAATGTAGTGACTTCTTAATGAGAAGATACTATGCCCTTGAGTCTTAGGGCTTTTCTGGAGGTGAAGTTGCTTCAGAACAGCAGGTGATGTGAATTTAAAGAGGAATGATTCTGGAATTTCCCAATCTGGTGAACTGGGACTTTGGTCCCAGAATAAAGAATGAGATTATTTCTGTCCCATTTCTGATTTGATTTAATGCAGTTCTAGAACTTAAAATTGGCTAATCTAGCAATCCCACAGCTCTTACTTTGGTCTGTTCCCAGGCAGAGAGGTGTTTGCCAGAGCTGGCTCTGTGGGTTGACATCCCTTTGGTGGGTGTCCCAGCCGAGGAAATGTCCTGGTGCTGCTCAGGGCAGCATGTTGGTGGCTGTGCCAGATGCTCACAGCCATTGGCTCTCTCCTCCTGGGGCTGAGCCTGCTCCCATCTATGCTGCTGCTTCTGGAAACGTAGCATGATGCCAAAGATGTCCCAAGCCACTGGTAGCCCCTGGCTGCTCCAGCACTGCTCTCCACAGGCTCCTGTGCACGTGTTTGCCTCACTTTGACTTGAGAAAATGCCTTTCAGAAAGCACATCAGTGTGACTTGGTGATAATGGGGAGTTTGGGAAGGACCCTTTAAATGCACTGAGCATCTCCCCTGATAAAAGGTGGCAATGTGTACATACACCACACACATATCATGAGCAATTTGAGCTGCCAATGCAGTTTTTTTTCTATCCAGGTTATTTTGTGACCTCTCTGCTTGTTTTATTTGGCAACTTCTCTCTGTGGGAAGGTGGTGGGGTGGGTGTGTTTCAGCCTGTGAGGGCTCTGCCCTGCACAAGCTTATTTGCTTGCTTTTATCTGATGAATGTGCCCAGTGTGTGTTCCTAAACGTCTCGAATCATTTCTGGTTGACGGAGTGCTACCTTGTACTGTAAAAATTATTCAGTGTCATCTTTAAATAAAAATTTAGATCTGTCAGGATTGTTTTTCTCCCAAAGGAAGTAAATCTCTTAGCCTGAGATTTTGTTTGGCTTGTGAGGACGTAGCAGGAATGTTTGCCATCTGATGTGCTGGCATCTAGATGAGAGCAAAGGCAGATTTTTTTAACCACACGTAGACAATTCCGCCAGTGTGATGAATGAGTTTATTATTCTGTAAGGTGCTTATTACATTATGCTCCTCTTTGCCTTTGTCTGCGGGGAGAGCCCATTAACCGCTTCAGGGACTGATGTTTATCTATGAAGCCATTAGCCTGGATGACAATCCCTGCATTTATCTGGGGTTTTGATGCGGTCAGAATTCCATCATACATGTTATAGGAATGATGGCCAATGCAAAGCTGCTTCATAAGAGTCTGTTTGAATGATGAGGGGACTCTTCTTCTAGGACTGCGGTCCTATGGGAAGCCTTCCCACAGTGCTGTGGGTTTGGCTGGGATAGAGTTGATTTTCTTTGTAGAGGCCTGTATGGTGCTGTGTTTTGGATTCTTCATGAAATCAGTGTTGATCACAGGTACCTCACGGCGCTGTGTTGTGTTCCCCTTCTCCTGACTGTTTCCATGCAGCTTTGCGTTGCTCTCTCAGCTTTTTCTCATTTTTCACTTGTCTGTGGTGTCTGGGGCATCTGACTGACAGAGGAGGGCTTTAAAAAAAAAAAAAGCTAGAGCTGGCTTGCAAGCAGTTTCACTAATTGCAGCTTTTTATAAATTTAGCAGATGAACTGACAGTTTCTTGAAGGTGTGTGATCACCACAGCCTTCCCTTGGATTCTGCACGGGCTGTAGAAAAAATTAATCTCTAAGGTGCTAAGCTAATGTACTTCATCTCATTGCTCAATAAGTTGCTTTGTGTTCTAGTTTGCAGTCTTCATTATTCCTCTTATCGCTGCTTTGATGTTGGACTGTTGTCTAAAAGTTCTCTTCAGTGTGTTTTCTATGCTTGTATTTTATAAATGTTTATTTTAGGAGTTTTTATTACTCTCATTGTCAGCTTCCTGTGATGGAGGTTCTCGCCTTTCAATGAGAGGGGTCATTTTATTAGATTTTCACCCAAAGATGTCTGATTTGATAGGCACGGTAGGGTTGAAATAATACTTTTTATCCCTTGAAATTCATGGTTGTTTCAGAGCTTCTAAAATAACTCAATAAGACGAATATGTTTAAGTAGTTCAGCTGTCTGACGTAGGATATACGTTCAGCACTTTCTTTAATGCTTATGGAAAACATCCTGATTTCTCATTTGGCCGTGGATTTCACCCCCTTTCTTGTGACTCATTGTATCATCCAGTCCTCCTATTGTCACCCTCCCTTTGAATTGTCAAAACCATGCATAAAATCTTTCAAGTCTTTGGTTTTCTTTTAATTTAATTCACTGGAATTGAACTCAGGTTTTTATATTGGCCGCCTTTCTGCTGCATGACTCAGCTGGAGCACAGCACATCTGGGCAGCTTTCCTTATGCCTCTATGAGACAGCCATACAAAACCATGTCTCATCTTCAAAAGTTCATTTCTACACAGCATATATCAGCCAATGCTGGCTGAAGAAGAATCACCTCTTCCCCCTTCTCATCCTGATTCTTCCTATTAAAAAAGTAAAGTAGAATTTACTAGCACCAGCCACCTGGCCCTGCCCAGCTCTCATCCTTTTGGTGAGAAGCTTCCAGCAGCAATGATTTCATACTGCTTTTGAGCTTGGTCTGGATCGACTCATTGTGTGCTGAAGTTGGTCCTGTGCACACAGCAGGGAATTGTGCACCTGTTGGGAAGTGATGGCACAGTGTGGGGAGCCACCAAAGATGTGCAGTTTCTAAGAAGGTAATAGAAGCATCCACACAGAGGGTAGAAGTAGGGAGGGGATGGAGGCAAGGAATGTTCTTTCTCTGGTGAATTTAATTCACGCTTTTTGCTAAATGTAAATGATAGCTTAGGAAAAATCTGCTTGGAATACCTAGCAAATGATGTTGCCAGGATACTTCCTGATCATGTTAATTAAGCTGTCCCACGGATTTGGCTTAATTACTGCATAATTTGCATATTGGAAATGATGGTACGCGTTACTAAAGAAAGCTCCTGTTCTGCTAGCAGGAAGACTGTTGCTCATGAATTCATTTTCAAGGGAAGGAGTCTCTAGGTTCATATAATGATGTATCTTGAAAATAAAGTTGAGATTTTTGATAATGAACTGGCATGTATATCTGTATATCTCATTCCTTTTGGTATGATTACACTTTATGCTTTTCCTACCAAGTTCCTGAGAGACTGCATCCCTGCAGCCTTCCTCTTGTTGGCTATTTCTTTGATCACAAGGACCACTGCTGCTTTCAAGGCTGCTGAATCAGATATCAGTCAGTGTGAAAGTGGTGGAATATTTGTCCTGAAGACACTTATGTTTGAAGCTGCGTGTGCATTGTTGGTGATGTCATTTACCACTCTCCTTGGTTAAGCTCACTGTTAAACTATAATTTGTGTGCTTCCATGCTGAAAAAGTGAGATCAACTCCACATTTCTGCCAGGGTCATTTTATATCCCCCATCCCTGCTTTGAGTTCTGTGGTGTTAAACTGCAGGACTACGATGGTACTTTGGAAATAAAAGATGACAAAACATCATAATTCCTGCATCAAGTAAGGCAATATATGTTTTGGGAAAAATTATTGGGAGTACTGCAGCTTCTCTGTTCAAACTGCTAATTGCTTTGATTTATATGGTTGCTAGGATATAAATTTCTGACATGGCTGCTTATAATTATTTTTTGATCTGTTCCTAAACAGGTGATCATAAACAGCACAATCACCCCCAACATGACCTTCACCAAAACCTCGCAGAAATTCGGCCAGTGGGCGGACAGCAGAGCCAACACTGTGTTTGGGTTGGGCTTTCCCTCTGAGCAGCAGCTGTCCAAGGTAACGGGGCTCCCCAGCAGTCCTGTTTGCTGAGAGTGAAGAATTGCATGTACCCATCCAGCCTCTTCCAGTCTGCATGATTCTGCAAATCCTTTTCATCCACATGAATTGATCAATTCCTGTAACTTGCTAGTATCTCTGTATACATAAGCAGGCTGCATTGCAAACTCTCTGGTCTAAACTATAAACTAAATTGGATCGCTGATGATGGTTCTAGTGTGGGGATTTTGATGTTTTGCCCAGGGTGGTTAAAAACATTTGCAACTCCGGATGCTTACAGAGCTGTGAAACCAAATGGGACCAAGGTTGCACCTCCTAGAGCTGCCCTGACCCTGGTATCAGCACAGCCCTGGGTAGGGGCTGGCTGCAGCAGCACATGACTGCCTCTGCTAATGAGTAACAAGCAGTGTAAAATAAATTCCCTATCGTTAGATCAGTGGTCTTGCCAAGTGCTCATCAAAAGGCTGAGGTGTTTGTTCCTGCAACAGAAAAGCATTATTTATCTAGCACATAGTTGCCTCTTGAAGCATGGCTACTTGGCATCAAGCTTAGCAGTTAACTAAACACTGTGTCCTAGGACATGGTGCACAGCCTCTCAAGCTGCTGTCCTCTTACATGCTTTATTTGAATGCAGTCCTGAGAACTGAAGTTTCCTGTAGTGTCTAAAATAGCTAAGGCAAGTCATTGCAATTGGAGGGAGACATTTGAATCACTTGAATTTTTACCAGGTTTTAGTTTTCGAAAACTATTTAACTGAGTTTTTGCAGTTTCCAGATGTGTGGTTTTTTGCAAGTGTTTCTTAAATACAAAACATCTTTTACCTTGCATATTAAATTACTTTTGGATTTGGGATGTCTGTTAAGGTGCCATGGCAATAATGGGATGCTGTCCTGGAGTGCTAAGGCTGCTCAATCAATCACATGCAAAATTGTTTTTTAAAAATGTGATGTTGGTGATAGTGAGGGTTTGTGATGTTTAGATGTAGATGAGTGCTTGTTTCACCTCAAAGAGGTGTTTATAGCAGCTAAATAAGTAGTAGGAGGATTAATCAAGGGGAATCATTTGTTTTGAGTAACAGGTAAACCATGATATAATGCAACATTTGGGCATCTTTAGAATCAGTACATTTGGAGGTCCCTAATCAGAGATTTTACCATATTCTCTGGAATTGACCAAAGATGTGCCCAGAATAAGTTTAATGCTGGTATTGTTAAGTGACTCTTTAATCTGTCTTTAATCTGTGAAGTGCCCATTGCCCATGCTACAGCCTTCTTGCAGGAGAAGCTTCCAAAACCAGCAGAAAGGCTGTTTCTGGTCAGTATATTGAAAAGAGATGGCTTAAGGGGCTCTTCTGAAAATGGCTTAAAATGTTATGTTTGAAAATCTGGCAGTTGTCTGTCTTGAAAATGTTAGAAAAGCTGTTTATTACTGCCATGCAAAGCACTGGGACCAAGATATCCCTTATGATCATGCTCCTCCTTTTAATTATTAAGCCATCAGTATGAAAGATCAAAGATGGTGAAGAGATTACAGAAGTATAAGTGTATGGGGAATAGCAAAATTGTTTCATTTTATGCTGATGTCATTACACTCTTATAAAAGATATAAATAACAGTGTGCCGGGCTTCCCCAAAATACCTGAAGCTTTTAGTCAGGATGTGGGAGGGTGTGCTAAAACTCCTGTGAACCAGAGATCAATAGCCCCGGCTTAAAATAAATAAGTAAATGAAAATGAAGGATGTCTGCTGAAAACAATGGATGATAATGAGATATGAGAAGTGGTTAGCTCTCCTATCAACTCCTGCATTTTTTAAGCATGTTGGCTGGCCTAATAAAAGTTATTGCCTCTTTCTAATGGCTTTCTTCTCTTGAGATGCTTAAGCATTAATCCATACCTATAGGGACAAGCAGTTCAAATTAAACATGAGCCATTAACGAAAACTGCATTCAGTGACCTAGTAACCTAATTAACCACAGACACTGGGACTCTCCTGATCAATGTGGATGGTAATGTCCTGCTTAGGGTCCTTTACCTCAAAAATGTCTCAGATGTTGTTACACCAAAATTGAAACAGGAATCAAACCAGAATTAATGGTCTGTTTGTTTGTGATGGAGAGGCAGGGCTGATGTTGTAAAACTGGTGATGTGTTTTGCACACCAAGCTGTAAAGTAACGTTTCTGCTATCACTCAGGATGCTGTGGTACAGACATGATAATCTTAGGAGCAGTAGCTAGCCAAGGGCATAGGGACAGAGATTTATACAGGTGAGAAGTCCAGCAAGCCCTGACTCTGCACATTATAAAGAACTGCAGCCAGCTTCTGGGAAGCGCCAGACCTTTGCTTTCCATTTATGCACGTGGGTGATAGTGTGCAGTATGATCCCTGGCCGCTTTCATGAGCAAAAGCTCTCATCCCTGATAATCTGCCTGACACTGAGGAAAAGCCACAGTGGCAATGCCACACATGCAGTGTGGGTCAGGCACCCAGTGGTTGCAGTGGGAGCATTGCATAGCCCATTCCACAAACCCATAGGAGGTCTATGGGACTGCTGTGGGTGGGAGCAGCTGCTCCACATCTCATAGGAGGAGACATGAAATATAGTGCCAGATAAGGAGCTTAAAATTCCCGTGCATAAAATAATGCTGCTTAATGTGTAAAATGTTAAGAAGCTCTATTTCTACATATTTACATATTTCTCCAGGTGACACGCAGGCTGCAGATTTTGAACAGCCTCTAAATAATCTGTGCAATGCACAGCTGCATCTTTGAGTCCCCACTAAATCTCTTTGATCAGGACTCCCAGTGATGCAGTGCTCATGGGCTGCCAAGTTTCCCAGGGGTGGGAGCAGCCAATCTGTCCTGCAGCTTGGTCCCACAGCCTACTGGGGTGCATCAGCAGCCATGGCAGCCTGTTGGAGAGGTCTTCAGTTGGTGTTTCTCCCGCTTGTCATTCTTTTGTGAATTGTGGGGAAGTTTGTCTGCTCAATGACATCAGGAAGGAGAGGGAAGGTGAAGGGAGGAAAGATGGTAAGAAGTTGGTTTTGGAGAATTAGACATGCTATAGCCTCTTGAAACTGCATTGGCTACGTTTTCACTTAGTACAAGCTAAGAATTTCCCAGTTCTGAAAAGCACTCTATTGTTGCAATGGCTCAAAATCACTTCAGATCTTGGTGGTGACATGCAATTTTTTTTAGTATCTTGATTATTTGTCAGCTTTTTGTGTTTGAGACAGAGTTGGTCAGCTGCTGGAGAGAGGCAGCAGCCAGCATTGGTAAGGTTGTATGGGTCAGGGCTATTGCTGTTGTGTTTCTGCACCCAGCAGAATAATCAAGTGAAAGGCTTTAATTGTGTAGCAAGCCAAGGGGATCCTCTTTATCTTTCAAAAATAAACTGTGAGCAAAATCTAGCAGCTGTTAATTAGCTAAGAATAAAAAAGGAGCAGCGCCAGAACTCCATGGATTGCAACCAAATGTATGGGATAAACAAATAGCAGAGAAGTCTTTCACCTCAGTTTCTGTTGCAGCCCTCTTTACATTGTAACAGTGCTCAGAAGTAAGGATAATACTTCCACTCCTAAAGCCAAGGGTCTGTCTGAGATTGGTGAAAATCTCACCTACTGGTACTTGTTTTTAAAAGTGTTAAATGTGTGTGTTGGTAAACTGGAGACTGAAATCCACTGTGTGAAGAGGTCTTCATCAGTTTTGTATTGAAGGTTGCTTTTGTTTAGTCACATACAATTTCCATTATGGCGCTGTGTAAAAACATCCTTTTCTTCTTGGCTCGGATGATTTTTCACAGCAGTCTCCTGTGTGCTTTATGAAGATAGCTGCGAAGATAAAATTTGATAGATCACTTCTAATTCTTTTTTCATATTTCATAAAGTCCATGAAGAACCTTCATAAATTTTTCATACTTGCCCATAAGGATTTATTGGAAAAGCGAGACTCGAAACAGCCCCTCACTGTTTGCAAGAAATCCAAGTGTGGAACTTATGTTGACACAGTATTTTAGAAATAATCCTTTTGCTGCAGCTGTTTTGTCACAGTGGGAGATATTATGGAGATGTTCTATGTAAAGTTGGAGTCAAATAATGTAAGGACAAAATGTAGAGTAGGTGATGCTAATGATCTTCATAGAGCTACAGAGGTGATCAGGTTGTTTTGTGTGTAGGGACTGCATGTGCCACCAAATAGAAGATCAATACTTTACATATGCAATTCCAGCTGTTGGATAGAACATAGCTGGATTCAAGAGCTCCATATTCATTATTCATAAGCATTGTTACAGTCTGTAAGTGGCTTGCAAACTTTCATTTGGCTTTAAAGATGTGTTCCTACATGGGATTTAAGTGTGGTGTGTGAGTGTTTGTTGGAAATCTCCATTCTGCCTCAATGTGTATGTTCGAATTTCTTTTAGTTGAAGATTTGTTTTATCAGTCTGTACAGTCCCAGTATTGTACTGGGAGAAAGCATGCTAAGTACCAGCTGTAAATCTGAAAGTTAGAGGGTAGGATTAGTATGCGGATAATGAGCCTTCCCATTCCTTGACTATAAAATGTGATTTTTGTAAGGCTTTTATTTACAGTTCTGTCATAGGTATTCTGAATTTTCCAAGGATATAATGGCAGTATTTTTAGCCACTGTGCAGTAAAATAGATCTATTTATATGTACTTTTAATATGTCTTTCCTTCCTCGTGTTTCAAGTTTTCCAAATCACAGGTTACTTCAGCAGAGAGACAAACTTACCTACTCATATTCTGCCAGCATCTTAATTACTTTTTTTTTAATGCCTTTTCTTCCATCTTTGCAATCATCCTTTTAAAACTTTACATCTGTTTAAAGCGTTTAAAGCCCCGCACCACTGATTGGCTGCAATAATACTTGTATTTCAAAGCTGTCAGACTGGCTTAGGAGCAGATGTCCTCCAGCAACTTGTAGGAATGAGACTGTTGCTTTTCATCTTTATCTTTCCGTTCCACTGACTCCCCCAGTTTGATATTTATAGAAACCACTCAAACTTTTTCCTAAAGTCTTCTATCTTTATTTTTCCAGTATTTAGAAAATCAGACCAAAAAAGCTGCATTTTCATAGGTCCTTGTAGCACATCCAGATCACCTTTTTCTCTTCTTTTGTCTTGATAATCCCTTGCTTACATCCTGCAGATGTCTCACGAGCTCATTTGCATTCTTTAATTTAATTGACTTGCTCTGAGGAATAGAAGGCTGATAATTTTTTTTATCCAAATACGACTCTATGACTCCATAATCTTACATACTTTGGCTTAGTATATAAGATCATAGAATCATGTATACTTTTGACCTTAATAGACCATCAGTGTTGAGTGAAGAATGTCGAGGGAGAAGAAATAAACAAAACCACTTCATACCAAGGGGCACCAGTAGCTCTGTGGGATTCTACTGTGAGCTGCAGAGAATCCTTCATTTAGAGACAGCATTGCCATGCCTTTGGAAGCACCTTCCTGCCAAAGAATTAAAATGTTTTTCTTGCCAAAAAATAATAAATTATCAAATTTAGTGGGTCACTTCTGGAGATCTATGAGACATACAAAGATAATAAACCAAACAGTTTTATATATAATTAATTATTTTAACAAGCATCTTTCGTGCTATTTCCAGTTTGCAGAGAAATTCCAAGAAGTGAAAGAGGCTGCCAAGCTAGCAAGAGACAGATCTCAAGAGAAAATTGAGACCTCAAGTAATCATTCACAGGTTTGTAATTTATCTTTAATACCTATATGCATACAGGATAAATAATTTAAAGCTAAATTTTCTAATGAACTACCAGCCTCTGGCAGCAGGCTGGGGGGAGTATATCAAATGAAGATTGCCCAAGGTAATTATCAGCTGCTGGGAACTGACATTGTCAGAGGAATATTTTTCATCCATCCATGCTCTTTGCCTTCATTTACCTGTAAGTTTTTTTCAGCAGTTCTGAACTGTTACAAATTCTTAATAGCTGGGAGAGCTATACATCCTTTGATTTGTACTCTTACACATAGGTTGGGTCACTAGCAAGTATATCAGCATAGTTCTGTAACAGACAATAAGTAAGATTTATTAAGATACTCCTTTTTGTTATCTGTCTGATCTACTTCTGTAGGAGTTTGGTTTGCCAATGCAAAGGCTTGCTTCACAGCCAACCATGTCTTTCATTGCGTGGATGTGATTCATTGAAAGCTGCATTGCAGAAACAGGCAGTGCTTTAGTGAAGGGCTGGATGGAAGAGCTCATGTTGCAATTTGTATAATATGCATTTTTAGGCAGCACACCTCCATACAGCCAAGCACCTCTGTGCCCAGTGAGCACTGGGCAGTGGTGTATCAGCAAAGTATGAGTGCTGGTTTGGTGGCAGTGCCTGGCCTGTGCTGGTATTTGGAGGAAGGTTATATTCATATTGTTCAGGAAATAGAGCTGGATGACTAGAGAAAAGGTTCTGAAGGCTCAGTCCTGCAACTGACCCCATGGGAGAGGTCCAAATACAGCTCAGAGAGGCTGACTTTGGATATATGTGGTTTTTGAAGACTTTGGTCATGGCTTTTATGATTCTCTGCTTGTTCTGTATTTATGGTCGGCAATAAGCAGTGTGTGCAGGTCATCTCTTTGGAGCAGCAGAAATTTGTATATTTTTGGGTTGGTCTTTGTGCTTCCAGGAGCACTGTATTGTTTCATTACCTTAAAAACCACAATCAAAGGCCCTTCAGAAGCCTCGTCTGTTAACACTTGTGAACACTTTAAACTTTCATTTTGTGCATCATTATCATTCTTTCATTCTTTTATAAAGAGAGCAGCTTTGCACTTTTCACGAACTGTGAGTATTCAGCTCATGACATGTTATCTGTTCTGTGCATTTGTACCTCCTTGCACTCATGTGGGTACAAGCAGAACAGGACCCCTTTCTGGCTGACAAAAAGGAAAGTCCTCTATGCTCTTCTTGTGTGTCACAGCATGCAAGTTGTGTTACTTTTGGGTGGCAGCAATCAAGCTGCTTTGCAGGAGATGTGGGATTTAGAAAGAAGCCCTGCATTAATCTGTGTGTTGTGCCACAGGAATCTGGGCGTGAAACACCATCTTCCACCCGAGCATCTAGTGTGAATGGGACAGATGATGAGAAGGCATCCCACGGTGGTTCTGCTGAGGCACAGCTCAAATCTGAGAATGATAAACTAAAAATTGCTCTAGCCCAAAGGTGAGGTTCCTTTAATATCTTAATTGTATGAAGATGGTGTGCTGTAATTATCTGATGGCTAATGGTATTAGCAGAAATTATTCAGATGTAATAACAATTTAAAATGATGCAGCAGAAGGAACGAATGAGCAGATTTTAGCAGGCACCTCCTGGTATCTGATTGGGAGATATTTACCTTTTCCTGATCTGGTTCATGATGAGATAAGATCATCTGGTGATGCCACACCACCTTCCTTTCCAGAATTTTAGATCTACAGAAGACCTAGGTCACTGAGAAGCAATTGCTACTGGTAACATAGAAATTAATCTGTTCCTTCCCTTTGTTCTTGCTGTGTTTACTTCAATGCAAATAGGTAGAGAGATTTAAAATTCTTAAAGGGAATGCACTGCACCATAAATGGTTGAAATGAAAACTGTATTTTCATTGGATTTCCTAGAAGTCTTTGGGGGATGTTTTTTTAAGCTTCAAGTAGTGCCCCTTGAAGTCACGTTTTTTGCTACTTTGATAAATTATTTGAAATGCTGAAAAGAGTAATTTGCAGCCACAGTGAAAGCACTGAACTTGGAATATGCAAAGCTGTAGCATTAGAATAGTGCAATTCTTTTCTAGAATCCTGCTTGCTTTGTCTGCCTCTTGTGTGTGAATATGTTTGTGAATGGATAGAAAATAGATCAGGATCAAACTACTCGTAAAAAGCTCTTTAAAATAAAGGCAGCAGTGACAGGAGCAGCGTTACACAGTGAGCAACTCTAAGGTTGCCTATTTTACACTTGAAGTACATTATCAGCATTTCAGTAGCATAACCTGTTCTGAATCATACTGGTTGCTCATTCCTCCTGCTGAAGACACCTCCACGGGCACAGAAGCTGCTGTGGAAGAGGTTTCAGAGCCTCCATTTGCTCTGTTCTGTAGTTCAAAGCTCTGGAAAGTGAGTAGCTTCATTCTTCAGCACTATGTAAGGCATATTGAAGGCTGAGCATAAAATAAACCGTGTGTGGGTAGTATCCCCTCCTCTACATCATCCATCCTGAAGGGTCCCAGCAGTGCTGACAAGCTGTAGTGATACACAGGTACAGGAGCAGGGTACATTGGTCAGACAAACAAGATGTGGGGTTAAATGGTCAGCCCATCTAACGGTGTCTGGTCCTTCCCAGTTCCTCCAATGTAAAGAAGTGGGAGACAGAGCTGCAGACACTGAGGGAGAGCAATGCCCGTCTGACCACAGCGCTGCAGGAGTCGGCTGCCAGCATAGAGCACTGGAAGAAGCAGTTCTCAGCCTGCAAGGAGGAGAATGACCAGCTCAGAAGCAAGGTAGCCCTGCACCAGCAGCAACCAGGGGGTACCAGGGCACCTCGTGAGCTTTGATGGGGGTGACCAAAAACAGTGAACAATGAGAGGGGCAACCAGCAAGTTCAAATTGGCAGTTTTTAAGACAGATACAATTATGGGTTCTGGATAGAAGGTGTCTGTAGTGAGAGCATTAATTGAAATGATCCCCAAGGAGCTTTGAGGGTTAGCTGTGCTCTTTTCTTACATTGCTGCCACTGTGTGTGTGTGTGCTAGGGACAGATGATGTTACTGATAGAGAAGCCTGGGGGCTGAGGCAGCGGCAGGGAGTTCACAGAGCTGGGATCAGAGGAGGATGTGTGCTGCTGCATAGTGTGGAGCACTGACCTCTTGGCTTGGACAACGTGGTGTTGGAAGGGCTGCTGGCCAGGATGATAAACAGAAGAGTGATAAAAGTAGGAGTACAGTTGTTGCATGCCTTTCAAAGCTCACTTCAACACTGCCAGAGGGCGAGCAGGAATGGTTATAGCGTGGTCACCCACACAAGGCCCAGCTGGAACCACGCAGCAATGAAGCCAGGCCTGGAGGTGGGCAGTGGGGCCGGGAGCTGCTGCTGTGGCACCAAACCGGCTCCTAACCACTTCTCAGTGGCTGTAGCCTAGAACTGAAGCGATTATCTAAACACCTCTTGCTATAGCAAGTGTCACTGCCCTGCAGGCTTGCTGGAGCAGCAATGCAATCAATACGATGTGCTCTCATTTTCCACACAGTGAGGTTTTCCCAAGTCTCTCCCCAACCTGTGGGGAAAGGCTGTGGGAAGTGCGGCTCCTGAGGTGAGGAGGTGGCTGCCCTTTCCTTCCTGCTGCAGCCTCAGTGACAAGCAGCCCCTGAGGAGGCCGTGCTGAGAGTGTGGGATGGATTTCTTCTCCTTGCCACACTGACACACCCTATCCATTACAACCTTACACTAGTTTCACAGAAATGACGTGCGGATAGTTTCCTCAGCCCCGCTTGTTGTAGCAGCTCAGTGTTTTGTGCATCGTTGAGTAATTAGGTGAGGTACTGTGTGAAAGAAACTAAGGGCAGCCCCAGTGCTCCCTCATGGATGTGTTTGTGGATTCTTTTTAAGGCGAGAAGCAGTGATTTTGTAGTAGTTGAGTGCTGTGATCTGAGAAACAGATCCATGACATGTTAAATTTGTCTTTACTTCCCTCTGCTCAGTGGAGCAATGCCTGCTCACATTGGCTGTGGTCTGCCCCAGATTTTCTGAAACGTGACTATTACATCTGTTTTCTGGCATCTCTTAAAGATTGAAGAACTGGAGGAGCAGTGCAATGAAATCAATAAAGAGAAGGAAAGAAACGCACAGCTGAGCAGACGTCTCCAGGAGCTGGAAACAGAGCTTCAAGACAAAGAGCTGGTAAGTGCCATAAATACAGACAAGGCATACATTCGTACGTTCCGGTGCTGGAGTTGCTTCTCACTTTGGGCAGAGATTTATGGTCTGACTTACCTACAGGCAGGAAAAGCCTGTTGTCTCAGGGTGTTGCCCGTTTCTAGATTTTCTGGGCATAACACTTTGGCAATAGTTTGATAGATTTTCTCAGATCTCAGTTTCACCATATTATGTGCCGTGACAGCACACTTTATTCTGGTGGTTTGTGTATGCAGTGCTTTACTCCCACAAGAAGAGCTGGAGAGGTGGAACAAGTTGCCCCAGGCCAGACAGATGTCTGCTGAAAACAGTTTTTGTTGTCAGTGCCCGCATCCTGTGTTCCTCAGACATCAGGAGCAGCAGGATTTTTCATTAAAAAGACATTTACAAAACAACTGGGCATTTGCATAGCAGGCCCTGTTTTCTTTTTTTCCCCCGGATTGCTCATATGCTTCAGCTTACCCATTTTACAGCCTCCCTCTGATCTCAGGACTAAGGCCAAAAGTGAGAAACTCGAATTCATTTGGAATGGCCCATTTTGTCATTTTTTATATACAGGGTGGTCATTTTTCTAAGGAGAATGATGTTGATGGCTTGGGGCCCCTGAACAGCAGGAAAAATAATGGGATCCTTGTCTTTTCTTTCATTACAGTGACCAAATGCTCTGTGCTGTTTGAGAAAGAAAGAGCTGTCAGCAGGTGCAGTAAAGTTTGCCATGTGCCATTACAACATCTCAGCTGGCACTCTTAAAAGCAGTGCTGTTAAGGGGTTTTAAGATGGCACAAGGAAATAGTTTAGGGAGATGGATTTTGATGCACTGTTATAAATATAATATGGTTCTCAGCACCGTATTTCCAAGGAAAATGTCATGCTTTCTTCGCAGCCTTCCTGTGGTAATAGCACATATAAGAACCCTTATTTACTAGCATTTTGCTCAAATTTCACATTTTTGTGATACTAAATGAACCAGAAACTCAATTGTCTTGTGAATATCACCTGTCATCCAATTCATTAATTTGTTTTCAAACTGCATGCTTGCATTAGTAGGTCCTTGATTAGGTCTAAACCACCCAGAAGTAACCAGTATGAAGCCCAATTGTGAACATTGCCCTCTGAGAAGAACTGCTGATACTGTCTTCATGTAGAAAATGAAGAAAGAAATTTAAAGGCATGGGAGTCAGGATAGATTTATCTATAGAAATATTTATATAGACATATATTGTATATCATATGCCATATGTAAATAGTATGTATTTATGCACATACATACTGTATTATAGTATATATAGTAAGTAATCAGTGTAATAGTGTATATATAGTATAATATTTTTATATTTTTACATACGAGTTCTCAAGCATTGTGTATGTGCATACATATACATATGCATGAGAGCTCATATCTCAAAATAAAATTACTCTTTCTTTCCCCCATATCAACAGCTGGAATATTGCCTGGATATAGTTATTCATACATTAGTTAAACAGATTATTCAGTGCATTTCAGAAAAGTCTGCAGTATTAAATGGTGTGCTGTCTTACATGAATGTAAACTGGTACTGAGAAACAGAATATACTCACATTTGTTCTTGAGATCGTGACCTGTGTGGGCAGCATTTCTGCACTCTCTTCAAGGCACAGCTTCTTTTGACCTGCAAATGTTCTTTTCAAAGACGCTGGCAATTGTTCTGCAAGATGCACAGGATTTCTTAGTGCCTTTCCCTACTAACCTCAATGGTGGTGTTCGTTTGTGGCATTAATGCATTCAGCACTCTTTATTTCCACCAGACATGGTCTCCTACTGAGTCACGTTGTTCTGTTCATTACTCCTCTCAGTTTTGATAGCAGTGGTAGAATACAAACCTAGGGAGGAGTTGCCCAGGACTGTGCAGTAGGGAAGAGCCCACCACAACTGTGCTCTGTAATGATGCCTCTTTACATGCAGCTCATAATTCCACTGGCCCTTTTTGCTGCCATCTATCACTGTAAATTCATGTCTAATTTGCTCTTTGCTACCATCTATAAATTGCTTGTAGCATTACAGCACTTCAGATTCTCTCTCATTGAACATATCTTTTGAGTAGGTATGTCATTTAAGTTAAGATTTCATTAATATAATTAATGACATTCATGCTAGAGATTGGATTACAGTGTCTGTTATAGAAGTAAAAATGCAATGAAAAATGTGTTCTAACGTATTTTTGAATGCAGACGTGCTATTTTGAGTATTTAAATCCAAATACAATGCAGAGTATAATAAAATATGCAAAATTATTCTTAAATTTTCATTGTTTTAAATTGAAGCTTGCAATGATTTTTCTTTTGTGTTTCCAAAGGAACTGGAAGAGCTCCGAAAGCAGGGTGAAATTATACCACAGCTCATGTCAGAATGTGAATCTGTATCTCAACAATTACAGGTACAGTTTAGCAACGAAATTAATTATAAAACAATTGATGAATTTACTTTGTCTTATAACTCATACAGTTCTCTGTTTGGAATTCAGGGTTTAAAGGCAAAAAAAAAAAAAAAACAACCCGGTTTGCAAAACCAAAAAATACTTGTTAGTTGCAAAATGCACCGTGCCCTTTGTAGCACTGACTCATTCATAGCTCTGTTTCTTCCCTTGCGCAAGTTAGCGCACTCTGGTTCACATTGCATCCATCTCCTGCTGGTTCCAGACTATCTCACATCCTATATTCCCACTGTGGGGCTGCCCCAGCAGAGCCTGTGCTGTGCTCGGAGCACCCCAAGACCTGGGGCTGATTGCTTCAGAGGCTTCTTGGAGAGTAACAGATGGGCAGAGCTGTGTGCCATTGGGGACAATACTCATGGGAGCTGTGCTGGTGCTTTGTGGTTCCATAGGGGTTGGGGTACATGGCTGTGCTACTGGAGGTGCTTGCACACAGCAGGACTCATGGGACTGTGCCTTGGGCTGCTTAAGTGCACTAATTAATACATAGAAGGGCAAATGTAAGCAGTCTCATCAATAAAATCAGTCCAGTCAATGGCATCAACACTCTAATAATATAATTGGTGTCAAATCAGATAGAAGTATACTGAGGGGAGACAGGTGCTGAGTGTGGTTTGATTCAGTGATGCCTATGGCTTTTAGTGAGGGTAAACATGTGCTTGTGCTAATGAAACGGAGACCAGGCAGTAGAGCTTGTGCAGGAGCAGACTGCAGGATGGGAGGTGTTACCTGGCTGCCCCATAGCATGCCTGAAGGCTCCACATGGGCAGGAGCAAACTTTAAAAAAAAAAAAAAAAAAAAAAAGATACTGATAAATCCTGAAGTACTGCATAAGGCAGTAACATTCCTTGGGCAGTATTTTCTAAAGCTTGTCTTTCAAGATTAAACTACCATGGATAATTCTGTATGTAATTGCTGGCACGGAATCTAATTCTGCAACTGTAGCAGCAATAGAAATGTATGCGTGGTGTGTGATTTAAAGCCAGCTGAATTTTAAGATATCAACCAAATGACAAAATCTGATTCAAAGTTGTCTTTTCCAGTTAATCTGTGTCCTTTTCTGCGTGGGTTTTTCTTAATCTGTCCAGCACGTGTCAGTTGCTTCAGAGGTGCTTGTGTTAATCAGTTTGCAGAAGTTGGAGCAAACTTTTCCAATCTGATGCCATTTGTTGCTTTACTCTCTTAAATGCTGCTCATCTTTCCTCTCTATGATTTGTCTTGCTATCTTTTTGTCTTCAAGGATGCTGAGAATAAGAACAAAGATCTTGAAGAGAAAGTCAGAACACTAAGGACAGAAGTTGAAGAAAGCAAACACAGGCAGACCAACCTTAAAACTGAATTAAAGAATTTTTTAGATGTACTAGATGGGAAGATAGATGAATTACACGATTTCCGACAAGGACTGTCTAAGCTTGGAGTTGACAACTAGATGGCAATAGATTTTTGTAATCTAGGGTCTGGATGTTTGATGTTTTGTTGATCCCAATCATGTGTTTTACAAAATATAACTAGAATGTTCCACCTGTTTGCATTGTTTTTGTACATAGAGGCTGAAAATTTGCTGTAGGTTATTTTGGGTTTTTGTTTATTTGTTTGTTTTCCAAACCAATTGTGCTGCTCACTGAATTCTTTTGAGGTTAGAAACTTTCTATGCTGCTGCTCCAGCTTTGTGGGGTTGGGAACAGGTAGAGGGTTCTGTCTCAGGAATCTGGAACTAGATCTACCTTAAAATGAATATGCAGTTAGTTGTTGCAGGGAAATTTATATCTTTCTTAAGGGCTGTTGCAACCATAGAAACGGAAAACAAGTCTTTTTTTTTTTTTTTCCAAACTATCAGCACTCCTAGCAACGTATCCTTTTATTCCTTGGCCAAGCAGAGAGATTAGATGGAGCTCCTGCAGTCTGTAAATCAGCCTGGTAAAATGTGCCTGTGATGAGCTGCAGCCAAGTGAATCACTTGACATGCATGCCAGTATCTTTAGGGACCACATCGATCAGGCCTGATTCAGAGAGTAAAATCTAGAGGATTTCACATAACCTTCAATTCAGGCTGCATGTGCTTGCTTGGGTCCATGCAGTGCCAAGACAACAGTGTAGAAATGAATTCCAGCTCTAACACTTCAAGTCACACATTACCCATAGGTGAGGACAGCTCCTCTTGCTTAGCAAGGCCATCTCTCTTTTGAACCATCATCTCAGTTTTGAACCCTTACTGTGCAGTCACTGCGTGTGCCTCTGAAAAGTGCGCACCTGATTCTTGGGACCAGATTTTAATTGTAGGAGGGGACATACTGCTGCTTTGTACGCAGTGCCCGTGCACCTCTGCTCACCTCCATCACTGCTGCTCGGCTGCCACAGCAGGGGCACAGGAGGTGTGATCAGAAAAGCATCAGGAGGTCATAGGAAGCAGCTTCCTGCCCAGGAGACTTGCAGGTAATGACTGCATGAAACCAAAACCCCTTTCTTTCCTATGATTCCTGCGTTCCCCCCTCAGGGGTCAGGCGGGTGGGAGTTAGTCACTAAGTTAGACTGACCAAAAAAAAAAAGTCCTAACCCAATCTCTAAGGCAGAAAATGTAGTCTTTGTTTATTCAGCAGCTCTAAATATGTTTTGAGAAATGCAGACTTGTACACTGGACGCAGTGAGGACATTGCTGCATCACTGACTAATGTGAGAAGGACCGGAGAGGAGCCCACATCTTGCTTTTATCCCTAGGAATGCCGTCAGCTTCTTCCATTTCTTTCTCCATATCCTGGTTTAAGATTCTGTTTACACTGCATCTGAATTCATTCAGGAAAGAACTTGTGATTATGGATATTATATTTGCTTCTGTCAGGTGGAAGTTTGGTGAAGCACCAGGTGAGTGCATTCCAGAAGTGACTGATTCAGTAGCCATGCCATAATGTTTGCATATTATTTCTTGGGGACTTTTTCTTTCTTGGCGTGTTTCGATTATAAAAGTGACCTTTAGAAGATGTGGGTTATAGATGAAACACGCGTTGAATTATTTTTTCACGTGGCTCTATAATCCACATGCTGGAGATGACTTTTGTCTGCCATTGTCCTATGAGTTTTCATTTCATGCATTGTGTTACCATCATTGCCTATTGTTCAGACTGGACTTTTTGTACTCTTTTAATCCTTTTAAATGACACATGTGAAGCTGGGACCTTTTATAGCCACTATGACCATTTAAGTCTTTAGAAAAAAAAATGCTGTAGGCTGTTGAAATTTAAAAATAAAAATAAAAATCAGGTACATAGCATGTAGGCGTGTGAAAATTAAACTTTGTCAGCCTGGAATATTCAACAGTTGCATAATGTGGGGTTAGGACAGACTTCTCAAAATTGAGAATGACGTCAGAAACTGTGTGTGGTGGTGAGCAAGCAATCTCCATTTTTAGTCTATTTGATAGCAAGTCCGCAATCATGAAACAGGCAGCTTGTCCCGCTTCTCCTCTTTCCCCCATACTGCTGCAGAGCTCCATGTGTGGGGGAGCAATACAGGCAGTCAGGGCTCCTGGTTGCAGTGCTCACCATGCCTGCACTAAGGACCCTGCTCCGTCTCCTGCTTCCTTTTGTCTGTTATGTGATCTTAGGGCTTCTCGCTCTGGTTTTAATATAAAATACGGTCAAAGGAGTGCAAAAGACTCTGCAAATAAATAATTCTATTGAGATTAGTCCAGGCTTTTTCCAGCTTTAGTCAGATCTGTTGCAGATCCCAGAGCTTGATTTTATTCATTATTACAGCTCAGGGCTGTGTAAACCCATATGGCTGGTGAGGAGGAATGTCAGCTCTATATCCATTGTACATGAGGCTGTATCTCGCCTTGAGCACCCATGATCTCACTCTCCACACACAGGTTTCTCCCTCAGAGTGGTGCATGGCAGGATGTGTCCTACCTCAGCTGTGTGCTGCATGTTTGCAAAGGCCTTCTGCCTGGCTCTGAGTGCCACTGCTGCCCCTCAAGTATGCCCTGCCCTGGTGGCATCTGGAAAGCTGGGGCTCTGGGAACAGAAATCTGACACTCTTTAGTGAGAGTGACTGCCTGTCTTCCGTGCTCTCCAGAGAGATACTCTTCTGACACAGTGTTAGAGCTGCTGGTAGTCTTGGTTTTTCTCTTGGAGCAGTGGCCAAAGTAAGCTGAACAGATCCAGTAGAAATGGTCAGTGGCAGAAAAATGACTTGAGATGATTGTCATCAAGGGGAATGGAATGTTTCTCTGGCATGTTAGTTAGCATATTGGAAGATGACCTTAGCCTAATTGTTAGAATAAATGAGTTCAAAATGAGAAACTTAAAACTTTGTTTCACAAAGCAAAGTAACACAGTTTAGCCTTTTCCTTTTTTTGCTATTTGGTTAAGCCTTATTTGCTGATTTTTGACTCAAATTCACAAGTAGTGGTATTTTCCCAGAAAGTGTATTTTCAGCAAAATTAGCATTTGCCAGTGTTCCCTTGTCCGTGTCTAATTGGCATTTCCTTTATGAAGTGAGCTAAGCGCAAGAGGAACTTACAGTTGTAAGGAATTCGGTGCCACCTCTCACTTTCTATACCCAGCATTCAGATTACTCTTCTTTAAGAATGGTTTTACACTTGGTGTACCTGGGCCATGCTACTCAGGCAATGCCTTTTTTTTTTTTTTTTTTTTACAAGCCAAACATCTGATTTTACCTTTATGTGAGGGATGTAGGCTTTTTTTTTTTTAAGGCAGATCAATGAACTGAGTGGAGTGGGAAGGCTTCTGCCATCCATGACATCCTGTCATCACTTGCAGAGCACTGTGTCCACGTCCCAGCCAGGCACAAATGTCTCTGTGCTATGGCACTCTTCTCTTGCCCCATTTCATTTTTTTTTCCCTGAGGTTCACTTTCTCCCCATGGCTGCCTTGTTCATTTCTGGTCACCTTTGGCTGCATCCCAGCCCCCAGAGGATGGCCCCCACACTGCTACAGCCCAACACATGTTGTTAGGCTCTTCCAAACTAAACCCATCAAAGCCTCAGTGGCTTCTTGCAAATACAGTGTTGTCTTCCTGAGCCTATGGATTAAGAAAATAACACTGCTGTCAAAGTGAAGGGTTGTATGTCTCAGTGCTGATGCTGATTCAAAAGGGAAGAGGTTTAAACAGGATTTAGGGAGCTACGTCTGATTTTGGTGATTGTTGTGGCAGAAGCTTCAGTGCAGGATGTGCCCTATGCTCAGCCCCACACTGATGGAGCACCAAAGGTCTGAGATGGCCACCGCTGGCCCATCTGCCTTAGCACGGGCAGTTCTTGGCTCCTGAAATCTGTTGGTATCCAAAAGTCTTCAGCATATCAAAGATGGATTTCAAAGAGGGAAGGATGAGAAGTGAATATCCGTGCACAGCTGAATGGTACAAGAGCCAGGCAGCTTGCGTCAGAACACAGGGGAGTTGTGGGGGCTCTTTGGCACAATTGGGTGGCTGCTAGGTATAGAGCTGCCTTGGGGTTATGCCTGACCCCGTGAGTTCACTCGCCTTTGTGTTAAGCACAGCAGTATGTAGGCACAAGGCGCTTAACCCAGAAGCAGCTCCAAGCAGAGGTCTCATGGGCACGTGTAGGCCTGAGAGCTCGTCAGCATTCATGCTGACCTCTAGGAGATAAATTGACAGTTACATGAAGTTTGCATGTCTGAAATATTGGTCTCTGTGCTGACCAACATACCTGAAGTGAAACCCACATTCAGGAGAATGCCAACAGAGTGACAGCCATACTTCCCATGGGGTTCTGCAGGCAGAAGGCAGAGTGGGGCCTCTCGCAGTCTGACTTTGTGCTGTGCTCTGTGTTAGCGCTTCTCTTTTTATTTTGTAAGACAGTCTAAATACACAGTCTTCAAATGAAGGTGCCTATACCTCCAATTATCTTTTTTTCTACGTGTATTTTGAAATAAATAGCTCTTTCCTTTCTGGTTACCTAATAACAGCACAGACAAGAAAGGCACATGAGAAAAATCAATCCACTAGTGTATTTTTTGTGTGGTTTTTGGGGGTTTGCGTGTTTGTTTGTTTTTAACACTGGTCAGCAATAATTATTTTAGCCATATACTAGCTAAAAAAAAGACTGATAAAGCAGGATTTGTGAGCTAAGCTTCTTCATTTGCAGTGTGCTGCCCAACCTGGGCATGTGAAAGGAAGCTGTGCTCGGTAGGAGTGTTCTGCAGCATTTTGTTGTTTTCCTTCCCTTGCCTGATAGTGATCACGAGCATAATATTCTGTAAAACTCATCATGAATGATAAACAAAGCACATTGTTTTTAACAGAAATATATCCCTTTGTCGTTGAGAGTTCCGAGAGTGTCTTAGTGTGATCTGCGATACCAAAATATTTAGATTATTATGAAATTTTAGTACTGAGGATATCCATGCGCCCTGTTTTAACTGTTTCAAGTAAAGTTTAGTGAGTGAGAATTTGTTGATACACAACTGTTGGAAAACACTGCAGTGCTCTAAATATATATTTTTATTTGGTTCTGTTATATTTAGTATATGAGTTAATGGAAACTGGAGTGTTTACTACAGTTGGATCATTGTAATAACATTTCTTACCTCGTCATTTTGTCTGCTGTGAAAATATTTTCTTTTTTTTTTTTTTCAAATTGGCCATAGACAGTCAATGTTAACATTTAGACTCCTAGTAGCAGTAAATGCTGGGTTTTATATATATATATATATATATAAGAAAAACTTGATTTTTTGCTTTATGAACTTATACAACTTTGTGATTTTTATCTGATTTTATTGTAACATAAAGTTGTTTTACGTAAAAATATATAGTTTAAGTAAAATCTCTTGTCTCATTGTCTTCATTTTCTTCAGAAAATGGATAGTGTTTCCCTGCAGCGTATCACATGGTTGCAAAGCTGGACTCCAGGTAAAGCTGTCACTCAGTATGAAATGTGATTTAGATCTATCTGTATGCTGTAATGCATTAGATACATACTTTAAAAACCTTATTTCCATGAGGTGGAGCTTAGAGCAGAATTCTGCTCTACTGTTTGAACAGCTAGAGGGGGTGCAGGGCTGGGCAGAGAGATAAGTGCTGAACTGGGAAAGTCACTTCTAGATATATTGTGGTATGAAATTTGGGACTTACTGCACTTTGGGTAAGACCTGTCACTAGAAGGAGGCTCAGTGTTGCTGGGGGATGCTCAGGACCAAAAACCTCATGGAGTCCTGTACCTGATGGAGCAGCCCTGGTGGCAGCTGGAACTGCTCTGGTATTTTCTTTGGAGGGATGAGTGGGACCCAGGAGTAAGTCTTTGCTGTTCTCCATTAAGACCTGAGGTTAGCAGCACCTTCCCAGCAGAAGCAGTTTCCCAAGGTGAAACATCTGTGTCTCACAGCCCATCCCTGGGTGGAGATAGCACTGTGCTGCTGCTACAGATTGCACATAAAGATGCTTTCAGCATCCTTGTGTTCATCACACAGAAACAGTGTTTGCTATCTTGGCATTAACCCAGGCCTCCTCCCAGGGATTTATAAGATTTGAAGACTGCTAAATGGATGAGGCTTGTTGTGCCTTTGTTACTCTGGGTTACACGGCTGCAAATGTCAGCACTGGGGTGAGCGGGAAGCACAGCCTCTCCTGACCTTTCTCCAGAGCTCGTCTACCAGGAGCCATCCATAGGTCTGCCAAGCAGCTCAGTTGTCTGGGGCAGCCCCTGAGTAACCAGGAGATGTGAAAGCAGCTCATATGCACTGCAGCAGCTGGTGGGAAGCACTGCTCCTTGCTGGCTGCCTGAAATTTCCCAGCAGAAGGAGCCAGGTCAGTGAGCTGAGCTGTCAGGGAAATCAGCTGCAGCATGCCGATAATGCCTTCATTGTCACTTTTGACTGGATTCCTATCAGGAAGCTTGGAGAACCTCCAAAACAAGGTTTGTACTTCTCAAGTTATTCATTAAACAGCTTTTTGCCAGGCTGTGTGATAGCGAGCTGTGATATGCCGCCTTGGGATTTCTGGCGAAAATACAAGTGAAGGTAAGATGAAGTTTCAGTGTAATATTTGACACATGAACAGATGAATGACTTTGTAATATTGTGCTCCTTTTGGCGTTCTCCTTGTATCAGCAATCCAGGAAAAGTTTAAGCCCTGACTTGGAGGAAAAAACCACCATCCGACCAGTGGGAGTCCCACACAGCAGCAGTGTGCTGGGTGAGATGGACTCACCATGCCTCATGTAACTGATGGCAGGGCTGGATTTACAGAGATGAAGTAGGAGGCAGTGTGCTGAGCACCCTGTTGATATCCCAGCCAGGCCGGGTGCCACAGGTTTGCCTGAGGGCATAAATACCTGAGGAACAATTCTTGTGGTGGTTTGCATTCAGATCTATGAGCAGATATATCCATTGGTACATGATGGGCATTGATTGGAGCTTTTTTTTTCTTTTCCTGTATTGTCTGTTTCCCTTGTTAGGACTGGTGGTCTACAGAAAAGAAATCTGTGGCAGTAATCAAAAGAGAGCTTGTCTCCTGAGTTTCCATAATTGGATATGATTTGTTGCATATGCCCTGGATTGAGCGTAATGTATGCTGGCTGGAGGGAATCCAGGCATACAGGGAATTATAAATAACACCAGGATGGGCAACCTTTTTGCATTGCTGTGTCGTACTGAATGGTACCAGTTTCAAAGCTATCCACTGTCAGGCTTTTGTCGTTTGTTTCACTGCTGCCATTAGCCAGGGCTTTCCATTTGCAGGAGGCACAAGTTTGCACTGTTCATTAACCTAGAGATGAGTGATGCCAAACGGGATCCTGGAGACTCTTGAAGAAAGGACCCAGGTAATTAAGTATTTATGTCATTCAAATCTTGCTTATATATAGCTGTGCTGGGTGCATTTGTAGAGATAATCCCTGGCTCTGAAACCTGGGAAAGTGCAGTGATTCACTCTCTCCACTCACTGCAGAGGTCCTCTGGCCATCAGCACAGTCATTGCTGTGGGAGGGAAACAGCTTTAGGACAGCACTGAGAGAGATCTCAAATGCTGCTTAAAAAACGGGAAGCAGAAGAGGTAGTGACGCATTGCACGGCAGCCTAGCTCTCCTTCATTAAACTGAGAGTTTGTATGTTTTATTGGTTTAGATGAAAACCAAACAGAGTCCTGGGTCCCTAAGGATGCACAGCATCAGCTTTCTGCTTTGTGTCCCACCTGAGGCAGCTCGTGTTTGGGGGCCAGCTCTCTGACCTGCTGAGGTCCTTGGGCAGACCCAGGCAGCATTTTTCTGCAGCAGAGAGAGCTGCTGATGGATTTGTCATTGGTCATTCAGGGATACAGTCAGCTGTGTATCTCCTCTTTCAGAAAGAAACCTGAAGGCACAGATAGGCTATTACTGATGTACAAGTCCTCATTTCTGCATGTGATAAATGCATGCAAAGGCAAGCATTATGGGGGTGCTGGAGTACTGCTGTGTTTACTAGGGACTGTGGGATGCTGTCCCAAATGCCCCACACAGGAAGTGCTCCTTCACAGGTGAGGTGGGCAGGGGAGGCATGAGTTGAGGCAGAACACACCTCTCCTTTGCCTTTCCGTGTGCTCACTGTCCATAAGCACTTCTCAGTGCCTTTGTTCTGAAGTAGCTAACTGGCTCTGGAGGAGGGATGGCAGCAGTCTCCATGTAGCACAGGGGATGTGTGGGTGTGGGATCCCTTTTTGCCGTCACCACTGCTGAGCAGGAAGAGGCTGTGGGACGGGCAGTGACTCACTTGCTGACGAGTATCAACACTGGTGCCTTTGTAGGAGCAGAACAGGTCTGTGTTGTCACCCCAGTGCCTGTGTTGCCCACTCTTGTGGAGCCAGGACTTTGCTGCTGGCACCAGGATTCAAACCCACTGTAGGCAGTGGCTGGGGGCTAGGAGGGGAACAGGAATGGCTGCTGGCTTCAGGCTGCCCCATGGTTCCATCTACAGGATGGTGATCAGAGCAAGACAAGGGACTGTTGCCTGGGAATAGAAGGATTGCAGAAGATTTTATAGCACTAAGAGTGACTAAGTGTGCAATGAACTTGTATAGGACCAGTATCCCACTAGAATGCTGTACACCTTTCCCCACCTGCAGCCTGCTAGCAGTGAGGGTATAGGAGAGGTCTGTGCTACCCATTGTAGTTCCCCTGGTTTCAGGCTTGTGAGCTGTTTGCCACAGAAGTGAAACGCATGTCATAGCATTTCCCCAGTCTCCTCATCCTCTGGCCATTGGCAGCTCAGTGTTTGGCTATGGATTCTTCCTCCCTCCCACTCGCCCACTTGCAGCCACCTGTCCTGTCCTCTGCTCCCTGCCATGTCCTCTTCTCCCTGCTGAACAAGCCCTGGTCCTTTGGAGGTGCCATTGCCACTGCTCAAGGGCAGAAAACTGGACAGAGTCCAGGAGACAGACTGGAGGATTTGAGACCTGAGGGAGCCCAAGAACGGGCTAGGAGCTGGGGCAGAAGGGGGCTGCTTATGAAAATGAGCAAGAGTAGATTTTTGGTTTAATATGTTTCCAATGCATTTAGCAGCTCTTTCTTACTGCTGGAGCAATGGTTTGCTATAGACAGCTTGTTTTATGCAGCATTTTCACAAGTAGCTGAGCTGTTAATGTCACTGCTACCCGAGCAGATTTAATTCTGCTGCTTCTCGCTTTCAGCTTACTGTGACATGCTGAGAATGAAAATTGCATGCTTTTCTACTAGGGGGAAAAAAAAGAAAAAAACCCCACCATGTTCTGGAGCAGTTTCCAGTCTGTGCTGTCCCCAGGGATTTGCTTACGGACTGTTGGGAGCTGCTTCCAGTGCCAGGCCTTGCGGCAGCATTTATTAAAAGATACCTTCACTGCCATTCACCTTTTATCATCACTGTGGATTTAATTGAAATGATGCGTCCCTTTTTCCTACGGTATCATGTTATTATGACACACAGTGCACAGCTGTTCTCTCTGATGCAAACAGGAAGTTTTGGAATTAAAAATGCTTTTCAACTGGAAGTATGCGTAACCTCAAATCTCATTTTCCTCAGAAAGAGTGCACATCTATCTACCCACCTCTTCTCTGAAAAGGACTGAAAGCAGCAGCATTTCTCATCTTTTTGTTAGTTGTAATGAATGCCTTCATACACATCAGCTTTGTTCCTCTTGCTCCAGGTGTCCTGGCATAGACTTACATCTTCTTATTTTAAGGTGTAAAAGGAGGGAGTGGAAGTGGACAAAAGGGTTTCTGGGGCACAAGGGCCAGTGGGAGGCCAATAGTGTTCCTGTTGATGGGATTACAACCTTAACCCAGGTGGGGCGTGCAGGGCAGCAGATAGTGAGTGAGCCATAGTCATAGAATCACAGAATGGCTTGGGTTGGTGGGGACCTTAATGCCCACCCAAGCCCTGCTATGGTCTGGTGGCCCTCAGCCTGCCCAAGGCCCATCCAGCCTGGCCTTGAGCACCTCCAGTGATGGAGCACCCACATCTCATGAGAGCAAAGCAGAGTAGCCTTATAAAGACCAGGTTAGGCCTTGATTTTTGGTAGAAACAGTAATTCGGTGTAGCTTTTTCCTTTCTTGGCTTTAACAAAGCATGGATCTGCAGCATGCAGGCATGGCGTGGCTGGGGAGAACTCTTGTTCTGTTTGCAATGATGAGAAATGAAACGGAGTTCAACATCCATACCCTATCAGAGCCATCCATCAGGAAATGAAGCCTTGAACTGTTCATTTATGGGATGGAGAAGTGACACTGCAGCCTGCTGGCAGGCACTGCTCATGCCCTCAGGCCAGGCAGGGCTGCAGGGGCACAGGCATACAGGATGCAGCCTCAGCTGTGAATCAGCCATGTATATGCCGTTGCTTGATGATAGAGGAGCCTCATCCATCCTGAAAAGCAATGCAGTGACAGAACTGCTGACAAATCCATCTCTGTGCTGCCATCTCCAGCCACTGCTGTGGGCTTGCGTGTGCTGGGTGCTGCAATCCTGCTGTGATCAAAAGGTGGGCTGTCAGAGCACAGCTCTCCCTGTCAGCCCAAACAGTCTTTGAATACATTTATGTTAAGACTCCCTAAAAATATTGCCAGCAGTTGCCTGGACTGCCCACATCTCGTTAAAAGCTCACAAGGCACAGCAACTCCTGGTGCTACGAACTTTTTAAAGCCTGAGAGCTGCATTTCTGTTCAACAAATTCTGCAGCTGGAGAGTAAGGGCAGGCTGTTCCTTCACTGGCCCAAGAAAGGAGTGCTGTAATGGCAATGCAAAGAACTTCAGAGCTCAGCACCAATCCAACCCTACAACACTGCTCACCTCAGAGCCAGCCCCCCATCCAGATTCTCAAGTTGTTCCATTCGTCAGTAAAACAAAGTATTTGCAAATTTGTTATTGATCTACATATTTCAGAAATATTTAAAAAAAATACATGGATTTACATATATCCTTATATTTACATATATCCTTACTGTGAACTGCTGCTGCATGGTTGATACTTGCTACCAAAACCAGAGTACTGTAAGTAAAGCTTGTAGCAGAATCCTAAAACAGGAGCAGCCTGAACCCACTTCAGCTGTTTGGATCTGTTTTTATTAATGGTCAGTGTAAATTCCAGAAGGAATTTTGAATCGTTTTTGTCACCATCTACCCAAAGTAGAAAGTCTATAAATGTAACGCAGATGAGTTTTTAAGGAGGCAGGTTCCAGGCACAATGCAAGTAACTACTGTTTATCAAATAATTTAAATTCATGAGAGGAGCTATAAACACATACTGATGTTGCCATTGGACAAATGCAGCGCTGTAGTACAGAGCTATATTCAAGAAAATACTCTTTACAACATTTTGGCTTTCCTCTCTGCCACCACGTCAGTAAAACTGTAGATATATGAAAAACGCTTTTTATCTAGAAACACTTCAAGCTTCCAACTAAAAAGTAAGCTTTTTAGTAATTACCACAGTAGTGATTATGTCAAAATTGATAGCAGCCTTCTCCAGTCAGCACTGTCCGACTCTTTCATAAGTGCACACTTACAACATAATGGTAAGAGGAGTATCCAGTGCTGTTATCTAAGAGCAGACTGTATTAGACAAGCAAAATGTCTGAGAAATTTCTAAACAATACTAGCAGGAAGATGAGGTACCAAATTAATTATGCCAAGTTTGCTAGACTGCCTTTATCTCCGTGTAACAAAATACATTTTCATTTCATTTTTCACTCCCAGAAAGTTTTTGTAATAGTGTTGCTGTGGAGTAACAACCTAAATATAATGTATGTTTCAATCCAGTATATCCACTATTTTAGCTATCTTCAGATGTGTTGAAAGCTACCAGCCAGAAATATCTGTTAATGCAAGTTTATGTTGGAGTATGACATTACATGCAAAAACAATCTGCAGTTCCTGTAGAAAATCAACAGGACCCTTTAACTCTACAAACATTTGTGCACTTTAAGAACACATGCACAATCTCACTGTTCTTTCATTTTGAAAGGCACTCTATGACGTGCAAAAACAAGACCAATACTGTTACAGTCAGTAGTCTGTTAGTCTAAATTGCTTAGCTGTCCCATTCTCCATTATTCTGATCATTATTTTCCTCTTCTTCAGAATCAGCAGACACTTTCTTAATTCTCTGGATGACTGCTTTAATGCTTCTTTCCAGCTCATTAGTAGAGTCTTTACTGACATCTTTTTCAGTATCTCTATTCACTTTTCTTAGTTTAACTCCTTGCCTTATGGCAGAGAGAATGTTGTCTTTCACAGAGGCATATGGATTTGGCTGTTCCACTTTGCGAAGATGAACTTCACCACGTTTTAGAGAAGCCAACACCTCATCCATTGTACCTGCAACAGATAAGTCTATCATTAACAGAAGTAGGAAGACAAGCATGGTTACAAGTACAGAATCCTACCCATGTGTTCAGGATTCCTCCTTTCATCTCTGCTAGAGACAGAAGAAAGAATAGTCCCTTCTGGTACAGATTTGTAATAGCTTCTCAGTGCCATACTCTGGCACTGAAGAGTTAAACCTTTGTATCTTTAATTGAGAAACCAACGCCTCTTCAACATTATACAAGGTTGAACACTAACAAAGAAATTATACACGAAGGAGAATGCTTCTTTTTCATTATAACTTTATGGCCTTTCAAAAAAAAAAATTACTGAACCAAGAAATCTCTTGTATTCCATATTAGAAACAATCTACCACTCCTAGCTTGCTCAGATGCCTGCTGAGACTGCCAATTGCATTTTTGCTCAGCCAAGAGAAAAATAAAAAGATTTGAGAAGAAGGGTTTGAAACTACACCACTGAAGTCAGTGGGAGCCAGATCACAGCTCAAGCAGGCAAGCAGACAGCTCTTTTCTGTGTAGACTTAAAGAAAATAATTCCCATTTTACAACATGATTTAAATCTCAGGCTATGTTTATGGACTTCAGACCATAAAGAACATACCAGTGAGAAAGCTCCTGCTGGCTCTATTGCTACATACTGCAATTTCTGTTGTAGTCCTCTTGCTGGATTCTTAGACTGTCAGATGGGGACAGCAGTCTAGTCCTACAGCCACAGGTCTGGACCACATGTACCTCACAACAGCAAGCATTTTTGCCATGCACAGTGCACAGGTTAGCTGATTGAGCACTGAAAATGCAACATCCTGCTGAATCCTGTGGTTCTTCAGAGACTGACAAGAGATGCTAGAAAAGGATCAAGCAGAGATCCACAAAGTTGTCTTGCAATGCTTCCTAGTAAGCAAGCTAATAGCAAGGCTGTTCCAGCAGCAATCTGAATACTCTGGTGTACAACTCATGCTACTAATCAAAGCCTTTTATGATTATCTGTGGCAGAGTAATTCCACTGTCCTCTTAGTCTGAAGTCAGCACACTAATCCACTGGATACACAGTACTTTGTCATGCTCACCTGTATTCAGCCTTCCAACTGCTCATACTTCCTCACACCTTGGAAGAACTTAAAATGCTTAACTTTACTCAGAGTTTCTGCCTGTGGTCTGCATCTTAACTGAGAGGATACAAAGGCTGCTTAAGTGTACTGTGAACAGTCTGAAAAGGAATGATTTTCAAATAAAAACCTGCCTCAGTTTAGCATGAGCTCTACTGTGACAAATGGCAATAAAAAAAATTGCTGCCTTCCAACTTAGTTCAATCTGCCCAACACAGTCCAAATTCTTGCTTTAGAGACAAAACTAAGTCTGTTAGCAGAATGTAACCAGTGCAGCCTTGAGAGGCTGCTGAGCTCTTTTCTCAGTCAAACAACTGCTTCAATTGCAGAATTCAGCCTTCAAAATTACACCTGCATGATCTTGCTAACAAAGCAGAGGGGGTAACAGAGCAGAATTTTTGCCCTAGAAATGCAAATATGCCAAGGCTATCCATCTGCCTTTCAAATCCCGATTGAATTCTGCATGAATTCTCTCAAGAATCCTTTATTTAGAAACCAAACAAATTGTAAGTGGACACAGGCTGTGCCTACCTTAGAAATGCAAGCAGCCCAGCTGCTAGGTCTGTAGTACACAGATCATGAACACTGAAGTGTAGCCTTAGTACAACCACATATCTACCCACAGTGGTCTTTTGACCAGACAGGGATTTATCCTCATCAAAATGAATCATTCTGTTCAACTGTTATAAAATTGTGGAAAAAGTCAGTCTGGTAATAAGGGTTGCTTTAAAATATCAACCTGAATGTTCAACTAGACAGCATTTCCCCAAGAACACCAAGTCATACACTCTGGAAGTCAGGATCAAACTGGATCAATCAACCATGGTTATTCATTTAGAATCCTGAGTTATGGTGTTACTGCACGCTGATCTCTTAAAAGAAATTCCTAAGAATTTCTTTCTCTTGAGAAAGACTGCATGCTATTACTGTCTAGAACCAGAGGGAGAACTGAAGAATACCAGAAAGGAAGAAAGAAAAACATCAGTCAATGTGAGCCTACTTACCTATGCAATTATTTATAGACCTCCTGGATGAGTCATCCTGTTTGTGCACTGCAGGGCTTTCTAAAGGGTCATGAGAGCTAAGGGGAAGTGGCTTGTCCTCTACTGTTGGTTTTGTCTTTAAATGCAAAGGTAAGGGAGGAGGTAGTGGTGGAGCAGGTGGAGGAGGTAGAGGTGGTGGAAGAGGTAAGGATGGAGAGACCAACTCCTCGCTGTGCTTTTTCTGCTTCAAATCATCAGCAGTAATAAAACTTTGGACAGGGATATCTGCTGTGGTATTCTCGTGTGAAGCTTCTGATACTTGTGCTTCTACTAGCAGCAAGCTCTTTGGCTGCTCTGGTGCTGGCGTTGCTCTTGATGGAGGAGGAGGGCACGCTACCGCAGCCTTCCGAGGGATGTTTCGTGGCAATCTAAGACTGAGAGGCTCTGGATGAGATGTTTTCAGCACAACGTGAGCTGGACACTTCTGAAAAACAAATCATAAGCAGAGGGTCATATCTCCACAGGACTAGCCAAACCAACACCCCCAAAGAGACTAAAAAGCAGAAAAGCACAAACCTGTACCACTCACGATGAAAATTCAACACCAAACATATTTAAAGGAATATAAAGGTCTTTCTTTCAAAGCCATTTCCTCTGGAAACTATTTCCTTAGCTGGCTGCATTCTCTTTACTCAATTACACACAATCCTATTTCAGGCTATCCAAATGGTAGTCTCAGATTTGGACAATGCTCAAGATATCTGATGTTATGCTTTCATATCATATAGGACAACTGTAACTCACACTACTTACCTCCCTGAATGTCTTCAGTCTCTCCAGTGTTTTCTGACGTTCCTGGCTTATCCAAGCTTTTTTCTTTTTCTCTTCCTCTTTTTGTTTGTCTCTTTTCTGCATTAAAACACAAGTGAGAGAGCATTTGTGTGTGAAAACAAGCAGCTGCCCGATTCTTCAAGGCTGCTGTTCAGTACTCACTATTTGTATGCTGTGATGCTGTTGGAAACGTTTTTTCCACTCTTCTGCTTGCTGGAGTCTCTGCCGATGGCTTGCTTCACACTGATCCTGGCAGAACAGCAAAATTCATACAATCCTTGGTTAGTTCACATTCCCTGTGTGCCATGTGTGCCATTAACTCCCCGTGCACAAGTTACCTAACAATGACCAGTACCAAGTGCATGGCTGTGCTGTGAATGATGGCTAAGCTCAACAAGTGATAAATGTGAGACACTGTGAAGGTGAGATCTATGGGACTCCTTCATAGCTAAAGCTAATTAGATTTGTTTTTTATCCTAACTAATGATAGTTATTCATGCTACAGAGGGAGTATAACCCAGATCTGAAAGTTGCTTCTGGCTTATGTTTATGTTTAAAAAAAAAAAAAAAGGAGAAAACAAGAAAAAGGCAGCAACAAGCTCTGAAGAAATTTTACCCAAGCTTCACCTTGTGGCAAGGGGTGCTATAACATGGGAAGGAAGGCAAGAAAGAAGTTAGAAGGACACTGAAAAAAAAAATACAAGGCTACTTTCCCTCTGTCTATTTTATTTGCCATAGATCCTATGTGCAAAGGCCAGGGAACCAAATGTAGGTGAAGCACAATGAACGCCTACCAGGAGTACCTTTTGTTAGTAACAAAGCTGAAGCTGCAGGCTTCAGTGTTTTCTCCAGGAGTCACTATTTGTCAATCTATAGGGAGGGAATAAATCCATATGACTGTGCAAGCAAATCATCTGGCATTTGGCTTTAGTGTTATGTAACCAGTAGACAGCAATTAAGTGAATGAAAATAGAAGCAAAGAATATGTCTGCAGAGGAAACAGTTGCAAGCAAGAGACAATGATCACTCACATAACATCCTCAGTGTCATTCCCACTCTGTCCAGCCTAGATAGAAGGCCAAACAGACTTGAGCTTGAGCTCTGCTCTCTGCTTTAGTGAAACTGTGCAGCTGTAAAATAAGCCCAGCTCACTGGCATTGTTCATGAGAGTCAACTGTGATCTCACTTGTGTCTTCCTACTGTTCTGCTTCAGATGATAAAATAAAGGCAGAAACTGGCCCTTGCACACAACTGAGAGAGAACTGCAGTAGTTAAATTTCCACTCCCTCCAAAGGTATCACTGTGTGGGTTGCTCTGTCACTGCAGCTCCCTTCATAGCAGGCAAGGTTTTCTCCTGTGCTGCAGCTGCTTTGTAGAAGACTGCCTGGGCAAAACTCCAGCTGGCCACAGCAGGGCTCTGTATGAAGTTTAGCTGACAGAAAAACATCTCCCATGTAAGTCTGTGCTCTCAATACACTTGAGAGGCACTTGTATCACACAGCAGAGCATAAAAGTTGGCTTAAAACCACAGTGCCCATCTTCCTGTTTTGAGGCACAGAATCACACATTTTCTATGCTCCACCCAAACGTTTCCTATTTGTTTCCTGTTCATCCCTCGTGAGTCAACACTCATGACATCGGCTATAGAAACTGCACATCTCCAGGACTGCATTTACTTTTTTGTTCCTGAGGTAGGCTCTCCTCGCACAGACAGTCCCACGCTTTGTCTCCAACTGCTTAGTCTTCTGCCTCAGCACCGTCATTTCTGACAAGTTAGCATAATGGTGTTCCATTGTCTGTTCAATGACCTTCAGCTCCTCAGGATTTTCACATGTATCATAGTAAACAACTTCATCCTGTTTCTCTAAAAAGGCATTTGGTATTTTTTTAAAAACCAAAAAATTGCCACAGTTATTTAAACATTTAAAGAACTAATGACATTTTAAAAGCCGCTGAGGGCAGTGAGTTAGTTATTACAAAGTGTAAAGCTCCAGAGCTAAGCTTGGACCTTTCAAGCTTTACGCAAACATGCCATGCTACTCACAGGGGTGTTTTGCAGGATCAGATTTATGCTGTTAACATTTGCTGTTATTCAGCTTCCTCTCTCAAATGTCTCTTTGTGCTTTAACTCCTACCTTCACCAACTGCAGTATTCCTGGAAAACTGACGGCTGTTCTGAACGAGTCACTTACTTTATCATTTACCAGCTCTTAATTAAGCAACAAGCAGGAGCAATGTTTACTTCACAGGATACATGGTAACAGAGAACTCATCAAGGACAAATAAAAATAAAGATACCTTACTTGGTATCTCATATTATGAACAAACCTTTAAACAGGAATATAAGCAACACTCAAGAAGCGTCTAGATATAATTACTTTTACGTCATTACAGGATGTATTTTGCAATTTCTACATGTTAAATTATAACAAACTTGTGATTAATTTCAGGACATATTTCAGTAGGTCACAATATCATAGTTCCTATACATATATCCTGTAGCTATGTGAGCAGTAAGTATTTGCTATTTTATTATTGTTATTATTACTTTAAAAACAAAGAGCAGGTCACCACTCTTGTGTTTTACATATATGCTTAATTATTTCTTTATTCTTACCTTTAATCTGTCTCCTCAAAGTGTCCAACTGTACAATAAGCAGCATTTCTTCATGTTTCAATACGTCAAGCTGTACATTATATAATTCCAATTGGGTTTCATAGTAATATATTTCTAGCTCCTCTGCTACAGTTACATTCTCTTCTTGTTCATTGAGGTTCTCCATCTGTACAGCCCCAAGCAGAAAATAAAAAGCATTGATAACAAAATACACACATGGGAAACAAGCACGCATACATGCATACTTCAGTCTATGAAGTTGATACTTGCAGAAGCTGGCCTGTCCGGAAGCTGCTAAAGTGCTTTGGTATGGAAATAACAGAATATGAGAAACGGGTTGGAGCAGAACTCCAAGGAGGCAGCAGCCTCATTAGTCTAAAGATCTTAAGTCTACCAGGAAAGACTTCATTGTGATTTGCACAAATAACACCACTGCTCTTGGAAAATAAAAGTCAGCTACACCTAGCAGCAGTAAAACAGCATGAAGCAGAATAGGTCAGAACATTAAGTAAATATTCTGATTTTGCAGTGTTCACTGAACATAATATCTGCTCCTTATCTTTCTAAAATCAACAATTTTAAAGGTTAATAACAAAAACGCTACCATGACACTTGATACTTGTGTGGGAATTTATCTTAACCTTTCCTAAGTGTCTCCATGTGTGCAGGAGCAACTTTAAGAACTGGAAACCAGCATTGTCTCATAACTTAAAACCACACTGAAAAACCATTGAGTTCAAGCCTTGTGTTTGTTAAATTAAAAATTGATTTATCTTCCCCAAATGGAAAGAAACACCAGGTTATGTCATCAGTTTCAGTGTTTAAAAACATCTAGGTCAGCTCTGCATCCCTGTAAAATACATAGCATTGAACGTAGGTGCTTTGCTGAAAGAGGTCTCTCAATATTTTCATAAGCAAAGAGATTAAAAGTCTCCCCATGACCCCGTTGGTAGGTTTTGATCAGCCTTTCACAAAATACTGACAGCAAAGGAGGCTTTGCAGAGTCTTACATTTTTCTGAATAGCAGCTCTCTTCTGTTTCAGGCATAATTCTCTTGCCCTCAGATGCTGAAGGGTCTCTTTAGCTAACATACATTTCAGGTTTTCTAGTCGTGGCAAAGCTGAAGCCCAGGTGGCTTTACCAAATCTTTCCTGGTCTTGTTCCATCTGCTTGTGCATTGCTGCAGATTAAAATATTGCAATAAGAGATAAGAAATGGAGAAAACCAATAATCTGAGTGCATTTATACTACAGCTGCAGTAGTAAAAATACTGATACTATCAAACAATGACTGAAGCTCTCTTAAAATTAAAGAAGATTGAATTTACAGTTTTGTACATAAGTAAAATACTTTATTGACATGTCTTAGCAGTTACACAGTGATCTGATATTTGGGTGCAAGCAAAATGCAAGCTGTAAATCAAATTGGTTAACACATGTAAATCTTAGGTGAATAAAATGTTAATTGAGCTGGACACTCGCCCTAACCTTGGAGTTTGAAGAGAGAGCAGCAAAGGTACTAAAAAGAGCTCTCAATTTCCTAAATCAAGTATTCAGAAAGACTTTTGTGTAAACCATTCTGATTACCTGACAGAGCCTTCACAGTTTCCTTGAAGTACTTCACAGTTATATCCTGAATGGAGCACACAGCACTCTCAGCTCGCTTAGTCCATTCTTCAGCATCTTTTTGCAAAGCTGCTACTCTTTTAGGTCCCAGGTTATCATACTGTAAAGATTTCTGCAAAGAGACAAAATTCTCAGTTATCAGATGGTTACAACAGTGGTGCATCTTGCACAGTGCTATAATGACAGACATTCCTAGCAAGGCACAGCACTTGGCAAGCATGGCCTTCTCTGCTGCCACAAAGTGAACCACTCCTCACACCTGTGCATGATCATTCCTCATTCTGAGCTAACTCAGAAACACTGTACCTTAATCATGACCTTGAAACATTCACTTTGGATCAGTTTAGCTTTAAAAAGTATTTTAAGAAATAAGGTCTTAAAAATAACGACCAACTGTGGTGTTTGTAATTGTTACTAAAAGTGACACAAATACACTCTTCTATGTGCTATGTTCACTTCTATATTTCCCTCACATGTTAACAACAGATCACCCTGTCAGATTCTCCAGCTCGGCAGTTCTTTCACATAGAAACAGAGATATAGAAAAGAAAAATAAGAGAATTTTTTCAAGTCCACAGAGAATATATATATGTACAGGACTAGTATTCAATTTTTCTCTTTGAAAAGCATCCAGATTTCAAATGATCTTGCACATCCCTCTGAATTATATAGTAGCAAACTTTGTGCTTCATCCTCCCAGATTTTCATTTTAATTTTTTAGTACAGCATACTGCATATTTTACCTTCAGAGTTCAGACTCTGAGTTCCTAAAAAGCCTTCCTTAACCTAAACTTAGTATGGTTCAGCTCCTTTCTGGAACACTAACAGCTCACTCTAATTTGAAAAATCAAGTAGTAGACAGCCCACTTTCCCAGGGACATCATAACTTTCACTGTGTGCTTCCAGCTTAAGGTACACACAAAAGAAAATGAAAAAATGACAAATTTGAGCTTGTACTCCTAAAAGGAGTGGCACCAATATATGTTTGTTTTCTTGGTCAGGTCTTCTCTACCTTTTGTTTTACTTCCAGAGCTGAGCTGATGTGGTGCATCACCATTGGGCAGAATGGCATTCTCACTATCACAAACTGATCCCACTGATCATTATGGTGGCATAATGAAAGCTGCTTAGGTCTCTGCAAACGCAGCTCAGTGGAAAATAAAGGAGACAGGCAGAGCTTGGGGATGTCTTCCTATTAAGCCCTCAAAATGGAAGGAAGGGGGACACTGGTGGAGTAGAGCAGCAGTTCCATTCAAACCAATACCACAGACTAAGATCCTATGAGAGCAGTTCTGCTCCAATCCTACACTTCTCAGTCATATTTGATGGCTTCACAGGAGAAAAAAAGAAAAGCAGGTGAAGGCAAAACTAAGGAGTACGAAGTGATACCTCACTCTCACTATGTAACCTGTAAACTTCATAAGACAGAACCTACCAGGATTTCCAGTTTGCACAGTGTCGCCAGTTCCCGCATGTCTCGGAAGGGCTGCAGCAAGTACTGGTAGAACTGTGTTGCCATGGTAACCAAATCCTGATAAGCTTCGTCTTCTTCCTCATAAACCTTCATCAAAGCCACCATTGTGTCAGCATTTTTATGCTGCTGAAGAACCTAGTGGAATAAAAGGTAAATCAGGCTTGGCTGCTTTACATCTGTGTGTGTTGGCTGCTGATGGGCCGTGGTGGAAGGCACCTGCTATTTATCTTCAGGTGAAATAGGCACAGCTTCCCAGCACTCCAGGCAGCCAGCAGCCACCCCAGCACAAAATACTATCGACACCATGCTGATGGGCACTGATTGCTCTGTACTGCATTAGGAGACTGCTAGGACTCTTGCCCAGGCCCAGTCATGCTCAGGGCCTCCTACAGCAGAAACCCCAGCAGCTGTGTGCAGGTGACTTGGTCACTGCTTTTTATAAACACAAGTGGTAAAAGGAAATTCTGCATACTGAAAGGGCAAGGAAGGTATTCTTAAACTCTTGCATCTCTTCCACAATTACTATATAGCCACTAATAAGAAATGAGTGTCTGGACCCTAAATTTCTAACTTCAAGCTTAGAAAAAAGAGACCGAGACTTAAAAATAAGAATTCTACCCCTGATACAGCCCACAGTTAAATCCCACTGTCATTTGCACAATTTCTAATAGTTTACTCAGATCACAGTCCTAGTGACAGAAGATTTTATAACATGTAACTCATGCAGTGAGCTACTCTTTCTGACACATCAGTCCCCCTTTGATGTCTTTAGTTGCTCCTCTGACAAAACACAAGGCTGGAAGCTTCCCTCAACTGCTTTTGCTTACTGGTTAAAATCAAAACTTCCAAGATTTTTCTTTGACAGCAGCTACCAGAGACCATGGAACACCCTACACAGCAAGACACAGCAAGGCAGCTGAGGCCACTGAGAACCACAGATCTCCCTGGAAAGACACTGCTCGGTCTGTGGCTCCTTGAGGAAAGGAACAAAGTGAAAAAAAGCATCTAGAAATGCTGGCTTGGTTGTGTCGCAACTGAAAAGCACTGGAATTAAATCATCACCCTTCCCCATGCCAGCTGAGTCCAACAGCAGGAGCAAAGGTCCCAGCTGCAGAGGAATCTCCCCAGGGAAGCTCTGTGGCAGAAGAACAGCAGGACAGAACTGCAGCGTTTCTGACAATCCCTTGAGATCTGAAGCCCCTCAATCAGTCCTAGGTCCACCTGGAGCAGTGTAAAAGACTTCCCCCCTCCCCCCCTTGTTTACTTTCTCACGAGAAAACCACTTATCAAAATTTGTTTTTTGCAGGCAGGGGTTTTGCTTTTGATTGGGTTTCTTGTCTGTTTGGGCTCGTCTGGATAAAGTCCTTGCTTTTACACAATCACACATAGTAACATCCTACGAGAATACACCATAAACTATAGCTGCCTTTCTACAGAGCATCTTTCTGAAGCAGTAACGGCGTTCCGCCGCTCAGCAGCAGGCGCTCAGCCCGGGCTGCCACGGTGCGGACCCCCGGCCGGCCGGCAGCAGCACGGCGCGGTCCCAGCCCCGCCCGAGGGCCCGTACCCGCCGCAGGCCCTCCTTGGCCCGGGCCAGGTGGCCGCGCAGGGCCTTCCCGCGGAACTCGTGCAGGCTCTCGAAGTACTCGTCGTCGCGGCGGCGGTCGGCGGCGAAGAGGACGTCCAGCAGCACGCGGCCGCCGCACAGCTCCAGCGCCCAGCCCAGGTAACGCTCCAGCTGCCGGCACAGCTCCGCCACCTCGGCCTCGTCCGGCGCCGCGCCGCCGGGGAACAGCACGGCCCAGAGCCCGCCCGAAGCGCCGGGCGGCGCGGGCGGCAGCGCGGGCAAGGCGGGCTCCAGGCGCGGGCAGACGGCCGCCAGCTGCCGGTGGACGCCGCGCAGGGCCGGAGCCGAGAAGAGGCCGGCCCAGCTCTGCGGGGCCCGCTCCGCCGCCTCGGCCCGGCAGTGGCAGGTGACGGCGAAGGCGCCCTCCGCCTCGTTCCAGCCCACCAGGAAGCGGAGGCGCGGCGGCGGCTGGGGCTCGGCGAAGGCGGTGTCGCGCACGGCCACCCACCCCTCCAGGCTGTCCGGCTGCGGCTCCATGATGGCGGCGGCCGCCGAGCGGGGCGAAGCGAACCTCGGCCGCCTTAAGGGAGCGGCACGCAGCTGGGGGAGGGGCGGGGCCTGAGCGGCGGAGCGCGCGATCCCATTGGCTGGAGCCGGCCGGGGGCGGGGTCGGCGCGGAGAGGGGCGGGGCGAGCTGGTCCTCGCGCTGTGGTACGGAAATAAACGCTTCGCTGGGAAGGGCGGGAAGGAGGGGCTCCGCGCGAGGCGTGTGTGGAGGCCGGAGCGGGGGAGAAAATAGGAAGGGAAAAAAAAAAGGGAAAATGAAAGCAAAACAAAAGAGAAAAAAAAAAAACTATTTTTTGTAAAAAGCAGCGGGCGGAGCACACCACGCTCTCAGCTGAGTACGAGGTGGCCCTGCTGCCCTCCCTCAGAACAGAATCATGGTGTGCACCTCAGGGCTGCCATCTTCCCACACCACCATCTCCCCACGCTGCTGTGGGCCTCAGCTGTAGCTGCTCCTGCCGCAGATCTGAGGAGGCAGCTGTGTGCCAGCAGCTCTCTTCCAGCCATCGTTCCCTGCCCCTCCTGAGTTGTTCCCTTTTTCATCACAAAGCTCCATGCTCCCTTCCTGCCATGCAAAATGGAGGTGCCCAGAGGCTCCCTTCTCCTGTGCAGCATGGCAGCTTTGGAGTTGTGTCTAAATTCAGTCACAAAACAGGGCCCCCAAAAGAGGAGTGTGAAATGAGCCATCTTCCACGCAGTATTGCTCTTCAGGCATCTAGTACCTGACCTCTGAATATCCCATCCTTTCTCAGCAGTTCAATGACTTCAGGAGGGGGGTGGCTTACAATAGCTAAGGTTGGAAAAGAGCACCCAGTCCAACCATAAACCCTTCCCCATCACACCCCTTAGTGCCACATCTGCCCTGTTCTTGAACACCTCCGGGGACAGTGACTACACCCCCTCCCTGGGCAGCCTGTGCCAATGCTTCGCTTCTCCTGAGAAGAAATTTTTCCTAATATCCAACCTGAATGCATACGTTGGCCTTCTCCAATTAGCCCCTATGAAAGGACCTGCAGGCCTCACAATAGAGTGGGAAGTGACACAGCTTTCTGTATAGCATGTATCTCTCATCCAGGCTTGTGATCAAGGCTGAATTTAATTTACGGTAAACAAAACATTGTGTTCTGGTCTTTGGAAGTAAAGCTGACACTACTAATTTTTCAATAGATGAAAGCCTGTGAGATATTGTAGGTTAACAACAAAGAAGCATAAATAAGCTCCCATCTGAAAAATTAATAAAATCTGTCTGACAGCATAAATGTTAACATTCCTGCAAAGGTGCATCATTTATGTGAAAACATTTCTGCTCTGATCTTGCAGATGATAGAGACACTATCAGCAGTGATGAGATTATGACTACATGGGTAATTAACTTGTAATTCCTTACTGAAACAGCCAACAGTTGTACTGCTAAAAATGTGAGGAAATGACACCAAGTGTAATTGGAATGGAGGAAAAAGCAGAGTTCTGTTAAGATGCAACAGACATTTCCCATCACACTGTTGTTTGAGCTCAAGAAGTGTACGCTGCAATGTCCTCAAACACACTTCAGCATCTCCTGCCGGCAAGGTTAGCTCACTCGCAAGTTTACAAGCAGAACGTCATGTATTCTGGACAACAAAGTTCTGTGGGTCTGAGTGGGTACATAGAGCTCAAGTAATCACAGTAAACACAATCTTCAGCAGTAACATATGCCTATTTTTTATCAGGTGATCCACTGCTGAGCACAGACTGAAGGGTTATGTTTCTGTGAAAACCCTCCCCTGGCTTGGCCATTAGCCACTTGCTTCACTATAAATAGCTTTCCAAAGGCCCAGCATATGCACACAGGGGGACGGTGTATAAGTAGAAGTGCATGTCATGCATTTTTTTTTCCCTAAATTCTGGTGGTTTTTAGGTTTTCCTAGATATCTTTTCTAGAATCCAATCTAGACTCAAATCACTAGCAACATTTCTAGTAATTTGATACACAGATTTTGCCATAAAACTTTTGCAAAGAATAACACAGACATTTCAGTTTAACTGTTCCACTGTATGCATCTGTATATCCATTTGAATTTGTTTGTGAAGAACGCACATTTTGTGCATGCAACACAAGATAATGTGCCTAGAACTACAGCCTTGGAAATCATGTCTAGAGTCAATGACTGCACTCTGCTGGGTTTGTTAATATCAGCTCAGAAACTGAGTGTGTGCTCTGGCTTTAGAGGGGTGTCTGTATAAATGTTCCAAGTACTCTGGATCCAGGAATCACACAGAACCATCAGAGCCTTTTCTCAGTGGATGGCATTCATCCTGGTGACACTCAAGTAGTGTGCTGCTCAAGGACAGCTGGAGCACATCTATATTTGTGCCATTGCTCATTGCTGGCATGTCCCTATCTGAGGAAAGAGGCAGTCTAGAGTTACTGCAATAAGTCTTCCAACTGCAGTCATAGGAAAGTGGCAGGGAATTGCTTTTGTGTGAATTAATTTTTACTTTGGGAAATAAACGTGAAGTTTGATGTCATCTGAGCTATCAGAAGAATTTATGACGTCTTAAAATAGAAGGCAAGTTTTTAGGTAGTAACATTCTTTCCTGTATTTTTTTCATTATTGATGGTCACGGACTTAAACATTCTTCACTGTAATTGTATCTGCGTCTGTAAACTGAGCAAACATATCATCTGAAAATCTTATTTAGGCAGCAGGGATCCAGACAAGCTTAATTATGCTCATTTTAATTTATATAATTTAATTTTATTTTGGTAGGAAAAATACTTGTTCACTTTTTTAGTTAGTTGCAGCTTGCAAAGCAAACCTTATTGTTACAATTATGGGGAAAAAAGTCTTTGTGGGAGCCAGACAACATTTGCTGGTATGTTTCAAAACCTTTTCTCTGTTCCATATGTTAGAATTTGCATGATTTATTTTATTAGCTCTAGCATAAATAATAGTATTTCTGTATAACTTCCGTGTTTTTTGTCTGTAGTAAGAAACTGCTCGCTCTAGAATGTACATTCTCTTCCGCAGTGCCAGAAGAGAACAGTGAACTTCTGTGTATACTTTCTTAGATACCTAGGGGGCTGGACTGTTTTCAGTCATTGATATCCAACTGGTGAATGGGAAATTTCTTAGCTTTTTTCACCTGTTCAATAAGTAGCTTTCTAATAAGTCACTGAATTTGTTGACATTGACAGCAAAGTAATCCTCAGGAATATTAGTAAAATATTGATGAAACAAATTTGAGGTTAAAACAAGTACTTGTAACTATGAAGACTGTAAAAAGTAGTTTGAAAACAAAGCTCCTGAAATCCTGATGAGTGACTGAACTTTCAGCTTTTAGGGTTTTTTGTTTGTTTGTTTCTGTGAGAAATTGGTTTCCAAGGTTTTATCTGTTTCACTGAATTAGACTAGATGTAACTAAGATTCATTAATATTTGGCTGAAATCTCTCCATGAACTCTGCTGATTGTAGTAGTCAATTGCTAGAAAAACAGAGCTGAGTAGTTTTGCAGCCATGATTTTGCTGAGTGGTGGAGGGCTGAGGAGATGTTGCAGGTCTGACAGAGCACCTGGTGGTCTCCCTGTACCAGTATTATTTCATTTGTTGTTATTAATAGCAGGATGGTGAGAAGGAGTGGGCCTGGGGAGTCAGCATTAAGGTTTCTTTTAGTACCTTTAATGTTGTCCCACATGCATCTGCTTTATCATACAGCTTTGCATTTCACATCCATATGTTCTTTTCACACCTCCCACATTGCACAGAATGGATGAAGTATGCAAGCTCCAGGTCAGATCAGGCTTCTCTCAGTTCTAGGGTCTGCCTTGCTTCCTGGGCACTGTATGATTTATCATGGAGATCATCATGGATCTTTTTCTGCAAACTTCCTTTATGTTAAAAAATATATTTTCACAACACCTGAGAATCCCCAAAGGGCAGTATTTATCCCTTTTCTATGGAAATGACAGGAGAACTGAAGTGAGAACAAAGCAAAAAGAAACATCAAGTTTCAGTTTCAAGAAAGACAACCTGAAAAATCTAGAACAGGAGTTTTCAGGTCATTAGCTAACATTTTATGGGGCATCAGTGAGAGATGCAACAAGAGAGGGCATCCTGAACTGCCTGAATGACAGTTCAGAAACAGTGCTTGACAGCAGCTAAAGGGTAGACAGACCTCAGATCAGTCCATCTCCAATTGCACAGAACACCACTAAATGCACTTGAAACACATCCCAGTGTAAAGCTGAAGATGGGACTACTCCACAGTTTGGAATTTAGATTCAGGTCATAGATGAGTCACTCAGAAAATACAAGATACACACTAAAGACAGCTCTCTGCTGTACTTTGCACTGAGGTGAGAAAAGCCAAGCATCCCATTAGGAAATGAAGCTTTAGCCTTTCCCATGACTACCTCTAGGCCCAGAGCTGTCCTCAGCCAAACTTATTCCTTTCTACATTTTTAAGACATATCATGCTTGATATCTAAGCATATAGCTATTTTTTTTTTTCTTTTATAGGACTGAGACTCATCATTTCAAAAGCCTCACAGAGGATACCAATGTCATCCAGATCTGTCCGTGCAAGAGAGTATGAAAATAGTGACCAATTTCCTAGTCACTCAGCTTCTCCACCAGTCCCTAATTCTAGTGAAACTGAAGGCTTGATATTTTATCACATGGATCTTTATGGATCAGATGAGAGATTTGATATCTTTCCTGAAGAGCCATCTGGTCAAGGAAACAGATTTCTGAGAAATACCAGAAGAGAATCTGCACTGAGTAGTGAAAAACGTCGGAGCTCACAGGAAGCTGGGTATGACTTGGAAAAGGAGGTTGCAGAGCTGGCCAAGATGTATGGGCTTGATGAGGACAGAGAAAAAGAGCTTGAGCTTCTTGGAGGACATCTGGAGACAGCGGACAGCAAATGGCTACCTGCTCACACACAAAAGTCAGGATTGCATGACTCTGCATATAATGGATCAAAAAGCAGCTCTCCGGTGAAAGATCAAAGTCAAAGCACAAAGCACCAGGAACTTCCTGATGAGGTTTCTCAAGATGATGATCAGAGCAAAGCCAGAGCAGAGGATGAAGCTGATAGCCACACATGGTCCAGAGAGGGGCTTAGCAGCAGTGGCGTGTCGGATGAGCGGAGCAGCCAGGTTGTCAGTGAGGAGGAAGAAACGGCAGATGTTTTTTGCTGTACTTGCAAGACACCAATTCGAGCTTTTGACAAACTGTTTGGTGAGCACAAGGATCATGAAGTGGCTCAATTATCCACTGCAGTGGAAAGTGAAAAGGTAAGAACAGAATAAGTGCACTGTGGTGCCTCTAAAGAGTGTTTGGACATACTGAGATTCATGCTGGGTTTTTCTGGTAGGAGGAGATTCATAAAAACATGTGCAAATTGGAAGAGCAGATTGCTCAGGTGGAGAACTTTGCCAGTCACTTGGAAGAGATCTTCATTACTGTAGAGGTAAGGCATTTCTCCTTGAGTTAACACTTTGGTACTGGGATTGTTTTGACAGAGTCACAACATGTTGTTAATGGCACAAGTAATTACAGCAACTGAGCACAGAGTTATCTTGGGGTTTGCCTGGACTGAGGTACTCAAGAAAATTCATCCCAATCATTTCTTTTTTTAGATGGGCTAGTAAAAACACATTACACCATTTGCATTCAGAAATAATTTGCATTCCCATTCAACTTAACTTGATTTTAAGTGGCCAAGGACTGTGATCTAACAAACCTATCCGCAGTGTACCATTTGTGCTTACACCCCATTTACAGAAGCCTTTGGACCAGTTGCATCAGGATGCAGCACTTCAGTGTTTGTGCTCCTGCAGTGCTGATGTCAACTTGGCCCTGGGGGAGGGGACCCAGCTGGCTTCAAGTTAGATGGAATTGGTAACTCAAAGCACCTACTGTGTTTTCTCTGCTGCATGTGGCACTGAAGAACATCGGTGCCTGAGCAGTGGGCAGCTGCTGGCAATGGAGCCTTGTTGGCTTCTTAAATCTTCCTTCCTAATGCTTTCTCCAGCAGTGAGAGAGGATACCAGCATTAAATGCTCAGCTCCCCCAGAGCAAATCCAGGGATCCAACTGGGTTGCCATGGTTTCTCTAGTGAAAGGATATGCTTGGCTGTGTAGGCAGAAATACTTGGGAGATTATGGCTAGGATATTTCCCAAGCAGAGCTTCCTTGGTTTAGTTTGGAGACAGTTCTGATGCTCTTGATGTCTGGAACCAACTCTGACACTCTCTTTTGCCTCAGCAGGGATGAATGATTAGTAAAAATGCAAATTAGTCAAATAACATCTTCTGTTTACTGGCATTGCATTCCTGGCAAGGAGATTTTAAGGCAGGCCCAAGAAAGACTTTTCTTTTGCTGAGTTATGGTTCAGGTCTGACATAAAACAACAAAACCCCAAATGCCTTGCAGGAGAATTTTGGGAGGCAGGAGCAGAACTTCGAGGTTCATTACAATGATGCAGTGCAAGTACTTGCTCAGAAATATGAAGAACAGTTGGAAGCACTGGGAGAAGAGAAGAGGCAGAAGCTGGAAGCACTGTATGAGCAGCTGGTCAGTTGTGGGGAACATCTTGACACCTGCAAGGAGCTGATGGATACAACCCACAAGCTTTACCAGGAAAATGACAAAGTCACTTTTATAAAGGTAAAGATCTTTGACTGGCAAGACCTCTTCTAAATGCTTTTTGCTGCTTGGTAGTTTTCAGCTGGGAAGTCCCCAAGCAACTTATTTGCTAGAGAGAATTTGGGGTGCCAGGTCCATGTGCTGTTGCTGCTCCAGGTGTTTGGCATGGTGGCAATGACTTAGTGGGGCAACACAATGGATCCAAAATACAGCTGCAGGGGCAGATGTTTGTCACTTGGTTGCTCACTGATTTATGAATCTTGGTAGGGTTTAGAGAGAAGATACCTCTCTAGAAAGCTTACCTCAGGAAACTCTAGAAATGCTTACTGGTGTTCATTGCCTTGTTCAGGCTCAGCTTCCTTGCTGTACACCAGGATCACAGGAGACAGGCTGATGCATGCACTTTGGAAGATGTTTCTTTTTCTGCTCATTTTGTTGAACAGTTCAGCTGAACAGGAGGCTCCAAACTAAACAAATAATTATGGGCTCCTGCAAAGTGACGGATGAATCCCACTGTTGAGAAAGTGTTGAGAATTATTTTTCTTAGCAAGTAGAAAAATAATTGGAAAAAAATATAAGAATTTTCACTGCTGATTAGTGATTGCTCTAAACTGAGCTGACCTGTGACTCAGCTAAGTGGAAGCATTTCTATAGCACAACTACACTAACTTCTGAACTGGACAGCAAACAAAATACCTCTCCAACACCTCCCATCTGTTTAAATAGAACAACTTTGCTGTGTCAGTCCAACCAGTTGAGCTCTTTTCATGAGCTGACTTTTCCCTTTGCATCTCTGACAATAACCTTATTTTCTCCCTTATCTCATAGTTTTACATTGGCCATAAGAACCTTATTCCAATCTTTTAGGGGTGGGTCTGAGGCTAGTCTCAATAAATAACTCTTGCTCTTGAGCTCTCAGCAGCTTAGGTCTCTCCAGGGACCAAATGTCTGCCTTCAAGAGAAATGGCCACTCTCTGACCCACCAGCTGCACACCAGTGCTGGCCCTGGGTCTCACGGACTGTTCACAGTATGGCTCCTGGGTAATGAAATTATGGTAGTAACTCTTAGATTCCCTCCACTACATATCCTTTCACAGTTATTTTTGCCAACATCATTGGCTTCTGTTTGTAAAGGATCTGTTGGGACTTTGGACACTTGAGGAAGGAAAGAATCTAGAGTCTAAGTGGGTAGATGCTGGTAAGTGCTTGATGTTGCACGCTATCATAAATTGACCTAGGATCCACTTGAATGGGCTGTTAAACAAGGCTTAGGGCTTGTTAAACAAGGACTCTAAGGCTGAATGAGAGCCCACTAGTTTACTCTAAAGGCTGCATTTGGAACAAATTCATACGGCACGGGTCAACAGCACAATATAGTCTGCTTTGGCCTTATGCAAAAAATGTATCTTTTCTGTCTTTAACGCAAACTCTCTTTTTTTTTTTACAGGAAGCAGTAACCATGGTTGACAGGTATCACAGTCTGGGATTTTGTGTCATATTTCTTCCTGCTAAATGGATCTATTTTTGGAGACAAATTGCATGTTCTAGACTCCATTCAGGCTCACACATTTCACCTGAGCTAGTAGAGCCATTGAAACCTTTGTATTTCTTGCTCAAAATGCAGCAAGAGAAGTTGCTCTAAGAAGTTCAACATTCAAAACTCGTTTTGAGCTAATTTCAAAAAAAACCTCAAAGGAGAGTTAGAACATGAATAAATCACTGTTTTCAGCTTAGTCATAAGGCATAGATTTCAGTGACTGAGAAATAGGATTTCTAAAGATCCTGAAAGAAACAAATCTGGAACAAATCTGCCTAAAACTGTTGTCTCTAACTAGATTAGCAACAAGCTTATTTATGCATTAATAAAGCAGGGTAGGAAGTCAAGCTGTGGGTACTCAAGACAGATCATGAAAGCTGTTACAGCAGCTAGAAGAAATCTTAAGGCATGCTAAATCATTTGCAATAAATAAATAAATAAATAAATAAATAAATTGACTGTCATCCATGATGAAAACACACAGAAAAGATACTCCTCTGTTTCAGAATTACTGTCTACAACTGTAAAGTCTGGAATTAGTAAGAGAGTCATGAATTCTAAATAACAGGATGAAAATCGTGGAGCTAATGGCTTGCTTCCCACCGAGGGCTGCTTGGGGAAATCTCACTCACCTCAGTAGGAGTGTGCCACAGCCACCTCACTGCATGAGTGGAGCAGACAAAATGTGGTCTTTCAGTCCCATCTGCATCCAGCTACTTGGATTTGGCATTTTGGAGCAATGATCTGATGAATGACCACGCATATCCAAGCAAAGAGCATGGGAAGGCTGAGTTTTGTGCAATTATGGAAACACTGTCCTAAGAAAATAGCTGTTATTTTAGAGTTCACTATTTTCCTCTTGACAATAGATTAACATAGAATGATATCTCCAATACTGTGACACTTCCAATTAAACGTTTTTTCTTCTTATTATAGATTGGAAGAATTCTTAAAGAAAGAAGTGAATTTAAAGCTTTCAACACATCCAGACTTCGAAGAGCGTGCCATAGATTTCTCAGAAGTTGAACAACTAATGAACTCCATTAATACTGTTCCAGGTATTCTTCCTATCTAATCATTATTTTAGACCCATTTACATTTAATTAAGTGTATGCATTAAACAGAAACCCATTACTTCTTTTAAAGGAAAACTGCAAAGGCAGAGTTAGCTTCTCTCTAGCTTACCCTCTAGATATTTTTTGTTTGCCTGTATGTTCAGAGATTCAGGAAGCTATTATTGAATTTTTTTTTTTCCATTTGATTTCAGTATATAATTACCAGAACTTTCAAGTTTAGTCTTCCTTGCTCATTGCTGGGTGATTTCCTAGAAGACTCACAAAGAATTGCCCCTTCTGTTCAAGGATCAGACATGCTGAGTTTGGTGATAAATTGTCTTTCCTTGTAATTGCTTGAAAAAAGAGGGGGGCACAGGCTGTATTAAACAACCTGCCCAGCTTTCATATGACTGTGGCTTGTTCCTCTGCTACTTGGCAAATATTTTTCCTGTCATCCACAGCAACCAGAGCAAAAACCAAACAAATTCCTAATGATTTAAAAAAAAAGAAAGAAAGAAAACGTGAGAGAGTAAACCATTTCTGGCACATTACATATAGTAATAGTCAGATAATACATTTTTTCTGTGCGTATGCTTTGATGTTTTGTTGTTGTTTTCTTTTTAAAATAAAGTAGCATTTGCTACCAGTTTGTTTGTGCTGCTGACCCTGTGTTGGATCTTTCCTTCATCTTTCTTGCACAGGATCCTCAGCAGGACTAGTCCGCAGTGGTGCAATGCCTGTTGGAATGCCACTCCTGCAGGGCTACATTAGTTGACTGGAGAAAAGCAGCTCTCAGAGGCAGGGGAGAGGAAGTTTATAGAGGAGTGGGCTGAGGTTTATGTTATTTTGTTGTTTTGATTTTAAGCAAGACTTAAGTTCATACACCAGAGGCCTGATGGTCATCTCCAAATATTTAACAGATCAGCTCCTAACTTTTTTTAATGTGAGAAGAATATGACTTTAGTCACAGCCCAGACTCTGTGTTTAGTCTTCTGTGGGAGGAGAAGTGTTTGCCAGTGAATAACAGAGCATGCTTCTTATACTTTCAAAAAATGACCCATTTTTCCACTCTGCAGCTCCTTGTGCCCCTGTGATCAATCCCCAGGCTCCCAATGCAGCAACTGGCACCTCACTGAGAGTTTGCTGGGGTCTCTTCTCAGATGACACTGTGGAGTGCTACCAGCTCTGCTATAAACCAGTGAGCAATGAGAGGCACAGTGATGAACAAGCAGGTAAAGGAAACTGAGAAATAAGGGGACAGCTCAGTCCCTGCTGACAAAACAACTGGTTCCAAAGTGCTCTTTGATTTTGCTGTGGCAACTAGTGCACCTTCTATAGCTACTTTCTCTGCTACCAACATATGTGCCACCATAGCTCTAACTTCTGGCTTTGTCACTCTTCTGCTGCCAGGTCTGCCATGCTGCCAGCTGCAGCAGGACCCATCACAGAAGCAAAGACAGCAGCTGGGATAACAGGAGCGGGAAGGGGGCAGAGGATAGTGCCAGGCCTCAACAATAGCACTGGGGGGCAGGAACTGCATTTAAACACACATGCACCACATTAACAGCAAAGCACTGTATTTTTAGAAAGCAAATCATCATATTATCGGCATGCCTGCTTAAACCCCCACAGTCATTTTACAGTTTATCTCAATGCTAATAATAGGTTTTAACTCCTCATCACCCACACACCCAAAAAAGAACCATCAGACTGTCCAAAAATCTCCTGGATTTATGATAAAACTGCATTTGCTAATAATAATTATTATTATTCAGAACCTTTTACTGAAAATACCAAGAACTTCTCCAGCTAGAGAACTCCATAGAGTGCCAAACAGTTCAAAAAGAGAAGCAGAACCTGCTCAAATTTCATAAAGCAAAGAATGCCAAATGAGTATTGAAATTGGTTCAGCTGGAAGGAGCTGACCAGGTGGCATCCCCAGTGTGGGAATGTACAGGAATTTTTTTCAAAAAAAAAAAAAAAAAAATCAATGACAAGTGGGTGACTGAGAGCATTATCTGATTTCTGCTTTCTAAGAGGAAGGCATGGTGAAGCAGCCTAATCAAAGGGTAGGGAGAATAGGAGGCTCTTGAACTCAGAACACAAAATAAGCCACAACTGCATTATTTTAGGAGGCTTTGGGGGAAGGTTTATAACTGTGTAAAGGCACTGTAATGCTTTGCTGTTTCCATTTCAGAGAATATGCTAAAAGTCAAAGAAACATACTGCACCATTTCTAATCTGTTGCCGAATACACAATATGAGTTTTGGGTCAGTGCTTTAAATGCTTCAGGCATCAGTCCACCAAGTGAAAGAGCTGTTTATGTAACAGGTAAGCATATTTTGTTCATGTGACTGTATGGTCTTCATAGTGTAATTCACAGTAGCCTTTAGATTTTATGCCAGTAATGCTTTCTGGGTGCTTCATTTCCTCTGGTACAAGTTTTCTAAATACAGGCGAGTTTCTTACTTTTATTTGGAGAGCCTATCAGGTCAATTGCCCTTTTTTTAGAATGTAAGGAACAGAAATAAGTATATATAAATACTCTGTGCTTAAGTATAAACTTATAGTAGACCTGAGAATAGGGCTCAAATCTCACAATTCTTCCAGACAGATGCCAGCCATCCTTTTATTGCTCTGTAAGTATTTTGTGAGGTCACTTGCTATACTGTCCTTTGTAACTGCAGTTTAGTCAAGCACATTTTGTTTAATATGCTTGTCTTCAGTAACTCTTGTACTGGTAAAAAAGAAATAGATTCCAGTCCTCTTTTGTGAAATTCTGACATCAAATTGAGGAGTCAAAGTGAGACTTTTAAGCATTAATTCCAGCATTCATTCATCTCAGAGCAGAGAAGGAATGCACTTTTATAGCTAAGGTCAAAACAGTGATAAAAAGGATATATAATCCGTCTCTGTCATTGTTCATTCTCTAATTATTTTGGAAACTTTACAGTCCAAATGAAGTTTCTGAATAGTACTATTAACCACCATGCCTGCTGTTTATTGTCCTCTGGGGAGGTAGATTTCTTTGACTATATACTGCTCTATTTACAAATATCTAGAAGCAATTGCTTAAATTGCTCTTTTCTCCCCCTTTTTTTTAGCTCCTTCACCACCTATCATTAAGAGTAAAAAGATACGAAGCTGTGAAAATGCAGCACTCGTGTGCTGGGAATCTAGAGACGTTAATCCTGTTGATTCCTACACGGTCGAATTGTCCAAGCTGACAGATAAAGAAAATGGTGACGTTATTACTGAGTGAGTCACTATTCTACTAAGTCCACAACCTGTAGTGATGAAACTTTCGAGTCGTGTGGCTTCAGGTAGCACTAAGAAAGGATTCATGGCCCTTTGGTCAAAAGCCAAAGGCAATTTATTTAGAAAAGTACAAGTCTATGGCTGTGCAGAACAACTTCTGGGGAACAGAGGACAATATTGGGCTGAAGAAATGAATTTCATGATAAGCATTTTAGTAGCATAAGGTTGGATTTGCTTGGGGTAGGGAGTAGAAAAACTCAGATGTGATTAGGAACCAGCCTCGACTTTATCAGTAACAGTAAAATCAGGCACAATGTTACAATGACAATTAGATACCATCTCCCTCCCTGAAAATCAAGCTGGATTTGGCAGTTCATCCATCAGATTTTAAGGAAAATTTAAATTAAATTTAAATAATTTGATGCAGTTTTAAGTGATAATTATGTGAATATTTCATAACAGATTATTTAAAATAATTTCACTTTCGTGTTTGCACGCTATCCATGAACATCCTGTGGCATTTTTTCACTTTCATTCTGTGCTGAAAACAGTTTGAAGACATTTCCCATTTCAGAGCTGCAAAAATATCTTTCCATATTAAGTTTGAAATCTGAAAATTCAAGTTACAGTACCTACTTGTAAGTGGTCAAATGAGATAATAGTATTTTCTCCTTGTTCTTCATTTTGCTAGGAATGTCTGTTAGGAACTAGATGTGACCACTTACAAGAAGCAAACTTAAAATTTGTTTTACATTTGTAGGAATTCACCTTCAGAAACATTCCTGTCAGTAAATGTAGTTGTATACATGTTTATGGAAAATGAATATAAAGGGCATAAGGGGAATGGCAGAAACAAAGGTAAAAATCTCAGACTCTCATATCCCTACTACTAGCAACTCTTAATCAAAAAGATGAAGTCTTGTTAAAGGATTATAAAAGAAGCTAATCATGTTCTTTGTTCAGAAAAATAACCTCAACCTTGTTCTCTACCTTACCATTTTCCATGAACTTATTTTCTGTAGATCAATTGTTGGGATTCCTAATTGTGAAGCCCTAATTCACCTGCAGCCAGCACAAAGCTATCACATTTCTGTTAAAGCCCTAAACCTGGGTGGTTCCAGTGAGAAAAGTGAACCTGTCCTGATACACACCACAGGTATTGTACGGCGCGGATCAACTCCCACTGCCTGCTGTGGCATCTATTATCTCAACAGAAATCTTCCTGCTGGTTTCAATGGTGTCTGGATCAGGTCCTAATCTCTTACTTCTAATTACCCACCTGGTAACCTTTTAGAAATGAAACCAATCCAGCCCCTTCTTCCCCCCCCAAAAAAATCTTTTGTAACAGTAAGTACATTGCTTTAGCTCTGTAATTCAAAAAGATTTTTGTTCAGTCCATTTGAGACTTGAAAGTTACTAATTTCTAAACATTTAACAAGACTAGACCAACCTAGTACTCCTAGATATCACTGGCTTGCCAAGTTCTGACACACCAGGGAAGAGAAAGCTGAGGTGTGATTTTACTTTAGTTCAGAGATTACCTTGTAATGCAGCTGCTGGAAAGTATGGCTGAGACAATTGGTTGTTTCCAGAAGAATATGGATATGCAAAACTTCTCTGTATTTATCAGCACATCTCCAGCTTACCTAGGGGAAGCTCTGAAGGCTTATTTATCTGTTGGAAAAAGGCAATTCAACTGGAAAATTTGGTTTTGATAACTATCACAGTACTGTATTATCATCTCTGCTCTTACTGCCACACTAGACAAGCATTAACCATCTCCCCCAGGGGGAAATTAGAAGCCATTTTCCCTCCCAGCCTCTAATCAGAAATCAGATTAATGGCTCATAGGTAGGCACCTGTTTTCATCTTTACCACTGCTATAACAGAGCCTCAACATCACTGGGCTGTCCCAAACCTTCCATTTCACTCACAAATGCGTTTATGTCATACTTGCATCTCTTTTGCACTTACCTTCTATGAGAGACTTAGAAATTGTTCTTATTCAGAAAGCTGACCCATGTAAGAAACTGCAGATGAGCTTTAACACAGCTCTGGCTACGCTGGTAACACCTCAGAAAAGAAATGGTCATTCTCAAATCCCCAAACAGGAAGACCCTCATTACTTTTGTTTGTGTCTATTTCAACTACTTAAATCAAACTCAATATTTGAAATTACCCTTTCTGCTAGCACAGCATATATTTGTTTTCAGCAGCACATGTTTAATTGCTCTGTCACTGTATTATATTTGCATTGAAATAACTTGCAGTTTGATTATAATTATTTCATTTTGGATTAGCGTGAAGAGATTTAACTTCTCAGAGGCTACATTATGCAAACAGCTGTAGCAAATTGCTCTGTCAGCTGCAAGATCTCACCTTCAAACCTGGGAATGACCTTTGATTCTTATTTACTGGGGCTGATACACAGCCACAACTCACAAACAGCAGCTGTGGTGCACATGCCTGCTCTGCAGGGTGCTTTGTCTCAGATCTGTTTCATGAAGTCTCCAAAGAAAGAAGAAAGACAGAAGTATTTTTACCTTGGCTTAACTGCCCTAACTCTCTGAGGGCTGCTGTGCTGAGGAGCTGCTGAAACAGGAGAGCCATGTTGGGCTACAGCTCCTGGGCAGTGGTGGGCACACTCTACTGGGAACATTGCAGCAGCCTTTTCAGCAATCACTCTCTGGGGAATGCAGTTCCAGAGTCTCTGGCATCAGTGGGATCCAGCCTGCACTCTGTAAAGGCGGGCAGAAAGGAGAGACTGAATTGAGTGACTGCTGGGGAGTGAACCTCACACTGACCTGTTGCATATGTCACCACTGTAAGTTGTCCCTTCTCTTCAAAATATGCCTAGTGTTTATGTGGAAAGAGGAGTGATGGAGAGAACTTGAACCTCTCCACCCCTTCCTTTTACTTTCAGAGGCTAATAAAAATGTATCACTTCACATCTAAGGAAGATGACTTGGAATTAGATGGTCTATTGCAGGAAGGAGCTGTCATCTCTGAATAGCTGTTTCCTGCGCAATGCCTGCAGCTTTCAACCTTGGCTGGATTTTAAAAAAGGCTAAGGCCCATTTTCTGCTTTTCAACTAGGCTGTAACTAAACAGTATTAAGCTGTGAGTTGTTCCTGTAACACCCATTTATTTGAAAATCTCAAAATGGATAACCTTGTCTTCCCAGTGTCAGCCAGATTCCTTCCAGAATGCTAGCTATTCTTTTTGTGGATCCAAACATTTCCTCCCCACCCTTGTTGCAAACCATAATGCCATGAGCAGTTGCTGTAGTTCTCACGCATACTTTTCTTTTGCAGGCACCTACTTCTGTCTTAATGAGGACACAGCCCATCCTTTATTGGCAATTCTAGATGATGGATTTACAATTGCATGTGATGAACTGGAAAACCCAGAGTGTGATCTGCCTGTTTATGATAATAGCTTTACAAGGTAAACTTGGAAATTTCATTTTCACCAACTTCTATTCATTTCTGAAACTTCTTCCTACTTAATTTTTTACAGAGCCCAAAGAACTCAGATAAGTGTCACCAAAAAAAAATAAATAAATAAAAATTAAAACCCACTTACTATTAATACAGCCCTAAAAAACACATAATTATTAACTTCTCTTTAATTATAGTGATCTAGTACTTGCACATTTCTAAGACTTGAGGAGCTGCTCCTTTCTGCTGGCAGTTGCTCCCTCCTCCTTGCTCCTTTCTCTGCAGGATGCCAGGGTGATGCAGACTTGCACAAGAGGCTCTGCCTGTCCTTCCTTGGTCTCACACATGGTGATTTAAGGGCTTTTCTTATAGAGCTCTGTTCAATGGAAGCCACTGAACACAGAATACAGAACAGACATATGGAACAACAATAACAACAAAAACACTACCATTTGTGCCTTAGGCACTTGAACCTCTTCAAAAGGGGCTTCTGTGGCATGGAGCACAGATATTTTTTAAATAGATGCTAGAAGTATCTAATTTGTTTTCAGCCAGTTCTCATTGATTTTGTGAGCTGAACTCTCTCTCTAGCTGCTCTTTGGAATTTAAACTTTGCTTGGAAGTCAATGCAAGTTAGCAAAGAGGATTACAGATGCAGCCAGCTGCAGTTATGTATAAATCGACTTATGTTGGACACTTCGTGCTAAATTTGAACAGGTATTATGCACCAAAGCAAATGCTGAGGAAAGGAGAGAGTTCAGAATGCTTACCTTTTGCTGAAAAATGTTGCTGAGTTGGCCAACTCTTTGCTTAGCTCATTCTATTTGGGTTTACAGATTTTTGTTTCAAAATTGAATTAGGCCCTTTGCCATTAATGCTAGGGCCTTAGGGTGGTGAAATGTATCAGTTTCCAATCAGCACCACAGAAACAACATGTAAGTAGGAGAGGCATCTGTAGACACATAGTAATACACATTCAAAACTTAGCCCCTCCATGGAAATGCAAGGCTGTTTTTGCCATGCAACGTTACTAGGGAGCTTTGAAAAGAGCCAGGAGATTCTCTTCATTAAAGTCATCATGATGAGTCTAAATGGGATTTCACCCACCCTTCTACAGGGTGCTTTTACGTTTCACATAAACAGCCAGCCAGCAGTCATCGCATTCTGAACTCTGAGGATGATTTTGATGCCACTGTAAACTCTCATAAGCCTCTTTCATGCCAAGATACCGTTGAGAAAAAAGAAAAAAAATCTCCCATGTTGAAATGACTAATACTTGCACAAGGAAATTATATAGCAAACTCTTCTTTCTAAAGTCTGTGTGATCTCCAGCAGGTTAATATGCTTCTTAACCACACCAGCTCCTACAGGCTGATTCAGGTTTGCCTCGGTGGCTATGTAACTCTCATTAGTATGGTAATATCTTGTTCACAGATGTTTGCCATCCATTTTGCATCGTTCCTTTCAAGCTGTAGCAGCATAGCCTCTCTTCATCAACCTTTAATCTATTCCCACTACATCTACATGCACTTCTAGTGAACTGTACACTTAGTTACGTGATTGCTGCTGAGGTGGCACAAAGTACAGCCTGCACTTGCTGTTCCCATCCTCATCAGGCCCTCATCATGCTGAATACGGTACCACTTGCAGGCAGATGAGCTCAGAGTGTTCCAACAACAACCTTTGTCTTTTTAATTTACATCCTTACATGATCCTACCACAGAAACGTACAGGCTGTGACTCTGCATCCAAAACTTCAGCAGTGTTTTGAAATCTGCTATGCCCTGTGATGCAGCAATGACAGTTAATACAAATACCCTGCATAATTTTCCTAAAGCAGAACTGGGATGTAGTCTTACAGGATTCAAGTTGCCCTCTTAAATTGAGATAGGGTGTTTCAGAAGCATTTGTTTCTGCCTGTTTTGCCCAATTTTCTTCCTTCAGAATCTGTTTTTGCAGACTCGTATCTTCAAAGCCCTCAGTTCCTTTGACTCCGAAACTATGCTTCTAAATCAAGCTGACAGTTCTCTCTGAGCTGTGTTGTCTTTGCTTCTCCTACCATCTTTTTAAAGGATAGGAACCATGGCCTACTGCCAAAACTTTTCATTGCCCAGGTACCAAATTTATTCCAAGGTCTGTAACATGTTTAATACTTGCTTGTCTATCTTATCGTAGCACAGACTAACCTCCTTCTCCCCAGCTGACCCAGGAGTTTCACATTGCTACGTTGCTCCATTCCTGATAGCAGGTGACACTTAAGTCCTGGGTTCTCTGGGAAGAAAATAAAAAGCATGTAGACTTTTTTCCCCTTCTACACTGGGGTTCACCAAAGCACTCTTTTCCCCAGAAATCTCAGGCAGAACAGGATGCTATTCCCCCCGTTCCTGAAAGTGCCCAGGGTGTTAATTAATGCAAAACTACCCAAAAGTAAAATAGAGTAGGAATCACAAAGAAACCTGCAGGTCGTGTGTCAGGTCCTCAGTATGCGAACTTCACTTTACTGAAAAACTCATGCTGTGCTGCTACGGAAACAATAAACATGGCTTCCATTTATTGATATGCAACATCCAGGTACACTACATAGCTAGAATTGTGAAGAGTTCCTGCCAGAGCATATTCCTGTCTCTCTCACAGGTGTATCGGGATCCTAGGCAGTCTGATCCCTTTTCCAGGAAAGCATTACTGGGAAGTGGAAGCTGAGGAAGATACAGAATACAGAGTTGGCGTGGCTTTTGAAAACACTCCAAGACATGGTTATCTGGGGGCAAACAACTCATCCTGGTGCATGAGGCACATCATCACACCATCAAGGTAAGGGACATGCAGGCTACATTTCTCCTGTAGGAATACTTCCTACACGTACACCTGCAGGCTGAGCAGCAAGGAGCTCTTCCCTGTGGGAGGCAGACAGAAATCTTATATCAAAACACAGGTCAAACACTCAAACCGGGGCCTGTGATTATTTCTACCACTGGCACTGTGAACTAGTGTTGGAATGATTCTGGAACCTTTAAGCAAATCCTACTGCTTTGCACCATTCTCACGTTGAAAGGGGAAGTCCCAGGAACAAATCTGAATAAATTCCATTACAGAAGTTAGCTATAAAAGCCTTGTTAGGTCACCAAAATCCCATTGGGAAGACGACCAGTAGTAAGTCCATGTCACCTAAAAAGTACTTACCTGGATAAAACCATTTGTAGGAAACTTGTTTTCATATCCTCCTTCTGGAGATACCCAACCCAACAGCCATGCCTGCATGCAGAAATGCCAGAACTCCCTCGTGCCTCAGCTGCATCCACTGGCTCTATCCTGGGCAATGACAACTAAATTAGCATCACCTTTGAATTGTATGTGCGATTCGGGCACACCATGAAGCATCTAGGAGCAAGAAAACAAGTACCAAACAACATAGTAATTCCTATTGCTTCAGCCTGTAATGGCACTCAGACTGTAAGAGTTACCAGTGTGGTGCTGGGTCCCCTTGAACAAGGCACTGAGTGCCCTAGCACACACATTATCAGCAGATGGTAATGACGACACAGCATGGTACCAATGCTTCCAGTCCTCTGTCTGTTGGTATGTAGGGAGAGTTTTAGATGTAGCTCAGTTGTCTAGAGCGCACATTCCCAGATGCCTGCTGCTCACAGCTCCCCAGCCATTGGCCTGCTGCATAACCAAAGTTCTTAGCAATGCTGACATTTGCCTCCCACACAGCAAGAAACACTGCTTAATGAGGGAGACTAAACCCACTGAAGTTAATGACTCTCCCATACACTGCAGGAAGGCTAATTTGATTTCTTTGCTACATTGATCTAAGAGGTACATTGAGGTTTGCTGTTACTCTTCTGGAGCAATAAGCATGGACTTCAGGGAGAAGAAAGAGCCAGGCTGTTGCTTTTTTGAGTCACTGTCATACCCATTTCTGCAGGGAAATTTTCTAAGGTTTGTGTTGTGTGGGTGGAAAAGCTGGTTAGTGAAGAAGCTGGTCCCTGTGAAATACCAGAAAACTTGCTTTACTGAATAAATCTTCTCGTTTCTCCCAGAACAGTATATGTTCCCATAAAAGACTCATATTTTTGGTTGCAGTGTGCCACACTAGGGACAGCTGATTAACTGTTAAAGGATCTTGGCATTACTCAAACAGTGATTACATGGGGAAGAAAAGGGCTACCCTCATGACAAAGCAGTTATGTACAGAGCATCCTCCTACCCTCCATTAGTACACAGGACAGGAATCATGATTAGAGGTCACCCTCCAGTAACTGAAGACTGGAAAGTCCCTATCAACAGTACCCTGGCTGAGCAACATGAAGTACTGTAGGAAAAGCAGCCAGAAATGTCATTTAGAGAACAGGGTTTGAAATATGACATCAAATAGCCTGGAGGATGCAGAGTCACACTGAGTCAGCCAGCTTCTGCCTGAGGGATTATATTCCCTCACTGCTGCTGCAGTCTGAGGGTGTAAGCATTTCCAGTTCCTGTGCCTTTGGCAGGAAAGAGGGCTCAGTACCACAGGCCCTAGAGAGTAAGTGGGCAGCACTTCAGGGCCTGGAAGGACAGGACTGAGTCATCTCATCAATTCTCTCCTTGGCTGCACTTAAAACTATGAAGCTGCAAGACCTAAGAGAAGAGAAGCATTGCTCTGGGGAAAGCCTAACTGGCCTGGCAGAGCACAGCTCCTTCACAGAGGAAAGGACATCTTCAGATAAAGCTTAGTAGCTGGGAAAAATGGAAAGTCCCTTTGACCTTGTCCTGTCCTAAGTGACAGTACCTGCTCATTTTCATCCAGGTGTGGATATGAAGGCCTGTTACGTGGGTGAGGCAGGTACATCTGAGCAGGAGGATAAGGCTGTGTGGAAAAGCAGTGTACAGCATTGCTGAGCAGAGTGTATGGGAGTAGGACAATAAAGATGAGACACATGAAAAGAGGATAAGACTCTCTTTACCATGCATGTGAAACAAGAAAACATACCCTGAAACATGCCTGTGCACACAGTGCCATGGGGTATTTTTGACTGTGTTTCTTGCCCACAGGCACAAGTACGAATTCCTGCACAGTGGAATGACACCAGACATCAGAATTACTGTCCCCCCCACAAAGATTGGTATCCTGCTGGACTATGAAAGCTACAGACTGTCATTTTACAATGCTGATATTGCCCAGCACCTTTACACGTTCAACTCACACTTTCAGCATTATGTCCATCCCTGCTTTGCTTTGGAAACACCTGGTACCCTAAAGGTACATACTGGTATTACAGTACCCCCATGGACTGCCCTCCTATAAGTCTGCGTTCCTCAACAGTCCTATCCACATATAACAAACACTGAGAAATTCTCTCTTTCAGCATTGTCCCACCATACTCCCTAAAATCCAGCTCTCTCCCAAGAGAGCAAAGCATCCCTGACCCAGACAATCTGCCAAGCCTAAGCCTTTGGACAATTTTATCTCATCTTAGGCAGCATTTTAGAAGAAAACCATTACGGTCGCAGGACTCATCAGCACCCTGGAGCTGTTTGCAGAATTCTTTAGGGTTAGAAGCAGATATCATCCTTCCCACAAGTGACACCAAGCACCAGTGACAGATGCATTACTGGTTCCCCCAGTACCCATTTTATGTCTGGGGAACTCTCCTGTTCCACAGCAATCATTAACTCCACTCTTGTGTCTTCTGAGAAGCTAAAAATCAACAAAAAGCCAAAATAGCAAAAGGCACAATCACTATACAGATGCTAGACAAAGCTGAAAACACTCTTAACTACGAAGCTGATCTTACAATCAAGTACTCTTGCTGTTACACAGTCTGCACAAGATAATCAACTACACCTCCCCTGTGTGTGAACTGTGAGCACATACCATATACAGCAGGAGGATTGAAACAGTGATGCATATTGAAATAATCAAGGATGCCCTAAAGTCTCAAACATGAAAACAAACAAAAAAACATCCTTACCCAATGGCTATGCTTCTCATTTATTTATCTAGGGAAAAAGCAAAAAAACAAAATCACATAGGTGCCTTTTGCAGTGCTTGGCTGCCCATACATAAAAGTCTGAATCATCCTTTTTTTTTTTGTGGCCATCCTCACCTCTGCCTTGCTATGTTCTCTACTCACAAATTCTTCCCCCATTCCTCAGCACAAAGAGCTTTTGATCTCTGATGCTGTGCCCCTGAAGCTTCAGGCCTCCATTGTATGCTGACAGTAGCAGCACTGGCGCAGTGCTCAACCAGAACATCCTTGGTTAGACCTTATTTCCAGATTCCAGACAGTTGGACTGGTACTACCTGTCAAGCAGGCTTGTCTAGCTCTCAACAGCCTCACTTGTGGGTGTCAAAACAACCAGAATTTAAGCAAGAGTCATTAACAGATAGCTTTTCAACAGATTTATTGTACATTCATTACAAAAATAATTGGTTCAAATTTTCTATTCTAGCGGTTTGTCAGGAACAGGTTGTCTCTACAGTAGACACGGTCCTTATAAATAAAGCTTGGCAAAATTTAGAGAGACTTGATGTAGAAATGTGTGCCAAAAGCTTGTCTGTTTTTCTCCAAATGGCTGAGAAATGAAGAAATGCGTTTCCGCAAAATAAGCTTTTCAGAAACCATGAAAACAGGAGCAGAATATGCTCTTAGAACAGTGATTAGTGCCTTCTTCATTTGAATACTGACTTACAGCTTGAAAAACAAAACGGGTTTTGTTTTTGGCAGCACTGAACTATGCAAGTATAGCTTCATTTCTTAGCCCACCAGGAATTCACAGACTTCCAAGACAGAAAAGTGCTGTTATGATTATCTTGTCCAACCTCCTATGAGGCAGGTCAGACAATTTCAGTGTCTTGCAATGAGCACAACTTGTGTCTCCTACAAACAGGTGACTAAGCCTGCAACCACTGTTAATACACAGGGCACAAGGTGGCCAGGTGAGCAATGCTAACATATTGAAAGGCTGTACCAGAGAACAGCAGCTAAAGTGTACAGTGAACAAAGCAGTGAGAGAGCACCACACTTCAGGATTGTTTTAACACCTTCTTCTCCCTTCAGTTAAAAACATATGCCTTGATTCAAGGTCCAGCTTCCATACAGCGGAGCATATTTAACCTTTATCTGCCAAAACTGAACGCCACGCTCTTTACAATGAGAGAAAGATCTGCAAAAATAAAACAAAAACAACGAATGTCAGAGCAGAGGTAGCAGGAGGACTGACACTCCTTAAGGACACCTTTAGTATACAAAGACTGCCAGGTGAATGAAGCCATTCTGATGAAAGCCTACCTTGTGTTGGCCCTTTGAATGGCCCCACAACATCACTCTCCACCCACAGCTTTCATTTCAAGTGTTTAAACTGTACCTTATTCTGGCTCCAGGATGAGCTGCTCATCTCTGATGTTACATCAACCCAGACAACCATCTCACAGATGCGCTGCAAGGACTGATTCGCTGAGCCAGCTACGAGGTACTTGCACACTGTGCAACTGAGGCTCTAAGAGTACCAAACAGCTCTGCCACTACGTTGCTGGCTCAATGAATCTGCAGATCACAGGAACAGCCAGCTTTTCAGAGCATGACTCAGTGGTCATCAGCAGGGATGGCATATGAGACTGCTAAGGCAGCAACAGAGATATCTGAAAAAAGAACAAATAAGCAATCATCAGCTGCCAGGCTTAAAAAAAAAAAAAAAGGAAATAAGTTTGCATGTTTCTGTTTAATAAAAGCTTCACCTGTCAGCTGTAACCCAAGCATTTACTCTCTTAGGAATCTCAACCTTGTCACTTAAATATTTACACAGCAAAGAAAAAGGAGTGAACAATTCTTTAAAACCAGCTGTTACTGTAAATTACCATTATATACATCCTTACATTCTTTACAAGGAGGCCACCATTTCCATTACAGGGTCTACTGATCAGATCAGTAAGGCACCCAAGCTGCAATTACAGAATCACAGAATATCCTGAGTTGGAAGAGGTCCACAAGGATCATCGAGTCCAACTCCTGGCTCCATGCAGGACCACTAAGAATTCAAGCCCCACACTTGAAAGCAATGTCCAAACACTTCTTGAACTCCAGCCATGACCACTGCCTTGGAGAGCCTGTCTTCAGAAACTCTGGCTCACTGCTGAACTAGACCACATGAAACAACAAAGGTCCATTAAGAATGAATTGCCCTCTGACAATTAGTCAGAGTGTGCTGTTGGACATGTTTTTCCTGATACCTGTTAGCATTTTTCTTTCTGTTCCTTTGATTACATGCATTTGCTGGCAGAGAAAAAATTCATCTTCAATGGAACATGGGGGCTCATGCCTAACGCCAAGCTGGCACTGGCTGCTCAAATACCACAGGCTGCCCCAACCTGCAGCAGTGATCTGTGCATCCCTGCAGAGGCTGCAACAGCAGCAGGAACAGCCAAAGGACGGAATACCAACCGCACGTCACCCAGGAGCTAACTGGGGACCTTGCCAGGGCCACCTGCAGACTCACAGGTTTACAAGTTATACTCAATCCCTTTTACCATGGACAACAACACCAGAAGGCAATGCTGAACTAGCCTTATGTACCTAGCAAGAATCATATTTGGCTTGTGGCACGTCTCTGTACAGAACAGAGAACAAAACAGAAAAAATATCCATTAAAACCACGGTGCTGTCTGAAGAGAGGAGAAAGAAACAGGATCTGAAACTCTGCTGCAAGCTGCCAGCATCTCTTGAAAGCACAGAGCTGGCTGGAGTCATTCTGCCCCGGAACTCAGTTATTTCTGTCTCAGCCAGAGGGCTAAGTCAATAGCACAGTTCTGCACTGATTTGATTTGTTATCTGGACTGCTTTTAGGCACTGCTGGGATTCTCTCAAGGCGCCTCGTTCTCTCACACCCTGCAGTAACACATAAGCAGGACAGCCAGGGCAATCCAGGCACTGTAGCACAACAGGGACTTGAATCCAGTCAGGAGTCTCAGCCTCACGCTGAAAACAACAGCGTTTCCTCCCCTGTGAAAAGGAACATCATAAAACCCGAGGTACCTCTGCATCCCGGGACACGAAGCACTTCGGACGCTCTTCCCGCTCCCCTCGTCCAGCACGGCAGCACACGCGGCTGCCACTGGAGGGCATCACAGGCCGAGCGGGGCTGACCTCGCGGAGCTGCCCGGCTGGGTACCGCGTCCCGTCCTTCCTCGGTCCGTCCTGGAGCCAGGAACAAAGGCGCAAACGCACACAGCTGAAGCGGCATCGCAGGAGCGGCCACAGCGGCCGGGCGTTCAGTTCCGACCACCCCGCCAGCCCGTCCCTCCGCTTACCGCCACGGCCTTGTAGGTGGAGGAAGCAGGCCCTGCCCTTACCTCGCGGGCAGGCCTTGTTCTTCCACCGTTTCATTTTGGAGGATAGTATCAGCGGGGCCGGCACAAGGCACCGTCTCCACTTTCTTAGTCCTCCGGGACAACGCCGGGAGAAGCGCTGGGGCACCCGGGGGCCGGCTGCTCTCTCCCGGGGCCCGGCCACAGGGCTCGAGATGCGGCTCCCTGTGCCGCTCCCTCGTGCCCGACCCCACCCGTGCAGCACTTACTTACGTTTCCCAGCAGCGAGCCGCGCCGCCATGACACGCCGCGCCACGCGCCCGGCCCGCAGCGCCGCCATTTCCTGAGCGCTGCACGGCGCTTCCGTCCTTCAGGCACCGAATAAACGTGGCGTCATCGCCCGGCCCGGGGCGCGTGCGTGATGGCGGGCGGGCGGGGCGCTGCGGTTCGGCCGGAGGGGTGCTGTAGGCGTGAGGTGCGCTGAAGTTTTCTCTGTGATGCTAACTGGAAATGAAAGGAAACCGCCTTTTTCAGCCCGTCTTCTAGAAACATTACAGCAAAAGCAACACAAAAACCGCTTTGCAGACACGCGCTGAGCTAGACTTAAACGCGTTGCTGCTATTCGCTTAACAGACGTTAGCTATGTGCTCTCCTGTGGTTCAAAAAGTGCTTGTTTATTTAAAAGAAAGTTAGTTGTTGTTGTTGTTGTTTGTTGTGGTGTTTTTCCCCCCCTGGCATGACAGGAAAAAACTTACCTTTCTGCCCTTGGCTTGTCAGCAGGTTGTTATGGCAGGGACGGCGTATTTGCACAAAGCCTGCCAGCATGGATTTTCAGGGCTGCTCAGTCAGCGTTAGGGCTTGGCTACCTGATGAGAAGAGTTTCACTCTGCTTTGACGATGTCCTGAAAACTGTCTATTTGTGCAATTGGATGCTCTCTCCACACCCACCCCCAAAAGCTGTGTCTGATGTGACGCATGCCATTCCCTGCCCAGGCCCTGGCTCTACGTGTTGGCTGGGCACCTTGCCTGTTTCCTAGAACTTACACTGATGCTGTATCACTGCAGCATTACTTATGGGAAGCAGTGTCTGAAATGGTTGGCACCACCCAGCGCCGGAGACAGGACCCTGCGTGGTGCTGGCACTGTGCTCACCGTGAGCCTCACTCAAATTCAGAGGAAAGGGTGAGGGATGGGTTTCTGCCTTCCCAGGAGCTCTGACCTGCAGCTCTGTAAAGCATCAGTGGCCAACCGTTATGAAATCATCTGCTCTTCAATTTCTTCTTCTTTTTTTGAAAAATTGGTACAGTTCAAGCCCAGGCCCTCACAGCAGCCTGGCAGCTCCCAGGTCTAGGCCAGGAAAAAGGAATTTTCCTATAAAGAAAAAAAAAAAAAAAACCCTACTGTAAAGAAAAAAATATTAGTAGCGAAAAAAATTTTTTTTAATTATTTTAGGCATTAAGGGACAGGTCCTGGTTGAAAAGCAATACTCCTTGCATGTTTCATACTACAGACACCAAGGGAAGCTTGTCAAGCATATTCCATTTCATCTTCAGGCTGAAGACCTGACACACACACACTCCCTCCTCTGAAGAGCTGCAGGATCACCAGGATAATGTTGTTCTGCTTGGTTACAAGCTGTGCTGCACACTGAACTTGGCGCTCAGCATCTTCAGGGCGAGCTCAGAGCTAATGGAATGAAAGCTAGGGAAGGACTGACATTAGAGACTACTTTGCAGTATTAAAGACAGACAGGACCAACTTCTCATCTGAATGATTGCACAGTGGCTAACTTCCTCCTTTCATTCCAAACCCAGGCAGTCACCTTCCTCACTTTTTTCTAAGACTGAACATTGCTGTGCTATACCTCAACCTCAGGGGATGTGTGTGTGATTAAAGGATGAGGTAACTTCTGTTAATTACCACGATCTGAACTAAGATTAGTTTTAGCTCCAGTAATGCCTCTTGCCACTCGAGGGGGGGAGCAAGCAACCCAAGAAAGGAGTGATTCAGACTTGAACAAGTGTCCGTGGCCGCTTGCATTTGCTACTACACCTCGCAGGTAGAGGTGCATGCAAACACTCCTGAACTTCAGTTTGCATGTGGGAGAACAATATAAAAGACCTTGTGTACATGTACACCCCGCAGGCAGCAGCAATGTGCTGCTCACAATCTGCTTCACGTAACTATGCTTGCTTTCTCCTCACTGTGGATACCAGCATAAGGATTTCAGCCATTATGGGGTGTTTTTCCAGGCTCACTTTAACTTCAGTCAGAAAAAATGAGACTTTATTGTTCTGAAAGGGAAAAAGTAGAATACAGGAAGATGAGAATCCTTTCCCTGATCCAAGAAACTCTGTTAGACCAGAGGCTGGCTTGATGTTCCAGGAGCTGAAAGGCATTTAGAAGCCTTAAGGCCATTTTGCTTAGTGGCTCTGAGTCCCCAGGCCTTTTCACAATTCAGTTGCCTTCCTTGTTATAAAGGATTCTAATACATAACCAGGCATGGTTAGCAAAGCTAAATTTGCTGAGGTTTGTTTGGGAAGCGTGGGAGGAGATTCTTAAATATATTAAATAAGGAAAGAAAATGAAAACACAGGACACTGCCCTAGTAATGTTCAAAGCAGGCAGCAAGAGAAAGCATTCAGAAACCCTTTGCCTGCAGAGCTGTTGTTTCAGCAGAACAAAGAAATATGTGAAGCACCTGGACGTCCCCTTTGTTCTGAACCAGCAATACACGCTGCACAGGGATACGGCAGTAATTTAAAAGCTTGTTTCCTGCATCTGAACACCATGTCAGGATGAAATGCAATCCATCCCACTCTCATTTAACAAACCCCTGGCACCACTGTACCTTGGAGGCATGATGTCACACATCAATGGAGATCATTTATTTTGAAGCTTGTGAATAGCTCCGAGACTTCACTTCAGAGTGCTCCACTCAGCCATGACTCAAACTTTCCTCATCTCACAGAAGGACACAACTGCACTTTCCTTGTGCTGTTTCTGAGCATCCTGTGAGGGATTAGTAGATATTTAATTTTATTATCCTTTTTTCTCTTATATGTAGGAATGGCTTTGTCATTGTTGAACACCTTCGCATTCATGACACATTTTCTTAAATGTCATATCAATGATGACTCTACTGAGACATAGCTAGTGAGAAAAGCACTGGAACAAAAACAAAGACATTCATTCAATTTTGGGTGATTTTTTACTTATATACAGTCTTTGGGAAAACTATAGTATGAAAACCAGATTCAGGCTTGTGACAAGGTGTGTAATACCTGTCTGGTTTCTCCTATTGGAGGAAGCAGTTATTACCCAGAATTTTATACCTATCTCTTGAAAGGACCAAGATATTCATGCTAAAGGACAAACTTTTTTTTGTTGTTTTTACCAGATCAGAATAGTTCCAGGCTCACCTGAAAGCTGGTAACCTGATACCCAGGTTTAGCAGCAGTATGACCTGATTGAAAATATGCAGCATGAAAAACAGCTAATAATTCTGAATGGCTCATTTAATGCTGAATTGCTGAACTTTATTCAGTTTTAAAATGCACTGTAAGATTAAACCCCAGAGGTGAATAAGAGAACTTCCCATCATCTCAGCTGTGCTAGAATTTACTCTTGTATTAGCATTAAAGCAAGAATAAATGAAAAGTGTAGACACTAGGACTGCCAGCCTGCCAGAAATTTGGAATAATTTTAGACGTACTCTTCAGTTTTCTCCAGTGTTCTCCCTTCAACAGTGAAAGACCATCACTACATCAGTAAACCCATGGTTTCTGACCCAAGCAGAGCTCCATCACTGGGTGCCAGACTGGAAAAGGAAAAGGGATGTATCTGTAGAGGGAAGCTCAGGGGGAAGCCAGCTTGGGTGAGGATCAGGCATGCTGGTTTCAAACTTGAAGTATAATCTTTCCCTGGCAATAGCAAAATTCAGATGGACAACAGAATGAACAGAGCTGCATTCAGTGGCTGCAAATTATAGTTTTATGTTAAGTGAAATTATTATACACCAGTATGGGCATAAATCTAGCTGATACAGAGGGCTGATAAGCATAGCTCTACATTCCAAGTAGCGGCATTAAAGATGCAGCGTGAAGTTCAGGGAATTAATCATATTGATCACTTCTTTTCAATGATGATTCAGCAGGCATTTTTTAAAGCAGATTAAATTAACTGCTTTCACCATTCATTAATACAACCCAGAACATTAATAACTATGCTTATGAAGAAATATTTTTACTTCTTTCCTGCAGACATTCTCTGGACCCACATGCTGTTGCTGTTCCTCTCTTATCCACTTTGTAGCTTTGCTCTGATGGAGTCTGAGTAGCCTTTCCTTGAACTAAGTACAGGAGCCTGCATGCAGTGGGAGAGAATAACAATTACAGTTGGTATATGTATATGGAAACAGACTGTGATACTGTCAGGAAAACACCACATCTGGCAGCCAACTCTCCCTCTCCTTTCATGTTCCCTTTGAAAGAGAATATTTGGTTTGTTTGTTTGTAAATCCTCAACTGAAATTGGTCTCCTGTTTCAGTAATAATTTTCAGCAATTTGGAAGATCGACAGTGACTCCATAGCCTACATCCTAACTATAATCACTGAGATACTGCTAAGGTCTGGGTGCTTCTAAACAGAACCTGAGTCCCAGTGGGCTTGACAATATACAAGCACTGATGAACTAAAAGGAATTACAAAAGGGAATCTTCTATCCCCCAGCACCTAACTCAGACACCAAGCAGGAGGGGAGAACACACGAGCAGGGTGAGGGCAGCCCTGGAAGAAAGGTACGATGCAAACACGAACAGCAGTGAGGTACAGATGGTGGCAGCCCATGAATGTCAGAAGCGTGGAGATGAAGGACAAACATAGAAACAGGTAACAACAGGAGAGGTCACCTGTTCCTTTCTTACCTGCTTTAGGGCTCCAACTGCTGCAGTCCCCCATCATCCACATCTCTTCAGCTTGTGTTTCCTGAAGAATGGTTCAAAATGCCCCTCTCTAAAGTCAGTCTGTTGCCTCTGAATTGACAATAGCCAGTGATTCCTTCAGTGCTTTTGAAGTGCCTTCCTGCCTACAGGAAATGCTGATAGAATCCTCCCTTGGTCCTTCAGCGCAATACAGCCCAGCACAGCCTCCAGCTGCGGGGTGTTGTCTCAGCACACACGAGCCTTTGATGGATTTGCCAAGGGCAGGCCGCAGAGGGACTCACCAGCCACATACCACCTTTCAGCACCCTAACAACAGTCCAACCCCCTCAGCTTCTCCCCTCCCCAGACAGCAATTATTTTCACAGGAATTCCATGCTTCTGTTAGCCTGCAAACTACAGAGTACATATATATTCCAAATGAAATGGGTCGGACCTTGACGCTTCTTAAAATATACATTTTATTATTTTCTGGTGTTTGCTATGAAGGTTTCATTCAAATTGTGAGGGTACACAGCCTTTACAAACTTGTTGCATTAAACGTTTTTGTTGGTGGCTTTATTTTCTGTTTCTTTCACGGTGGAGGAAAGTACATAGGCTATAAAATGTTGAAATTTGTTAGATGTGTAGTATCACCTCTTCATATATGCTGTGGAATGCTTTGTAGAAATACTATATAAAATAAGGCAGACTTTGACAGGGAATTCGGTCATAAAATTTCAAGGGAGAAAACAAAAAGTTCCAACATATTATTATTGTCTTTTGTAGCCAAGGGGAAGATCAGGTGGTTGTCACTGGTTTATGGGAGAACTACTGCGGTTCTGGTGCTCAGTATACATTTCTTGTTTATTCTACTATTCTCAAGTAAGACCTTTGCAATAAAACTTAATTTTAATTAACATAAATCAGACAATATTTAAACATACACATCTATCCTTACAGTGCAATAAAAATGTATCATTGTATAGTATTTTGTATTTGCATTATGAAAATAAAAGGTCTGTACATCAATTAAATGTATATTAATGAGTATGAATCATGTAAATTTGTAATGCATCTAAAGTTGGCTTTGGCTTTTAAGTATTTATAAATTCATAGAAAATATTGAACATCTAACAAAATAAATAAAACATATCATTTTAATCATAGATGCTAACGATCAACCTCAAAAATTCTTGTGTTATTTTTTACATATGCTACTAAATTTCTTAAAGAGAACTCACTTTCAGTAGTGCTCAGAAGTGAATGATTGCACCTTCTGTGATGTGAAAAAATAGAGTACATCTATTTTTCATAGATCAAAAATTCCTTCATGGAGAGTTGCATTTTAAATGTCTGATTGTTCTGTGTAACTGTCCTAAGTGCTTATAAAAAGCATGTAGCTTTCTCACAAAAGCTGTGAGTCACTATTAATAGGTATTTCTTCTTCACTTGCAGAGTTGAGGATTAAGCAAAATCTTCTAGTGAATGTCTGTTTCGTATGGATTCTTCAAGGTCTTCCAGCTTTGCACACTGGTAAGAAGATAGCACAAAACATGTTCACTAATAAACCCTCTTCAGTACAAGTACTGCAGCAATCCAGTGTAATTCCACTTGACAGGCTTATTTCGTTGGAGTCCACACGTGGTAGTTTGTGGAAATCAGCTGCTGATCTCATGTTCTCTTGAATTTGAAAGTTCCCCAAGCGCATGGGCTATCCTTACTGTAATACTGAAGAGACCGAAACATATCTCAAATCACATGGACAAAAGTGAGCTTGAATAAATATGTATCTGGTTAGTAAATTACACACCATAGTCTAATTGCTATTCTGGTGGTGGTGGTCGGAGGCTCCGCAGCTTCCTTTCATCTAATCCTTTCCAGTATTTAAAGTTATTATCCAGATGCTGCATCAAATTTGGCAGGTCTGCAAATGCTAGGGGAGAAAGGGCAGAGTGTATTTAGTTTGCAGGATTGGAAGAGTCACATGATGCTGTCTGCTTAAATATCACTTAAATGACCAGGCAACTGTGTTAAGTAGGAAAGCTTAAATCTGTCATACTGCTACTTGAAATGTTTCTGGCTTTATAGCTCTCATCACTCATGGATCTTCCCAGGCTACTGAGAGCAGTTTTGAGAATCTATTTAATACCGGTATTGCAAGCACCAGCAAAGGGACACCATTTTCCAGGAGGGGCATAACTAATTATGCTTGTAATTATCCTACTTCATCAAATCTCAGTCACATGTTATGATGTGGCATTTAGGAGAGTCACATTTCTGACCACTTCTACCACAGAGGCAGTGCTTGGATGGAAACAGTTGCTCCCCCAGGCATTTTCCAGACTGTAGAAATTTGTCTTGAAGAATAACTGATATTAACATGGACAAAATGGTTATGTCCAAAGTGCTTTCAGAGAGAAAGTGTTCTTTCCTCCATTTGCAGAGAAGCAAATTTAAAACTAAGAGATAAACACTGCCTAAAACTGATATATTAAAGAGAAGCCACAAGAATGGTTTGTAGCAGGATCAAAATACTTCTAGGCAATAATGAAGTTATTAAGCTTACTTGAACTACAGGAATCTTCTTGTCTCCCATTTTCTTTAGGAGTCACAAGAAAGCAATTCTATATCACAATAGCTTCAAACGTTTACAAAAGATTTGTGGAATTTTGCTTACCATCCCAAGCATCAAACATATCAGTGATGAAGTAATCGATGAATGATATTTGGGACTTGGGGATGCTGCAAGTATTTCTGTCAAAAACTGGCATCACAACAGGTAAACCTTGCCTCTTTTCTTCATCAGTCTGCAAAGAACACTCTTGTGATTATTCTATAACATTCCATTAACGGCTTCTTTGAGCGGCAGATTGTTTGGCACTGATTAGAGCATGCAACTGCTAAATAAACAGAGAAACCTGAACAAACTGAAGCAGCAGCACCTTCTTGGGCAGGTTTCAGCCAAACCACTGCACAGTGCCTTCCAGTGTTTCCCACAGAGTGACAAATTCACCTTCTGCATTTAACACACAGAGCTGGCCCTAAGTAACTGTGTGTTACTGTTTTAAGTTATGACTGATTTGGATCTAGAACTTGTATCCGTTGTTAGCCTCTAACAGAAGCAGCATTTTGTATCAACCAGAGATGTCAAACTATCTTCTTCTTTTTTTCCCCCTTAAAGCCCAGATTCAGGATTTGGTCTACATCTGTAATAATGCCTGCCCCTTGTCCCCATCTTCTCAACACCTTTCTTCAGCATGTTCACTAAGGTCTTAGAGCATTTTTTGGGCCAAGTGTTACTCCCATGCTAGCACTAGAACCTGATAATCCTGTTCTTGAGACACAGCCAGCACACAGTAGGCAGAAGTCACCCTTCCTCTGCCTTTTGTGATGGGAACATGACAGGCAAAACAAAAAAAAAAACCTCAAGTCGCAAACTGGAGAACTTGAAAGCTTAAGTTTTTCATAACTGCATTGTAGATGTCAGCTTTCTTCTGTCTGAAGGTACCTAGCCTGGTATTGGCATGAGTAATCACAGAATCATAGAATCATCAAGGTTGGAAAGGATGTTCAAGATCATCCAGCCCAACTGTCCACCTACTACCAATACAACACCACTAAATGCAATCCCTTAGTACCACATCTAAACATTTTTTTGCTCTCATTTTTGAGAGCCTTCTCCTTATCAATAATCATATCCCTTTCAAAACCATTGTCTCATCATGTTTGACCTCCTCACCCACTGTTTGATACTGAATATCCCATCCTTTAAAAAAATAATGCACCCTTAGGTGTTTTGGGACAGTGGCCATACACGCACACTTCTCTTCCCTTTTAAAGAACTGCTCACCTGGAATTTCAGCAGCGTTTTTTGGCTGCCTTACCTGTGCAAAGTACTCCTCAGAGATGCGTCCGGCCCACTCTATACATTGCTCTATAGGTCTGCATGGATTGGAAATGTCTGCACACTTTATCAACATGCGTTTGATGAGGATGCGGTTTTCAGGAGACGTGAGAACATTTTTGATTGAATCCCCATCACCATTATTCTGTAACATTTGAGAATTAAAAGCAATCCATTAGCAAAAGCTCTGCATACCTACTCAAAAGCTTGTGCCTCGGGAATGTTTTCAGCAGATCCTATAAGGATCAGTGCCATTACTGACTACCATATACGATGTCCACCTGAATTCATAGGGGGATTATGAATATTAGCCACAGCTCCAGACTAGCAGTGAGCTCATTTCTGGATTCATTCACTGTCTTTGTGACAGATCTCTTGGGCATCTTTGGGCAACTCACCTAATCCCTCTATACCTTGTCTGCCTCCTTAAATGTGTTGTGAGGAGCCATTAATCACTGCACACATAGTGATGAGCACTATGTAGGCAGAAAATGTAATTCTTTGCTGAAACGTAGGATTAATGGACTTGCACATTAACAGTGGAACAGCTGATTTAACAAAAAAAGGACTGATCTGATGGTCATCCTCTGCATGCAAACCTCATCACCATGAGCATCAATCATACTGACAGCACTGCTGCCTTAGGAGAGTCAGATCCCATGCTGCCTCCAGGCATACTCCTGCTCTGCCTTCCACCAGGGCCATAGCCCACCAGTCTCCAACCTGACAGGGATTTGTGCTTTTTGAGAGTTTGTCAGTGTTACTAAAAACATACTTCTGTACAGCCTCATCTTGCCTTTGCAAGTCTAGGAAAGGTTTCAGCCCACACACAGCTTATATTTGGTTCCCAGGCTGCATATACAAGTGTGGCAACAGTCCTCTATATTTGGAGCCAGAATACAGCTAATACGAGTAAAGGCTCCAATGATCCAGATTAGAAGCTACTCTCTGTAGATCTCTTATGAAGTGAGTTTTTAAAGACAGATGCTCAGGATTAAAATACCTGTGAAAAAATCACATATAAGGACACCAGAATTACTTGACTCTTCAAGGATCGGCGGAATACAGAAATTGACCACAAGTTCTCTTGTCTTCTACTCAAAAGAAAATCTCTTTGGAGCAAGGAATTTACTAGGCTTGTCTAGCACCTAACAAGGTCTTGGTCTAAATGCAGTAAAGGAATAACAGAAGTGTGATGATGATAAGAGAACAGTAAGACACCGGTTCCTGCAGTACTTAGTACAAAAAGGGAGGTACAAGTCAGCTTCTACAAAGCAGAAGAAACATTCTGATCTTTTAATAGGATATATTTTTCAGAAGGAAGTTCTGGGGAAAAAAAGTCCTTCCTGAAGAAAGAAAATCACAATTACTAATATAAACAGTATTATTTGGTAGGTACTGGTTCAGAAACGTCAGCTCCACATTTCCTACCAAAATTAGATTCTCCAATTTCTTGTTTTCCCTCATTTGTAGATATGCAGAAGAGGAAGTACTGAGGAAACAAAGTGAGTTGCATAGATCTTCAAAGGCACGAAAAAATGATGTAAGAAAGTCAACGTAAAGTGGTGGAAGCTCCAGAAACACAAGTAACACCTGAAAATGAAGCACTGAAAGTAATCAGAGATCATTCAGCTAAGGAGAGTAGATAATATCCTCCTAGGTGAGCCACCAGGAATGCAGAAAGGATGTTTGTTTCTGTGATCTGTTCAAACCAAGGGCACAGCTCTGCTTGCTGGTTGCGGATGTCTTGGGAATAAAATGTGCTAACTGTGCTTCATCCCAGCATCCTGCTCAGAGTGCAGAGGCGTCTCTCCATGTCAGATGTTGGCTTCCTGTCATAGGCTTAGGTGACATCATGAAGGGAAATGGGAGGATAAAGGATGCTGGAGCTGGAAAGGATTTTTTTTTCAATTTATGAAACAAAAGAAGAAAGGAAACAAACAGAGCAGCTTCTCAGCATGGCTCTTTGAACAAATATGTACAAAAATAATAAATAAAAAAATAAGTGGAACTGTCCCATTTGGAATACATGGTTGGCAGCTCAGCCTGCAAACATTACACTGAGTCACAGCCATGACTGGAAACCGGGCCAGGAAACACACACTGCTGCTGCAACCAGATATATGAACAGACTTGAAAAGGGATCTGTCACTGTTGTTCTGCTGGTAACAAGCACAGCAAATGATTGGTTTCACCCACTCGCACATTATAGACCTTTTAATAGGAACCTGCTGAACTGAGAAACTCCCAACTGAAAGAAGGAAAACATTTTGCTTCTCGATTTCTCTAAAAATTATATTGCCTTTTTCTTCCCACTCTGAGGCAGGATTTGCTATGAATCGCAAATACCTCGTGGGGCAGATTATTTCCCTACAGCCCCTGGGGCTCACAGGCAGAATTAAACTTTGATTTCTACATGCAGCTGTCCTTACTTTTACTGTCTGTCTGTACAGGCTGACGAAGCAGCAGTTACCCAGCTCTCTGTAACAGTCAACAAGAGAGATCCATCCATCTTTGGATGGATGCTGCAGCCTGCTTCTATGGGCCACCTCGCTTGTAATCTACTAAGAATTATTCTCCCTTCTTTTTTATTGTGTTTTTTACAGTCAAGGAACTGAGCAAAGAAGCATTTACCCTCCTAATCCCACTTGTTTTGCTGGCCTTACATTTCCATGAGAATATCCCAAAACAACAACAACAACAAAACGTTTATGAGGTCCTCAAATACTTCTGTGCATGCTACTTCTAATAATTGTCTTATCAATTAAAAAAATAGAAAAATCAGGTTCTGTGGAGAATTCCATGAATAGGTATGTATGTTTAAAAAAAACTATCTACAATGAAATAGCTTGATTGTCTACTGCTCCAGCTGTGGCTCACCGGTGGGCTGATGCTTCACATTAAAAGATTTTACTTAATACTGTTCACAACTGACAGCTGAAATTGGTTGGTTGAAGTTTCCCCACCAGGTGTCTGCCTCAGGCAAAGATTTTTATTTTTTTTTCTGAAAATTGCAGTTTAAAATGATTTGGTGGCTTCTGAATGTGAGGGTAGGAGAATTTATCAGCTCTTTTTAGCTGATGCTAAAATTGCTGCTGTTTCTTTCTTTTCTAAATACCCTCACATCTTTATGAGTGAGGACCTGGAATTGAGTTGGAGGGATGGTTTTGGGGTAAACCAGTCACCATCTCTGTGAAAAGCTGCTGGACATGTTACCAATATCAGGGAAAAAAAAGTGGTTTATGTAGATTCAGTAGGAACTGCTAGAGCCTGGGACTGAGCAGGACTCTCGCTGCAACTATAGTTCCTGGCTGTGCTGGAGCAGAAGCTGTCCAGGTTCAGATTTTATAACTAAGAACAGGGAGCCTGCCTCTCCACTACTTGCAGTAAACAAAACCTGCAGAAAAACAGCAGCAGGAAGGAAGAGGTGGTTACCTGATCTGAATGCAGAAGTAGAGAAGAAAATGAGTAGAGAAGCACAGAAATCCTGGGAACTCTGAGAGAACAGACTAGCAAGCCAACACCATTGGAAGAGGAAAGGAAGGCTGAAAAGGGAGGGATTTGTTGAGCAAGGAGACTAGTGCTGGGAAATGGAGAAGAAGGAGAGGCAGAGTGAGAAGCCATGGAACAGAATGGTGGGTGAGAACTGAAAATGGTGTGACAAGCCAGTGGGCAGCAAAGAGATTCTAATGTGAGAGAAGAAGAGTGTCAGTGAAAAACAGAATCTGATGAAACTATTATGGCCTGACTGCATTGTAACATGCACATAAATGAAGCCAAGATTGAAGAGATGGTGGTAGTTTTGTCATTCAGTAACTTCTGACAACAACTTTACAATCTGAGCATGTATTTCGTCATCCTTCCTTTTATTTGTAATAGGTAGGAGACCAACTGTGGTAACAAAGACGTAGCTGTTAAATGATCATTCTAAGGACAAGCATATGCACAGGCTAGTTCTGGTTTCCTCTAGGTTCTGGTAGCAGAGAATGGGCACTTGTAACTAAGTGTAGGTATTTCCTGGGCAATGAACATCGTTACACAAGGTCCAGTGCAGCACCCACAGAAATCAGCAATACTTGTCTGAGACTTTAAGCCACATCCTGCAACATGGAGCTATATGAGAAAATTACTTCATAGCCACAGAATTAACAGCCTTTCTTCTAGTTTAAGTCAGTAAAACCAGTATCCTACTACAACTCTGGCTCCACATTCACGGAGTTCTCATTAGCATCACTGAGTGCCAAGAACAAAGCTAATTCTAGCTTATTCTCTTGTGGTACTCTCTTCCAGATAAGCTCCAGTCTGCTTGTGATGGGTGAGGAACAAGGTCTGTCCCTCTCCCACCTTCTGATAACAAAAAGACTGCCCTACCCTCCCAATACACAATAGTCGTAAGTGTGGCTTTCTAAAAAAACATGGGAAGAAAACACAGAAAACCATTACAACTCCTACAGGTCATTGCCACTGTTGCAAACTTTATTATAACTATTCTGAAAATCTTCTCTTTGCAAAAACCATTCCAACAAAATTATATGCTACTCTTACTGGCAACAAAACTGCTGGTTGAAGCTGTTATTGAAACTGGTGTGGTTTTTTAGAATGAGCTCCTAACAGGCAATTTCATTGTATCCATGGGATTCCAGATGGCTATTGATTATGTCTATATGATATATAATGCCACTATCATCTATTTTAAAGATTAAAAAAGAAAGTAGGCGGAAAACACATGAATGCTGCCAGGCAGCACTGAAAGCTGAGGGCCCTCATTTCCACAGAATGTGCCATATGGCAGTCAATATACCTGCCCTTACTCTGCACCACCAGCATTCCTGTTGTGCGTGAGGAAATAATTCAGCTTCTGTTCTGAAGCAAATCTCAGCACCTTTGCAGAAATGGCCAACAAGAACACCAAGTCCTTCTGCTAGCACTCTAGCAGAGCGACTGGGTTCATCAAAATGGCTTTTTTAACTGGGAATTATAGAGGCCAGGCTGCCGGTCCCAAGCACATGGCTGGTTCTCATAAAACATCCCAGTGCTGCAGTAATTATAGGAACCAAGCAAGTCCCACTCATCTTCAAAGCTGTGCAATGATGATGTAAAAAGAGCATTCAAAGCCAGAGGCGAAAGACACATTTCTTATCTCTCTCCATGTTTCTCATGAACTTTCTCAGAATATCACGTGGATGATTCCTACTGCCAAGGGTTCCCAGCCCCTGCCTATTCATTTTAAGGAGGATTTGCATTGTTGCTTACCCCGTTTTCTTCTAGTGCTGCCAAGGGTTTATTAATGCTGTTGACAAACTTGTTGACATGCTCAAAGTGCTTTGTCATTTCTGTTGCTAGGACCATGTCAATAATGGCTTGGCGAAGGGTTCGATACTCATTCCTGTTTAAAGAAGGAAACAATTAAGAATGCTGGCTGGTTCACAAAGCACTGCTTGCTAAAACAAGTCTGTCTTAAAGACCGCTTGTGTTGCTGAGAGGTGCCAGGGGAAGAAAGAATAGAAAGGCTTTGGTAGCCACAGAGGTGAGGGATGTCAGTGGGCAGACAAGACAGTGTTTAAGCTTACCTTTCCATGTTTTTAAATATATTGCATTTGTCATCCCGGGTGGTGAGCTGGAAAGCCAGGGCAGCATGATGGCTCTCCAGCACTGCGGTGTCATTGTAGAGAATTGCTAGCTCACTCCCAGCATTGCACAGGAAAGAATTTGTTCTTCCTGGGTGATCCACATCATGGACTGTGGCAGCAATAAGTGCGGCAACTTCATCAATGGGATCCAAAGTTTGCTGAAAATAGAAGGATGCTTACTTTTCCTGGCAGACTCATTAGAAACGCTACTCTGTCCATAAAGGTTAAGCCAAGTTGCTAAGGGATAAAAGCCAGAACTCTGGAAATCAGTAAGGGTCAGACATTCTAGTCAGAGCACTGGAAAATTCATTATAAGCTTTATTGAACACCGCGTGACATTTTTGTCATTTTGTGCCTCTTGAATTTTGCCTTAGCCATACTTTTGATAAATTAAATAAATCAAATTAATGCAAAATAATAAATTAGTTTGTGTTTTCTAACAGCACATAAACAGCCTTCACTCAGTTAGGGTATTTGACTTGGAAAAAAACCTGGTATTGCTAAAGAGTATGCTGTTTCTAGCAGACCCTTTCATTTCTTTTGAAAACTGAATTTGTCCTAATTGTATTCCATTTATGTGTTGGCTAGCTTGTGATTTGTAAAGAATATTTTACATACGTCCAGTTCTGTAATAGTGTCTTGGGCTAATACAAATTCTGGGCACAATTCTTAATAGTTGATATCCTTACAAAAATCACACTGTCAGATTCAGATTCTCTTAGCATGGTGTACTCCATGTTTTCTATCTAATTACACTGGTAATTCTTGTATGCTTCCTTACATTTACTCTGTAATGAAATACAAAACTATTTGACTTGTAAGGTTTTATGCTGTGATGTTTTAATGGTGCATTAATAACACAGAGGAGAAAAAGAACCAAACATCTCAGGAATCTTTACTATTCATCTATTCTGAAACTAGTCTTTTTTCTGTGTTTATGCTAGATCATAAATGCAAAATACTTTTGTTAAAATTTTAATAAAAGAGACAGGAGCAGAAGTATTCCCAGCTGAATCTGGGAGTGGGACAGTTAATCCAAATTAGCTTGAGTTAAGGTCCAAATTCTCTGCTCCCTTTGACTGTACCATTCACAATGCTCAGATCTGGTAGATGAAAAGACCATTCCTATGCTACCTTACTCTCTGAAATTAATGCAAAGACTTGACTTTGATGGAGCAAGGATATTATTCATTGAGAACTGCAAGAAGGGTCTTGTGCAGAACAAGAAAAGGCAAAGAAATATTTCTACCCTAGGTTCACAATTACAGTTGTCTGAAATACTGTCTCCTTTGTGTTAGCTGCTTCTTTCTTTCAGCTGCTACTCCTGGGATTGTATCTGAGGTATAAAGTTAGGAGAGAGGAACTGTAGAACAGTGGGACAGACTGATCAGTGCTCCATCTGAGAAAGATCTGTGCAGATGGACAGTAGCGAATAACTGGAGAATACTTGAACTGCAAGACCACAGCAAAGTATCCCAAGCTTATTTCCTGAGTGTGACATAACAACCTTTGAAGGGATTTACAGTACCTTTACCTCCAACTTCGGGTCAAGGATTCTAACTTTGTCACGTTAACTCCTATGCCACAGAAATGGAAATGATCCTGAGAATATTGCTTCAGTTTGGAAACCAGAAAGTTTTCCCAGACAAGAACTGAGTACAATTTACTGAAGAAAAAATCTCAGTGTGAATCTGACAGCAGAATCGTGCCTTCTGTATTTAACTTAAGCTGAACTCTGGACAGTGCAAAAGCAGCTGGGCCGTAACTCTGAGAAGATAAAAAGCAAATCTTGAACTTTGATTCTGCTCCTTCTTCTGTTGCAACATTTTTTTCTTTTGCTATGCCTAAAGAGGAATGGAAATAACATTTTGGAAAAGGAGGAGGCAGTCATGTTTTTGTGGCATTGAAATGATTCCAGATCTTGTCTGTTTTTCATAGATATTCTTGGGAAAACCAGTTAAACCTCTGGCAAATAAGGGGCTGCAAATTTCTAGAGAAGTTCTATTCCCTCTTGGCATACAGTATATGTGAGTCAGCCTCTGGAGAGCACACTAATAAGATACAGCTCCAGGTTAAGAGACTAAAATTTTAATGAGCTGTCAGAAGCTTGTTTACAATCACAAATGTCTCAGCCAGGTGCCTATCACTAGCGCTATCCTTAGGCAGGCCAATTCTGAATAGGAATTTCCATCCAAAAATTTAACTTAGAAACATGTCTTGCCATCCGGTATACGTGCAGGCACTGCTTTAATTTGCCTTCTCACACTCCAGTCTGCCCTCTGGGCGTGAGAACAAAGGCTGTTCTGATTTATTCTGGTTGTCAGTGGCTCTAATACACCAGTGGGCATTATGGTACAAGGAACTTCAACGAGTAATCTGTTTCAACACTCCTCCAGTGCAGTCTCTTTCAGCCTCAGGGCATTTAATCCAGTGGGTAATACAGCTTTGGAAGCACTGAGCATATTTTAAAGCCTATATTGTTCCATGAGTTTTCCACAAAATTACCATCACAAGGCATAAGAAATTACAATTGTTAATCTGTATTTGACCACCACAAAATAATTCTGTCATTAGCTCACCTATGTGAGAAAACTGAACGATGCCAGGAAGTTTTGTTGTAAAAGGAGGTTCTCTTATTCTCTCATCAAGAATAGCTCAATTCCTATAGTACTACATAGTACCCATTGTTCCGCATACAGAAGCACAGAATCACAGAATTGCCAGGGTTGGAAGGGACCTCAAGGATCATGAATCTCCAACCCCCCTGCCATATGCAGGGCCACCAACCTTCCCACCTAATGCTAGACCAGGCTGCCCAGGGCCCCATCCAATCTGGCCTTGAACACCTCCAGGGACGGGGCATCCACAACCTCTCTGGGCATACACTATATGGCAGATTCCAGAACTGATGTAGAGCAGCCCAGTTCTTTCACCTCAGAGTTGTCAAACTGGTGGGCACTTGGCAGACATTTGGGTCTTGGCATCTTTTCTGAGAGATCTTCCTTTAATCCTGACTGCACGTCCCACCTATACCATTTCTTATAGATGTGGACTTACCTTGACTCTTTCTTTAGACAAGAAATAAGCAGTGGCATGTAGCACGTCTGCTGAATGGGTGGAATTATGATAGGAGTTGGAGGAATGGTAGTTAGCTTCAATAACTTGTAACCACGACCTCAGGGTTGATTCTGAGCAGTTCAGGAATTCACAGATTCCAAAGCGAGCAAATATTTTGAGACCCAGATAAACCAGAGGCCTGTGAAGAAAAATAAACAAAGTTTTAAAACAAATGATGTTGAAAGCATATTACAGAGTGTGAATAGCACAACTCTATAAAGCTTTTTTAACCAAAGATGTGCCAGATCAGTATACAGACTCGCTTGCTACAGAACTTCAGAACCTTCTGCCTTCCAGTCACATGCCAGCTCTCAGAACGTGACAGTCCCTGACAGGTCTGGGAGCACTAAGCAGGCTCTGCGTGCTGCTGTACTCTGTGTAGCAGCATTTTGGTACCTGGGGAGTCTCTGTTGGGTAAACACAGATTGCAGCCAAAACAAGACAAATCAGCATGTCCAGAATGCAGCACATGAGAAGAGGGAGAAGGTATTACTACTGCCAGTTTCCTAAGCCAGCTTGTTTACATTTAGGTTACGTACATCTACACCATACAGTGCTGCAATCACTATTCTTTCTGCTCTGTACACCTGCCCCATTTCTTTTACACCAGCCACCTGAAGGCTTCTATTGCTCACTGACTTGCAGTAAAGGATGAGGTATGCTGGAAGCAGATGAAAACAGGTGCTGGCTGGGATTCACTGCAGCGAGGTCTCCCTGCATGCCAGCTCATCAGCTCCACGCAGCATGGTCAGAGGTTCCTTCAGGGCTCTGTGTATGGGAACTGCATTGTCTCCTTCACTGAGCTTAGGTTTAATGAAATGTCTTGGGCTTTATCGGTTTGTCTGCTTAGACTTGAAGGCAGTACTAATGATCTATTTGTAGATGTGATCCATTGAAGATCACCTTAATTTCCTTAGGAAATGAATCGCCTTTAAATAAAGGCAGCAGGAGCAATCCTAATTATTATACCTTTAGTAAGCATATAGGCAGCAAAATGCCTCTTTTGTCCTCTGGTCTCTTCAAATTAATAAGAACAGAGAAACCTATCTGGTCACCTCATGCACGTTGCCTGGGATATAGAATTTTTTATGTTACTGCAGTGAACATATTAAATGTTGTAAGTTACAATGGCTAGGTTAACTTTTTTTTAAAATTACTTTATCTATAGTACTACATTAGAAATGAAAGTGTGTCAAAGCAAAAACAAAACCAAAAAACACTAATGAGATGATGCAAGTCTCTTCAATTAGAAAGAAATCAGAAGTTACATCACTATAAAGAAGAACAAAAACCTCAATGTTTTTGGCTCATAAAACCATAGTCTAAGTTGAAGTGTATATGTGTTAATGAAATGCCTTGTAATCTTGTTTTAAATATCTTTCAAAGCTCTCATGGATCTGGGATTTCAATGGAGGCTTAAGTTAGTCAATTTATTGCAGGATCTAACCTCCAGTACAGTCTTGCAGAAGCTTTGGGCTAAGACAAATGATAAATGTAACCAGACCCAGAGGAGAATTTTTGATACACATCAGGAAATAAAACCAAAGATCTAAGCAAGAGATCAATTTGTAGCCACAGTGGGAGCTTTTGTTGCTAGTGATGTACAGACCATCAGATCTGCTGATCTGCTTTTGAAAACATCTATAATGATAACTGTATGCTTTATATTTTATCAGTAAATATTCCTCAGTTACTCTTATAGATAACACGTAGCCTGCTAAGTTTTTAAATTAAAAAGCTTCCTTTAATTCCAGAGACAGGCAACGAGAATGTTGCTGAAAAACTGTACTCAAAACTGTTTGGGAATAAAACTACCCAATTACACAGAAACAAAACAAAGCATGGTCTGTACCAATTGACCAGATCAGATCAGCGTGTTGACTCTGTATAGTTGGATGTAACTTGGATTTGAAGCCCCACAAGACAACAATTTCATTTATAGAACTCTTCTATTTTTGAAAACAGAAAAGGAAAGCTTGTAAAATGGTGTTGCTTTATTATTATACCATATCAAAGATATATCATCTTCAGTTTATATATTCCCACTGGGAATCTGCAAGAAATAATGTGTGATGAAACAACAGATATTTAATGAGTTCACACATGGTGAGAAAATTTCAAACATTTGACTTTGAAAATACAAGTAATTCAGTATGAAAAGCAGAGCTAGAAAAATTTAAGAGCTGATTACAGGATGACTTCTAAGTCAATTTTCAGCAACTTCTACTTACGAGCCCATAGTTTACTGACCTTTTATGAGTGGCAGCCTCAAGTTCAAAGATATCAAAATCCCAGTGTTCTTCATTTTCCATTGCCTGTGTTATCCGTGGGGGTATGTCATTGAGGGAGATGGGAGAGATCAAGCTGCCAGCGACCTGATGAGTTTCTGTTGAGGAATAAATCAAAACAAACAATGCTCATTAAAAAAAAAAAAAGAACATCTGATTGCATTTTGCAGATTTTGTAAATGTCTTAATATCTTAACATCTCAGTAGCTGCCAAATTGAGACTTACGTTTTGCTGACAGTATGTATTCGTTCCCTGATAATCTTCGCAGACCGTCCTGTTCAATGAAAGTTGAGAGTTAAATGCGGGGCATTGTAAAAGAGGTCTGTAAAATAATGTCAACAAGCAGCAGCACCATGACTTTAGAGAAGCCTGATTGTGACCTCTCACAGTCATCACAGCTGCCTCTGTTATGTATCCTTTACCTGCAGATCGTAGTAGATGAGAAACTGCAGGTGGAGAGGTCCAGTATTAACTCTGGGAGATAAAGACTTGAATTTCTCAGGTGCAGATGGAATTACAGCCTCACACACACCCTTGTTTGGACAACACAGACATCAGGTCTGGCTGCGTGTCACAAACCAGGCGCTGTATGTCTTTACGTTTCCCATCAACAAACAGCAGTGGGTGGTGGGAAGGGATGGATGGGGACACACTTCTGCTCTCCTCCCAGTGCTGGCAGATCAGGTCACCACAGCAGCATAAGAATCTCACGATGTGTTGCTGGGATTGCAGGGCAACAAGTGACTGTGGGAATTCCCTTCTATCAAAGAACTTATGCCTGGGTGCTCTCCAGCTCAGTGCCTCCTAGGTGCAAGTCTGGCATGATGCCTGATGTGCAAGCTGAGCTGAAGGATTAAAACTGACGAATGATGTGTTTAATATTTACCTTTCAACTCATAACTGTAAATCTGAATGTGAAATGGAATAAGATGATTCTGGGATTGGAACTTGATGATCCTTGGGGTCCCTTCAACCCAAGCCATTCTATGGTTCTATGATTCTGTTTTCAACAGACACTATGCTGGAAAAATGAGCCGAATTACAAGTGGAATACAAATGTATGTAAAGAACTAATAATCCATGAAAAGGAGTGGTCAGTTGAAATTAAAAACTGAGCACTGCACGAGTATTCAGCAGGAGCAAAGATTCACTTTGAGTCTAATGCATCATCATTTCTCCTATATATTAATGGTTAATGTAAGAATATATTTTGTCTCCTGAGTTAGAAAATTCAGCTCTGTATGAAGCATTCTGATCCTCTGGAATTCTTGACGCCTTTCATATGTTTCTCCTAATTAGACATTTGCTGGGCAAATGTCTATTACAACACAAAAAATATATGTAAACTGTTTCAAGATTTGAATGGATTCTGCAAATTTGTCTTGAGCTTGAAATGATAATAGCCCAGAGACTTCTCTGAAAAGCTCACATCCTCTGGTCCTTTTGCATTTAACACAGTTGTTTTTTTTTTTTTCCTGAGGAAGCCTTTTATATGCAACCTATAGACTAATGGGAACACATGTCCTTAAGGTACAGGTAACATGAATACAAGCTCATCTAGTTATCACCAAGAAGGCTGCACTCCAGACTGAGAATTTGGGTTCATTCCTTTGCTTTGCTATGTGCCCTTTGTTCAGCTTTTGGTACACTTCTTTTTCCAATGTTCCTGTTCCTTTTTAGGTAATATAATAACAAAATACATGACTTCTTCAGTCTTTTTCTTGCCTTATTTATTTAAATATTGAGTTTTATGGAGTGTGGTTGTGTTTTAAAATGTGAACATTCATGTCCTTAGCTCAAAATACTGATCTTTCCATGAATCTCTGCAAGTTCAAATATAATCCAAGGAAAAGCAACAAAAAGCATTTTCTATTCTTCTGAAAACACATACTGATTATTCACATACTTTTCATTCATTCCATTCTAATCCTAATTAAGAAATATCTGTTTTTCATTCTCTTCCATCTATATCTTTCTAAAATGAAACACACTGGGAAAAGAAGAGTTTTTCCTTCCCACATCCAGTGAAACTAATGCTTCAAAGGACCTAGTCCGCTTTATTCCAGAGTTACATTAATAAAATGGGGTCCGTGGGGAAAAAGCACAGAAAGAATGTAGCATCTTATTGGCAAAGCATATGCCAGATGACAGAGATCAGGTATCCAGGAACATAAGCAGCAGAAAATAATCAACAGCTGTTTGTGGCAGCATGTACTTACTGTCATCAGCCCTCCCACGAGGTCACTTGTATGTGGATCCTCATCCTTTGTTCCCAGTTGTGGAGAGTACAGTTCAGTGGTTCTTAATATCTCCAAAACTCGGTCTAATGCTTCTGCAACTGGCATCGGACTGCTTTCTTGTGCAGCATTGATGATGTTTATTACCTAGTTTAACATCAGACATGCTTTGAATTCAAAAGCGATTTAAGAAAGAACAGACACTCATCAATTATTATGGAAAACTCATAGCAACTATGTGAGACCTAAACCTTTAATCCACGTGTGGGAGAATTAAAGTGAAAGGAATGTTAATAAAACACTGATTTTTGCTACTGGCTTTAGGACTTCATGGCCTTGAAGACAGCACTCTTAGTAATTACTTTCCTCTGTCCAACCTTCTTCCATTTGCCTCTGTCACTTTATGAAGGAGTCAATTTGTGACAAATCCTTGAACAGTTCCAGGAAGTAGTTTACAAAGCATAAGAAGGAGGATCTCTTGTCACCACCTCCCCAAAGCAAGAGTCCTTAGAAAGGGTTGTGCTGAGGCTGGCCACAAGGAGGGCACCCTGCTATGCAGCCTTGTGAGAACTCAGCTCAAAGCATGGGGCTGCTGACAGGCAGAAGAGGGGAAGAAGCTGCAGTGGAAGCCAGCTCTGCCTTCCTCCTCCATCCAGATGCTGTGCTGGAGCCTTGTGCCATGGTGTTCCAGTACAGCACATCTGACAATGACCATCTGACAGTTGCTCATTACCTTGGTGATTGGTGCTTCAATAGTCATGGAATGTATCCTGGCCATAGAAGAGTGCCGCCTTTGTGAGCTGCCTGCATGGGACAAAGCAGAATCAGTACCAAGCTCAGCAACACGGCATGACAGCAGATTCAGCCAAGAGATCTGGGTTCATTTTCTGAATGGCTTACCCTGCACTGCCCTTCACAAGTGATCCTGTATGCAGGATGCATACACATGCTGGTAATGCTGGGGACACACAGGTGCAGAGATGCTTGCTGAACCATTGCTTATCCAGATTAGAGATAAGTAGCTACAACAGCCTGACTAAATCACGGCTTTGGTTTTGTATTTAAACTAATTAATATATTTAAGGAAATACTCAGTTAAAAGATTATAGAGCTGTGCTTGCGTCTAACCTGGCTGGCACATGTAGGTAACAACTGCATTAGGTATTATAGGATACAAATACTTTTCCTGCCTGGTTCAACACGACAAGCCATGAGTCAGCTTTCACGCTGAAGTAAATCAGTGAAGCTCCTCTGAAGTGAAGATAGCCATGCCAGATTAAAACAGTAGAGGTTCTAGCCTCTTATTCATTGGAAATTGAAAAATAAATGTTTTATATCAGTTAGCAATTCTGGTTTTGTAGAGAAAAAGCCAAGATGAGATTTTTCTAGATAATTACGTTGTGCAACCTACAAAATACAGACACATCACCATTACTTTGTGCTGAGCACCTTTCTAGAAGAAGAATCAGTGCTATTCCTGTCATACCAAGATATGACTGTATCCTCACTGCCACAGATCTCCTTCCACATTTCACTACTGCATGCTGCCCAGACAGCAATGGTCTGTGCTTAACAGAACTATGCAAGTATCAGCAAAAATTCTGAGTATGTGTCTCAGTTATCAAGGATGGGGGGATATGATGAAGCACAATAACACACAGTGAAAAGAAAATAAAACTCTTAAGAAAATTATCTTCATATTTTTATCGAGAGAGAAGATAAGAAATGTAATTTCTTGTAATAAATTGTTAGGTTTAGAGTAGTTGGAGAGCATTTCTGTTCAATCTCATTAGGTCTTCTGTCCATGCAGGAGAGAAGTTGATGGCCTTCCATTCTTCAGTGGTCCAAAAAAGGTTTCAAATAGTTCAATAGATGAAAATGGAGCTGTTCTATAAACATGAAGTTGTTCAGAGATTGATGACTTGGTATTTTATTGGTGTCTGGGTGTGTATGCACACATATACACTCATGTTTATCTATATTTATGCATTCATATAAAAATTTGAGTATATAGAGATATGAAAAAAAACCAAAAAACTTCTGGTTTAACATACCATCACTCCCTCGTGATGTTGTGGATCTGACATCTAGTGATCCTTTCCTCCTGTCTTTGTGTCTGGACGTCTGAATATCTGTTGAGAAAATGACACCACCCAATGGCATAAGCACTGCCAAAGAGTTACATGAAAGGAACTGAAACTCAGAGAAAACATGGCAGCAGCTGAGTGACACTGAGCAAAAGGCTCCAGCAGACAAAGGCCAATGAAGGCCCATTTTTAAACCCTTGCCCAATTACATTGCCACAAACGCAATCATGCTCTCTGACAAAACACACCAAAGTGTCTGTTCAGAATGGATCTACTGAGTGTGGAAGGAGAAGTTCTTCTGTTGACACACTATAAGCATAGTTGTGAATACAATTTGTGCAACACACCTGAATTCAGTCAAATAACAACTGCACATAGAACTGTATCTGAAAGTACACTATATGTTATCAAAGCACTCACTGTATCCCAGACCCCTTAGGGACTCCAACAGGCACAGCCTGTGCTATAGCACTGCAGTTAACAGGGACCTGTGGCACGGATGCCAGAGATGCAGTGCTGACACATGGGATAAGGATGAGCAGTAGTGGTGGTGATCCCCATTTCCAACCACAAACAAATACTCCCCCATACAGTTAAAAGCAATGCAAGCACATATGCCACAAGCTATGGATCAGCCACAGCAAAGTGCCATCTAGATGGCATCCTCAATTTCTCTGATTTTGGTACAGGGACCCTCTGCATACAACTGAAACATGTCATCAGTGCAGTGACACCACAACACTGCTTTTTCAAGAGTGGATTGCTTTGTACCCCTTCTAAGAGAAGTATGGCAAGGAGAGAGCTTGTATTTATTTTGCTGCCTTCAGAGCTGGATTCCCAGTTAATTGCTAACTAAACAGTACTGTTCAGCCTGTCCTACACAGCTCTGATTTTCAGCCAGCTCACTATAAACTGCCTTCTTTCTTTCCCCAGGTATACACTCCACTTAGTAAGACAGAAGAGATGTGTCATACCTGTCTGAGATTCAGCCTGAACACGTTCACATGTCTTCTCTGCCTACAAATCAGTATGAGAAATCCAGTTAGTCAGAACTTTTCCATTATTTTGCAGTATTTAGTGCTCAAACCAAAGTAGGCATATCATCATTTTTACTTACCTTATTGTTGTCATTGCACAGTCTACTAATTGACACATAGTGTCTAATCTTTCTGTAGGCAAAAAACAGTGTGTTAATTCCCATCCAAACCTCAGGTTCTAATTCAGTACTGATACACAAAATGAGCAATGGCAGAAAATGAATATAAGGCAAATCCTGTTCTGACAGGAAGGCTCAGTGGGGAATGGAAAAAAAAAAAAAAGTAGCAGTTCTGCTGCACATGATTGGGAATACAAAATACAAACATCTTTTTCAAAGAACATCCCTTCCTCTTTCTCCTTGCCTCCCATGGATTCTTCTGGGCTATGGTAGGATGTGTCAGGTATGATATAACTAAAAAATATTCACCTTGCAAGGCTAGCATATTAAGCTGAAAATATGTTTTCACTCCATTGATATAGAGAGCATGAATTACTTCCAAGGGATGAAATCAACCTGAAACACTTTTTTTTTTAGGAAGCAGCTGCATGAAGAAGCTGCATTCAACCCCTCCCTGATGACGACACACCTTTCTGAACAAGTATCTCAGCCAAGTGCTTTAATTAACATTCAGGTCTCCTCAGAGGGCTTTGAAATTACTACAGCCAAGAGCAGGTGAGCACAGAAGGACAGTGCAGCTGAGCAGCAGAACAGAGCACAGGTGGGTTCTGTTGCTCCCAGCACCCGACACAGACAGAGAGGATGGAGCACATGTGCTTCCACGAGTATTAGAAGAATGAGGCACAAGTGTGCACACCTGGATTTCTGGCTCCTTGCTGGGAAGAATTAGGAAAATTTCACTTTCCTTGTACACAGCATATAAACTTGATCTTACCCCTGGAATTAATGCAGAGGTCTGAGGCTCCCTCCTTCGCCTATCTTTCTTTTATACTCAGAAACAAGATAATCCAGAGCCTGCTGAGATGACTGAAGTTTAAGTGAGCCCCCATTCACACCCAACTCATAGCTCCAGCTGTCACACTTACCCCCCCTGTCCAACGACAGGTAATATCTTCACATTTTGTTGTATGCTATCTCCGTTTTTCTTTTTCGCAGAGTACATTCCTTGCCATTCCTGAAAAAGGAATTCAAGTGGAAGGAAGTTGAAGATGCAATCAGCAGACCAGATACAGCATTCTACATATTCTCCTTCATGTAGCAACTTAGAGGGGTCCAGTGAAACAGGACGAGAAGATACAGCTTCATACCTTTCTTCAATGAAAACTCTTGTACAACACAAACCTAAGAGATCATTCTTAAGGGTCACAAAGGCAAAGAATCACAGAACTGTAGGGGTTGGAAGGGACCTCCAGAGATCACCAAGTCCAACCCCCCCACCAAAGCAGGTTCCCTACACCAGGTCACACAAGTAGGTAAAGAATACAAGTAGGAAAGAATACATCAGAGGAATATTTGACGGTAAAAGAGCAATGTGATGACAATGTTGGTTCAGATGCTATCTCTCTGAAGGAATGTGGGCCCACACACACTTGGCAGTCCTTCTCCTGATGGTACCAGGAGCTGCTGGAGCCCCAGCACGTGCCCTGCAGGAGGACAGCCCACAGCAGAGCTGCTGCAGAGGCCGCAGGAGCACCTGCATGTTCAGTGGTGGGCAGCCACTGCGCCCACTGCACAGCACCTGGTGGGACATCACATATCAGTAGCTAGAAGTGCCTTGGGATCCTGGTGCATTTACTTTCTGTGCTGCCTATTCAGCCTCAAAGCCTTTCAGGGATTTATCCTGTTTTTTCTTTAGCAAAAGAGTTTAGAACATCTCCTGGATTCTGCCTTCCACCTGCTGACCTCCCCTCTAAAAGCACACCAGACAATTTTTGCAGTATCAGATTGTTGCTGCCAGTATCACAGTATTTTTTTTTTAATAAAGCTTACAAATGGAACAAAAAGAGAAGGCAGAAAGGAAATTTTCAATTTGCAGAGAGAAGTCATTTTTCTCCTCTAGAAATGAGACGTTTCTTTCTAGTGTGGAGTGCAAATTATTCCAAAGCCTCATCCTCTCTCTCAAATGAGACTCAGCAAATGACCCTCCCCCCCTTGTTTCAGACATGCTTACGAGTGTAATATTGTTCAGTCACTTCTGTTACTGAGTGGTAGCAGAGCCAGCAGGCTTCCCAATGGCCCAAGGTCCCTCCGCCAGCACTGCCTGCAGGAACATGGCAGCAGGCAACGTTTACAGCCTTGCCTACATGTTTCCATCTCTAGAGTAATTGTTACTGGTTGGGTTTTTTTGTTTTGTTTGGTTTTTGTTTTTTTGGTGTTTTTTTTCTTTTTTTCTTAAAAAAAGCATCAGATTTTGATCTGGGCAGCTAATAACTACCAAATGATTAGTAATTAATGCAATGCATCTCACTTATTAACAATGCAAACTACCCATACCAGCTGCTGTCCATCAGCTTAGCTCAACAGACCTTAGTTCAGATTCTACAAATGCACATGAAATGCCTTCCCAAGGCACCCAGCACCTATTGCTTTATGCTAGGCTGACAGACCTCACAGCAGAGCAGGCCAGAGCACAGGCACAGACAGAGGAGTTTTGCATTTATGCTAATGGAACCAACAAACACAGAGCTGCAGGGCAACAGGCTGCACAGCAGAGAATACCAACAGCTTTTCCAAAAATCTGCCAGACAAAAGCTCTGTGAATAACAAATTAGGAAGCAGACATAACATCTCTGCATGAGCTGCATGAGGAATACAAATAAGCCAACATCACAAAATTCAATGATCTCATAATTAGAAGTATGCATATCAATATTTTCTTGACAGCCAGGATGAGGCAGAGATGAACAATCAATTCCTAACTCAGGTAATGAAGATGGAATATGCACAAAAGGGGGAAGGGAGAAAGTACAGATTGGAGAATTATTGCATTGCAAGCGTGTGCTTTTCAGGGCAGGTTTGGTTATTCACTCATGTGCTCCTCCTCATCAACAGAAAGATTTTTCAGCTTGTGAACATCTACAACCTGTGACACTGTGGTGGGAAATGCGAGAGGAAAAAGGCCAGCAGAATTCTGAAAAAATAAAAGGTCCAAGCCAAGGTCCTGCTGCTCTGTTAAGTTCTCACAGGAATGTTACTTAAACGTATCTCAGAACAGCATATGGTCTTGCAGAGCCTGTTGGCAGTCCAGCAGAGAAGAGCTGCTTCCCAAGGCGTGCTGTCCGTCAGCCCATCATTACGGCCGTGTTACAGCAGCACAAACACCGCCATCAGTCACTTCTGTACCACCCGTCAGGCTGGCTTCAAACGCAGAGTAAGAGCCATGCGCAGGACGAAGATAATGGCTTTACCCTTAATAGAGTACACTAGGAATCAATGCTGCAATTTAAGACTTCATTTGGAAGGCTCTGGCATGCATCTGTCCTCTGAAACCATTCATTCGAGCATTACAAGGAATCATTCAGCCTGCCCTGTAAATCTGGTGCTTCTCACACCAGACAACTCCTTGTAGAAATAGAGCAAAAATAAGGACAACGTGCCACAGAACCAATCACAAAGAGCTGCCCATCATGGCACAGCCTGTGGAAGGACAGCCCATATCCACCAACAGGCTGAGAGAATCGCGCATCTGGTCTGATGCATTGATAGCCCTTATCTCACTTCAGTACAAGTGGAACTAAGGTAAACAGCTTTGTGTCAACGTGCAGAGCTCAGGGAAAGCAAGCAGTGCCCTCAGAAGTAGAATTATACATTTCACCTTAACAAATGTAATGTGAATCACAAAACACTGAAAAAGCACAACTTGTTTTGTAACTCAGGTCTGGACAGGCCTGATGTCCCAATCAGGTTAGGTTCTTGCAGATGATGGGCAGCTGTAGTAACAAGAAATGAGAGCACCATCCTGACCCAGCCATCACTATGTGCCACACAATTCACCATCTCTGAGGGTGATGGCTATCAGCTCTTGTTGGGATATATGGGACTTGCTCACAGCGTGAGGTCTGCTGGCACAAGAAAGGAAATGCTGCGATAGTTCATCTTCTGAGGTTCCATTTAAAGACAAGATGCAATTTTTCCACAGCTCAGCTCTTCTAACAATCGCCAAATCTTACTTTCTGTTGTTTTTGTTAGAGTACCGTGTTTATTCAAAGCAGAAGAACTAAACCTTTTAAAAGGAGAGTATCACAGAACACAGCTGGCCTTTTTGGCATGCTATAGCCTACAGTAACCAATATATAGTTTATTGTAATGGGAAGCAGATTTTTAAATTAGGATATAAAGTAATTGCAAGCCTCAGAGCAACAGACCAAATCAGAGTGACCCAGACAGAAGTCAGGCACCTCTGAAAGTGCTGTAACACCCTGACACAACTCATTTCAATCTAAAGCACCTTCAGAGGGATGGAGTATTTCAAAGGTTGCACCACACAGTCAAATTCTACTTGCAAATACTTCCTGTAATAACTTCATTTGTAATTCATTTTTCTAGAAATACATAAAAGTGGGGCTACAGGGATTGCATACTATAAAACATTGCAGAGGGAAATACAAAAACCTTGCAAACAGGACATATCCAGTTGAAACAGTTTAAGCTGTTCCAGACAGACAGGTTTGAATAAGCAGTATTTCATTAGTCACCATGGTTGGAAAGTCCTAGAGCCAGGAGTGAAATATGTTGCAAAGAAAGAGATGGATTGGGGTTTGATTTTTATCATTCATGGAGTGAAACACGTTTCCATTATTAAAGACATTTTTATCAGCACACTAAATTATTAAAACTTTGATCACTTCACATCTTGAGAATTGATGCTGTGGTTTTAAAGCCTGACATGTCTAACATATCTGAATTATAACTTAATAAATACTCCCTTCTAATATCAGTTTTGTATTACACACATTTACTGAAACAGTTTTGGTCAGGCAACAGAGGTACAAAGTGCCATGATCCCTAGCAAAGTCTGTTGCTTGGATCTCTTTGAAAAGACCAACACACACAGAAATAAGTGACACGTTCTTGTTGAAATGCACGTGCAATCTGTATCCAGAGTGCAGGTTTGTTAAGGAATGCTTGTGTTAGCACCTGGATTTACACAGTGGGACTCACTGCAACTTTGCATCGATGCTTTTGCATCATCGCCTGCTTACTCAGAGCACCATGCTTCATTTTGCCATCTCCCCACAAAGGCCAGTAACACAGTGCTTCCAGCAGGCAGCCAGCATGACCCCGTGAGATACCCAGAGGTTGGAGCACAGACAGTGACATATCTACAAACACCAATTCCCAAATCCCTTTCTGTTACCTCCGTGATTTTCCTCCTGTCGGGTACGATGACACGTGCAATGACACCAGAAGCACTTACAGCTCATTGCCAAAACACAGATGAAAGCTCCTTGATGGTCCTCACACTGCAGCCACAACAGTCCCAAAGGAATGTTGTGGAGATACATGGCAAGAAGCAGTGCCTCTGCCTAGAGATCCCCCTTGGATTTCTCATCTATTTTCTGGGTTTGACAAACATTTCTGGTAGAAATCAGCTCCCATGCTATTAGAGGATAAAGGATACTGGCAGCCAGCAGCTGACACTGCCTTATCATTCTCAAGTGATACTGAAGGTGTCTTTTCTGACATTTTTACATTCTGAAGTTGCAGATCAACTTCCACATTTCAAATTAAAATACTTCCACGTTATTCTTTTCTCATTTATATCCTTCTGGATAACGCGCTTTCATTCTAGTTTTCTTTGGTATGTCTACACTTTTTGCTATATACAGCATATATTATAAACAATCCTGGAATCATACAATGGCTTGGGTTGGAAGGGACCTCAAAGATCATCAATTCCAAACCCCAGTGCCAAAGGTAGGGCTTCCAGCCCCTGGATCAAGTACTAGATCAGATTGTCCAGGGCCCCATCCAACCTGGCCTTGAGCACTTCTGGGCATGGGACATCCATAGTCTCTCTGGGCAGCCTGTTCCAGCACTTCACCACCCTCTCTGTGAAAAACTTCCCCCTGACATCTAATTTAGATCCTTCCTCCTTTTCTTTAAAAGCATTCCCCCTTGTGCTATCGAATAAATACAGCAAGTCAATAATTTTCATAAAACATGCAGCTCTTCCAAACAACTAAAGAGGAAGAAGCCTTTAAAAATGAGCATTTTTTACTTCCTTATCTTGTTACAATAATAAAGGTGCAAGTGCTCTATGGCTGTGAAGCTGCACGTATATCACATGCCATCTCTGGACAACAATAAAGTCCACAAATAGAAAACAAGAAACAGTACAGTGGCACTACTTACCTTTCCTATCTTTATGCAGGAATTAATAGTATCTAGGAAATCAGCTTTTTTTTCATTTATAGGCACTTCTGTTAGTTCCTTTCCTATTAATTCACCTATTTGATAGCCCATCACTGTTTCAAATGCAGGATTGACGTACTGTGAAATAAAAACAAACAAAAACATTCAATAGTACTAAGAGCACATCAGATCACTTTTTATCCATTTGCTAAATCTAGCAAATGGAACCTTTCCCCCAACCTGGAATAAATCCCTGTATGCATTGCTCCTGAAAAAGGTATCAATGTTTTTTTTTCCCATAACAACACTTGGCAGTGTTTCCATGTGACAGATATGGAAAGGGCACATCTGGATGCTCCCTGCTCCTAACATTGCTCCCCTGGCCTATAAAGGAAGAAAGCCCTGCCTGTTGGAGCTGCAGGACTCCACTCCCTCCTATTGGTTCCCCCATATTCTGGATCTGTCCACAGAGCAACAAAATTCAGCCTGAAAAAGTGTATTTCCAAGCAGTTCCAGGACAGGCTCTGTTCTTTTTGGGAAAGGGATGTAGAAAGCATATTCTTCAATGAAATTGCCATTGTCAAGATCTGGGTCAAGAGGGTACAATCTATATGCACATTATAACTCCCAGAGGCTTATATTCAGCCTCTTTACTGATAATAAAATCACTCACCGCAGCCTTCACAGTCATGGATGAAACTAACTCCCTTATAAAAGATGATGTTTTTCAGGAGTGCAAACCTAAGCACAATTTCTCTTCCACTTTTAAACACTTTCTTAAGAGATGATTACATTCAAAAACGGTCCACTCAAAAATCCTGATTCGACAAATACTACCAGGTTTATTTAAAAAATAAAGTGGTGTACTTTTATTTAAATAGAGCATCAATTTTAGTTTAATTTATAAAGAATACAATTAACATCCAGTATTTTTAGAAGAAAAAAAAAATGTGTACAAGCCAACAGCTGTCTTCATTCGTGATATAAAAAAATTACGAAAAAGAAAACCAGAACAGTAAGTTCTTATTTTTTTTTTCAGAAACATCAGTCTCCCTCAAAATTGACTTATGTAAGATATTTCAAATGGAGAAAATTCTACTCTACAGTGAAACTCACTTCAGCCTTATCAGAACCATTAAGTTAGGTTAGACTCTTGTATCATAAAAAAAAAAGTAAATGTAATCAAGAATGAAATAAAACACAGTCAGCCTGCAGAGCAATTTTCTGTTCTTATAAAAATAACTGGAACAAACCTGTATTACATGGTCTTCACTTGTGATCTCAATGGCTTCTTGACTTTTCTCTAATGCTGTGAATAATGAATTACAAGCCCTGGAGACGAAAAATGACATCTGATTAGCTTTGATCCACATAATTCTTATTGCATATGCTAATAAGCTATTGTAATTCCATACTGAACAAAGTTGTACTTTAAGGATTAACATATTGTCTTTAGCTAACTGACACTCTATAATTAACTGCAGTACAGGAAAATGGATACTCTTTTAAGGATATGGCTGAAATGGCAAATTTTGTTGATGATGTTTTTGCTAAAATTACCTTAGTTTGAATTGTGCCCGCACCTCTCCAAATTCCAGCTGAATTAACTCATTGTAACAGGCCATGATATTGGAATTTTCTACATATCTCTGCAAATAAAACATTAGAAATACTTAATTAGTTCACATTTCTGTACTCCAGGGTATGAAGCTCAGCTTTCTTTTGCCCAATGGAGAACAAAAAAGGCTCAGATATGCATAAAATAAACATGTTGCAATGCAAACAACTTGATAAGGTTATTTTTTGGAACTAGAAAAATTCTAGGTCCTGATATGTCGCCTAATACAACACTGATAGCAATGACCCGAACATCTTCTCTGATGTTTTTTTGAAACTTCTCATTTTAATCAGGTACAAGCCTCAGTGTTACATCTTTGCTCATGATAAACCATCATAGATGTTGATAGCTACTGGGGGGTGGGGATTATCAAAGATAAGTCACCACATCAAGGCTGCTAAACAAAGCTTTCTGTGCTTTGCCATTAGTCCAATCTCCAAGGCTCTGATCTATAAATAATTCAGAACGTGTGTCAGATTACTGATGCGCCCACTGGAATGACTCTGTGCATACAAGTGAAGTTATTTTCAGGCTTTAGCATTTCCTGTATTAAGACCCTGCTATAAATAAGAAAATGGATTGCGATGCGATGGCAAAATATCTGGTGAGCATGCAACCAATACACTCTGAATTACAATGGTAAAATCGTGCACGTTTTTGTTCCATTGTCAGCTAAATGCAATCAGGAATCCACTCAACTGACAGGCTAATAAGCACCTTTCCTGCTTAATTGCAATAGTTGCCAAGGAACAGATTCAATGTGATACTTTTCAGGTCTTTCTAAACAAAAGATAATAGCATTTGACAGTGTCTGAAACCTGTTTACAGATGTGAATTGGCATTTGATAGAAAAGATCTCCCACAGCATGCTCTGTTGTTCATTGAAGCCACTCTTTGGCTCTGCTACAGTAATTAGTCAATTTTGCCAATGTCAACCTTTACATCAGAGCATCGTACACTTATTGTGAAATAAACTTATATTGAAGAAATGTCTCAATACCACTTCTGGTATTCCTGAGACTGCCTGCCTACTTAGTCAGCACTATTCTAGCTCTACCAGTGCACTGTAGTACTGAATGAGGAACTATGCAAGAACGAGCAGCACAGACAAGATTTACAGGTGGGATTACTGACACGGCCAGTGACGGTTTTGGAATGTCTGAGCTAACTAGCAGATTATAAAACAAACATACCCTTGTGAAGCCCGCAGAGATCAGGGGCAATATCGATGACTCTTCACGATCAGCATGCCTTTAAAAGAAGGATAAAGGCAGACATTGTTTTTGTAATCAATTGAAACCCAATTTCACAAGCCATTGACATACCAGTACCTGTACACCAGATGTCACATGACAGGCCAATATGCCTAGACCCAAACAGGATCTATGAATAAAACATTTTTTTGTCTATGACAAACTTATATCTTTGGAACAGATAAGCCAATATGTTTTCCTATTTGTAAGTAATGAGCTTTGTGTATCGCAAACAAGTAATGCTTCAAAGAATTTAATTAGCTAGAGTGTTGCATGGATCCTTTTTTGCTACCAGGTCCTTGTTATTTATGTTGTCCCTATCCAAAGATGCACCTGAAAGTCTACATGAGCAGTTTTAAGAAATGTTTTGTTATCTATATATACCAAACCTTTGTTAGTGGACAACTTAAGGTGGCTGAATGATGATGGATTTCCCAGTGTTGACAACCCAGCACCTACTAGCAGGTCACTTCAGAATGACATACCCCTAAAATGAGATATTTGAATCATTCTGGAAATCTTGGCTCTATCAACTGTTAAAAGACATCCAACATATGTGATGTATGAATGGAATCTGGAAGAAAGGTCATTATGTTAGATTTCTGTAAACAAGCAGATGGAAGCTGGTCATGTCTAGCAGATGGCACAATAGCTTTTCTTTATGCCTGAAATTTTGGATCCTATGGCATCTTTTGGTTTTATTTTCCATGCACTTGTTTCTTAAGTACAAAGAGAATGATGCCCATCAAGAGTAAGTAGGGAGACAAAGGCAGAAAATATCTCCATTCCTCATGCCAGCTATCTTGTAATGCTGCCTCCCAAAAGTACAAAGAAAGAGATCAGGAATATTTCAGGAAAAAACAACCTCAACAAACTGAACTGGAGGAAACTGAAGGATGGCAAGAAGCCCTTCCATATGCTATTGACATGCTAAATGTCAGGCTTTTTCACAAATATGCTTCTTGCAAGAAAGGAAATGTGTGAAAGTTCTCACTCTGTGAAATCCAGAATAGTGACTACAGAAGGCATGTGTTAGCACACAGGAATTTGAAACAACGAACTAGTTGAGAGACAGGCTTACTTTTGAAGTTTCCCTAACAGGGGTAATAGACATCTGAAAAGTTTGAGCACTCAAGCTTGTCACTACAGGGAGCTATTACCTTTTCCCAGCACACAATATGAACATTTTGAAAAGACAAAATCAATTGCAGGGCTTTTTTCCCTTTTTGACTAACTTCCTAATTGTGAGTGAGCAAGCCCAGCTTTCAATTTCTCCTAGCTTTTAAAAAGGACTTGCTGGCCCACAGAACCACAGGGGTCTTTCTCTCTCACATACATAAAGAAGCTCTTGAGTTAGTTCACTGTTTCTCCCCTGCTCCTTTTCTTCTCCTTTCGTTGGTATTACTTTGACAAGAGATGATTCTGATTGTAGAAGCAATGGTTCCCATAGTCATAAGATTTCCCAACATAAAAATAATAAAGACTATATTCACAATAGAATCCTCTGAAATGTTTAATGAGGATCTGTTGTTTGCTAGAGATGGTGGTGGAAAGCAGGATTGTTAATGGAAAATTTCAACACCTCAGAATTGGCTTCCAGAATAAATGCTTTCTGAGAAATGGCCAGTCTGTACTCAGAGAAAATTAGCTCAAATCCATTTCCAGTTAAATATATTGCATTTTTGTCACTTCTACGTTACTTTATGATATATTAGTAGTGTGTTTAACAGGGAGGAGGAGGAAAAAACGTGCACTGCTATACTGAGATGTCTTAACAGTCTATGTTATTTTCAGAATTTCCATGATGCTGTTTCTCACTGTTCAAACTGTTCTATACTTTTTTCATAACTCTACAGATCTCCTCTTTGTGCTGTGATTATTCAGATTGAAAGACAGATGGAGAGTTCAGTGTGTTATATTTATTAATATCCAAACACAACCTATGAGGCAATTCCACAGTTCTGCACATGGGGTTGCAGAGGTTGAGTCAAGGCTCTTTAGAAAAAAATAGAAATCATAAATCCTGTGGCCAACAGTGGTGAAAACTCTATATGACATAATCACATAAAGTGATAAACTTCACAAGAATTTCTAATCCAAGCTTTTTTTTCACTGTAGAATTTACATTTACAGTGTTAAGATTCACACTTTATGGATGAAATTTGTAACTAAAGATGTATTTACCTTCGGACTACACCAATAATGACTGTATTTTCTGAGGGTTTCGTTGTTCTGATAGACCTTTAAATAAAAAGAAAGAACATTTAACATTTTTTAAAGTTTTCATTTCAGAAACTGTGACCATACAGAATCTTCTTACATTATTTCTTTTAACATGCCTCTTTTGCATGCTTTGATTTAACAACAGCAAAAAAGTTAGATCTGAAGCCTGCAGAATTACTGAGAAAAGAGAACAAATGCAGCAATGCCTGAAACTCTATGTCAAAAAAAGGACATACAGAATGTACATTAACTGAAACCTCAAGTGCTGTCTAGGGGACCAAAAAAAAGTCAACCTTCTGAAATGGCATGAATGCGTTAGTAGAAAAGGGCTAGTTTCTAGCATTTGGCCTCACAAATTTAAGGAGCATTTCACTTTACAGGGGGATGAAAGGTAAAAATGAGCAGTGCTGCTATCCCGCAGATGTGGAGCCAGGTTTTGAAAAAACATTCCACTATCCCAACAAATTTGCACACTGTAGCTCCACACAACTGTGCTAGCAAACAACCAAAAATGCCACAGAATTGAGATAACGTTGATGAAAATGGACTTTTGTCAAAAAAAAAAAAAAAAAAAAACCTAACTAACTAGCCAAACTAACGGTTAAGTAGATTTTATAGAAGGGTCATAAAAAAAGCAAGAAATCTTTCCTGACAAGTTATCTACATAGCTATTCATTAATTACCCTGAAATGGTGTTTACCTGCACAATGCTTCTGCATCAAAGTATCTGGAATGTCTATGATCTATAATGATAATTTCATGGTGTTTATCAAGAAAACATTCCAGCGCAGACTCAGGTGTCCTGGCAATATTACATCGAAATCCAGCTTTCTCACAGGCCCAGCAGAACCCGTTGCTCTGGTTATCTTCTTTGGCAAACACTAGAAGTACCTGGTTGAAATACAGAGAATCATTACAAACTAGTCATATATATACATTAGAATCCATGACTTTTACCCACTTTTAACAAGGTTAGCCAACATGAACTCACACAAGATGGAAGTATTTCTGTATATGAAGACCCCTGTGACTCCTGTGCAAAGCTTGCCATGAGATTTGTATCACAGAAGGGAATTACCATGCTGGAAGTCCAGAACTGGAAGTTGGGAGAGCTATGATTTGCTCTGTCAAAACTTCCTGCACAACTGCCAGTAGCGTTCCTTTCTCTGAGTCTTTTTAAAATCAACATAATGCCCAAAAGTTCAACATCCCTAATGAAATGTGTTTTAAATTCTATGGTGGAATACGCTATGAAAGATAAACATGACGTCTACTAAGGAAGACTTTCACTGACGTGATTGTGCTTTGCTTTGGGATAATATTTTATAGAGAACAGTTTATTTTGCAGAGAGAATACACAGACTGATAGAATATACATCTATGTTAGTGCTGCTTTTGTGGACGACTGAATAGATGCAGTCTTCTGGGAAAGATGGATAAACCAGACCAACATTTTGGCCCATTGTCTCAGGACACCAATCTTTCAGTAATTTAATCAAAGTACACTTAAATATATGCTTTGGTTAGACAACAATGTGGAGCATGTGTAACTCATACCACATCCCACTGCCGTTTATCTTCTGGGTGACTTTAGGAATTCTGTGCTGGTTACACTTTGGACCAGGTTGATGGAATGTCTACCAGTAAATCTTAACATTTCCCTGCAGTGCATATTTTTGTAAGAATGAAGGACTTAGTACTCATTTAGTTCAGATTCCTTTTATAGTAACCTTTGCAAACCTGCTTGAAAAACATGTCATACTTTGGCTATATTTAGTGGAGTTAATTTATAACACTCTTAGGAGTGGAATAATGGTTTTCAGCATTAGCACAGAGCAATCAGGAAATCTTATTTGTATGATCAGCTTCAGCAAAAATGTAATGTTGTCTGACCTTTCCTTCCTCCTATCTGCCAACTATCATGAGGATTAACTGGTAGAATGTTAGAGTGGCCTACGACTGGAAAGAAGTCATACAACCATTAATAACCACAAAGGGGGGCAGAAACATTCAAGGAATGTTTCTGAATTATACCTGGGGAAAAGCTGGATTAGGCTGTCCTAATATTTGATGTTAGATGATAACACTGTCTGTTCTGACAATAGCTTGGGAGGATTTTGAACTGTTCCTGAAGACAGACATTTTCAAATCAGCAGGTCCAGGTAAGTTTCACCCAAGAGTTCTGTAATTAATCACTGAGGAACATCTTGGATTATTAATACTTCAGTATGCCACAAGACACGGGAGAATTTTCAAAGGATGTTCAAGGGAGTCAGGTCCCATCCCAGACAAAAGAAGGGGACAGCTGGCATATGATCTTTATTAATAAAGAGACAAAGGAGTTTGAAGTAATGCCAGTAAACAACAAATAATAATCTAAAATAAAACAATTACACGTGTTGCCAAGCTCACTTTCTATCTTCTGCGATACTGAAAGTTTGGTTGATGCTAGTAGTAATGCTGGTGTAATAGACCTCACCAGGACATTTGACTTAGTATTGTTCTGATGAGATTTTGATTAAGTAAATGCAAAATGCATTAAGTAAAATGCAAATCGTGGAACATACTAAATTGACCTCAACAGAGGAAATGGTTATGTTTCTATGAGTTGAGAGATGTTTGGAGAAAAGAATTTGTCAAGATTTTTAGAATATCATGTATAATGTGGTTACAACCTGTTATGTGCATGCATATCACTTGGCAAAAACACTCTGAAGATCTCCACACCACAAAAACCCCAGAATACATCCAAAGTTAATTTCTGTGATATCTGAGAAATTAAGACTTCGGTTGGAACCGTTGCACCTACCTGAAGTTGATCTTGATGAAGTCTCATAGGGCCAAACTGCACATCTGTAACTGGTGACTAGAAAATATAAAGGAGGATCTTATTAGCACACACACACACACCTAGAGAAGAAGTAGAAATAGCTCTGTTAGAGAAGACTTATTGACCACTGTTGCACAGATATATTACCGCCGTTATGATGGTCTTGTTCTGCTTTTGTAAATGCATATGCTGAGCTGTGTTAACACCATTACAAATCAGCTCAGTTTGGACTGTTATGTTTTAAAAAGAATGGATTAGTCCTGAAAGTTTTGTAGACAGACTGTTGATATTTATTTGGGTTTTGCAACCCTGTATGACATGAGCTGCCTTGCAAAAAGCATTTTAAAAATTGTTTAAAAAAAAATAAAAATAAATAAAAATAAAAACCCAGCAACTTCTAAAGAACGTTCAACCTACTGGAAAAAGGCAAAAAAATGTTACTCCTAGCATTTCCTATGTCATAGGTGCCAACGAGTGATACGCATAAATGTAGTAGCCTCATGGAAGCTGGGCTGTGTTCCCTCCTTCCCACCCAGCCCCTCCAGCGCAGGCATCAGAACCCAGATATCTGTGTGACATTGCATGCACTCAGCATGCAGCTTGGCTTTGAGAAACCCTATAAAATGCTGCTGGGGCATGGCATGCTTTGTGCACGCTGTGATTTCTGCACTAGATTCTGTTCTAGTAACTCAGCCCAGCAGCTTAGCTTTGTGTGCAAGAACTGCGTCAGGATATTTTTTCCTCACATGGCACTGGAATCAATGGAGATGAATGCCCAGGTGCTGCTTATGGCAGCTGGCTCTAATGCAATTAATCATTGGGTACCACTGGCTGGAATGCAGGCTTCAGCACGAATGAGTTTTCAAGGCATCTGGGACAGACGTTCTTAAGGAGGTAAACATGTAAATACAGAGGAGACTAATAGGATTGTGTAGGTTAGAGTCTTTGGGAATTCCCACTTGGCAAGTAACTGCGCTTTCATGTGCTTAACTAGTTCTCATCTCTTATCTCTGAAATGAAAACTAGAAATCAGAAGTAACAATGCTCCTGATTCCAAAAGGACTGCAGTGTCCGGCCAGTGGTCCCTGGAGAGCACAGACTCTTCAAAGATACTGGAGTGAAAACACAGCAGAAAATTGCTATGGGTAACGCAGTAAATGGAAAACATCTCCGGATTCTCATGTACAAAGAAAAGATCTCTGGAGTACAAAGGTGTCATTTTTACATTGTTGTTTTTCAAAGTAAAGCCACACTTGAAGATTAGATTTATTGCTTTGCACTCTAGAACGTTTCCAATAAGTAATTTTAGAGAAACCTCACCACATCCCACAGAAAAATCTTTTTGAATTACATGCTCTATTCTTTCTTTGACCTCATTGCTCCATTGCTCAGCCCTCCAAGTTTCTCATGTGTGATTTCATTTATTTATCGACTTGGAAATCATCAGGGTAACATTAAATGAGCAAGAAACACAAATCAAGGAAAAATGGCAACGTAGTGCTTACAAAAAAGGAGCAGGGTTTGCAGTGTTATTTCAGAGGGCCCCCAAAAAGCTGGCATTAAAATTGTGTGGGTGGGCTTCAGGTTTACTGTCAGCCATCCTGGATTCGAGTGGCTTAGTTTAAATACTCTCTGGTCAATTCTTCTAATTTTAAGACCCCAAACCTTTCTTCCAGAGGAAAAAATCAAACTGCTTTCTCCTCCCTCGAGGCCCATCATCCACTTTTTCCAAATCTGCACCAGAAAACAGCAAATAGTTCTGCTGACAGTGCACAGAGCAGGAGATCCAGCCCCATCTGCCAGGGCTGTGCTGGCCCTGCAGCACTGCCAGCAGTGACTCCTTGTTCTCATTCAGAGGGATCAGCAGGCATGCCCAAAGGACACAGAGGAGGTGTATCTATTGAATAAGCGATGCCTTTCTACAGTCATTTCTCTGGTCATGACTACATTTCAAATTAAATTTTGCACTATTTATTTTGTTCTCCAGCTACCAGCATAAAGCAGCAAGTGTTATTGGTTCCAGTGTGAGCTGCAGGGCACCGACTCAGAGCTGAGCTTTGAAGTTTGGGGTCGCTGAACCCCATATCTCAGGGCAGTGCACCCTCACACCCAGTTCCAACACAGACCAAGCTCCATGAAGTTATGCTACCAGATTTATCCTACAGGCTTGCGGAGTCTGGAAAATGCTTTTATGCCAGCAAACTGTGGCATTCCGACACCGAAAATACCCATGTATGCACCACTGAAGCTTAAGTTACAGGCACTGCCCAAATGGGAAGCTGTCATTACACGTTAACTGCCTGTCCTGGGCCGAAGAAAAACCCTGCTTTGCATCTCCACTACAAAACATCAGTGAACTCCAGTTAATTATTAATCCTGTTGAAATCTGTTCAATCACTTGATTAATCATTTCAGCTCTTTGTCTGCTGCTGATAGCACTGGGAAGCAGCGTGCTGATTAAGAGCTGTGTCAGAAACCAAGGCTGCAACAAGGGTGAGCTGAAACTCTATGGATGAATGAAATGAGCTTTACAAACACAAACTCACAACAAACCAAGCCCAGCCAAGGCTCACACGCACTACAACAGCACAAACACATTCTTATTCACTCAAGAGTTTTGCTTTCCTACTGGAAAAAGAACCAACCCCAGCCTGCTCTAAGTGCTCACACACAGCACTGCAGCCATCCCGTGTTGTCTGACCCACTGCCTGTTGTAGCCACTAAACTGAAAACACTGCGACTGCTCATAGTGACACTGCATGTTTCCCATGCCCAGAGATAAGCGAATGTTTGATAAATAAAAACAACTGAAATAAATACAGACCCAAACAACCATGACCGATCTGATTAAAGTACAACAGACTCGGCGCTGACCTGATATAACCTGGTACGGTACTTCTCACCATCAGTCATTCCTCACATTTTGCCGGGACAAAATCGACAGCAATGGTCTGTTCATGGTGGCTGCTGTTTTCGGGTTTTTTTCTTCCTACAGCTACAAAAGCCCTGTGGAGTTTGCCCAGTGAATAAATATAGTAAGGGCTGAAGGGTGGACATAGAGCCAGCTCGATCCGCACACTCCCTGTGGCGATAAACTGCCTGGTTGGAGCGCAGGACACATCAAAGCAGCCTGCATTCCGCAGGTCTCTGTTTGCTAGAGGTCTCACATCTTGGCTCCCTCCAGCGTGCCTCTCCTACCATTACCAATTGGAGAGGAGAGTAAACTAAAAGGCAGCGTCAGCCCCCCCGCACCTTCTGGCCATTAACTCCCATGCAATGCTCCCGCTATGGTGCGGCAAACACTTCTCTTTTTTAGAGCTTTGTTCTTAGCTCACTTCTTTCATGAAGTTTTTGTGGGATGTTTTAAAGCAGAGCCTCAGGCTGCCTGAGGCAACCTGCTGACATCCAGGTTTCAAAAGCAGGCAATGAGAAATGGTGAGCTGTTCAATACCAGATAACTGCCCATTCAAATAAAGGCTTCAGCCCTGAGGCCCTGATTGGTTATTTTAGGACATGGATAACTACAGTGATATAAGACTTCATCACCGGGCTTATTGGACGACTGTCAGAACAATTCATCATTTTACTCAGATCAATATTTTAACATATCATAAAAAAAGGTGTTTTATTTAGTTTTAAAATGCATACTTAAGTTTTGCCCATGCACTTGGTACAGGAAGACTTGACTCATCACAGCAAGAACCAAACACCAAAACACGCTCAGAGCATTAGGACCGCTAAATTCAGATTATGCTAAGAAAAACAAAGGGATGAATTTTACAAAGGAAAAAGCATCTCTTTCCTCAACCTGCTGTGCTAAGCACAGATTTATCACCCTTGAGAAGGAAAGCTCAGACTCACAGGTTTAGATCATACCTCGAACTTCAACTCCTTTGGAATCCATTAAAGGCAGAAATTCGAATTCCACATGATACCATCAGTTCTCAAAAACCTCAGCCAAACACTTGTGGATGCTGGAAGGCAAGAAGTACCCCATCGGCTATCAGAGCAATTCCACAAAGAGAATAACCTGGATTTACTTCACTATAAAGTAGGAGTCTTGCCCCACAGTTACTCCTTTGGCCGTTTGGAGGCCACAACAATTAGATCAAAGAACAGGAGGGAATAAAACACCTAGGGTTACCTGCCTTCGTTTGATAGATTCAAGGATGGAGGCAAACCAGGCTCTATAAAAGACCTGAATCTGTACTCAGTTCATTTTTTGCTCAAATGCAAAGCTCTGGAAGGCAGCTAACATTTATCAAAACTGCTGTTCAGCCCAAATGAAACCTATTAATTCTATCCCTTGGTATCTTTTCCTATTTTTGTTTCATAAAAAATGCAGACAAATGTCACAGACTCGACAATTTAAATAATGCAGCATTCTGACTCAATGCAATTTGTTCTTATGAAATCTAGCATTTATTCTAAATCTGGCTCCCCCCCAATGCATCTCTGTCAACAAAACAATATGGAGTCAGATCTGTATTTCAAGGTCTGAAGATCACCTGAAGTTCTGCTATATCTTTTTTTTTATTTTTAATTGTTTTCAGCATTAAATTAATTCCTACAAGAATTATTTATGATGCTGCCGTATGACGATACAGCAACCAACTCAAGCAATGAGATATCATACCCTCCGTTCCCAATTTCTGAAGTTTTAGTAACGGTTGTGAATCAGTTTTACGTAAATTAGCTCTTGGGAGGCAAGCTCTGGCCTGTGATTCACATCATTAGGAACACAACATTTGGAGAGCTTGCAGTTTTTGTGAGAAACTCTATGGAGCACAGTGAGTGAGGCTGCTAAGCATACCAGCCATGGGACCCAGCTCTCATTCCTGAGCTCCTGGTGACACCTTCAACTGTCTACGTTGTTTGTTGTGTTCTGGATCTAATTCCCATCTGCACTGCTTCAGAATTAGTCCAATGCAATATATAAAGCTAAATTAGAACAGAACTGGAGTAATATTGTTACAAAATTGGGCTTGCTGCCTTCTAGCACACTTTAGACACAACCGAGAATTCATTCTGCACCT